CGGTCTGTCCGTTTCTACGCTACTAGTCTCTCAGTTTTGTAACTATATGTATAAAACTTTGCTGTTAGTCTTCTATATACTCTCACTCGTATATATGTCGGAACGGACCGGATCAGACGACTATATCATATAGCTGCCATACGAACGATCGGAAAATGTTTACAAAAAAATTATAACTTTTTCATTTTTCAACAGATTTTCATCAAATTTGAGATATAGCCGTTTCATATTATTCTAAAATTTTGTGTAAAATTTTATGAAAATCGGACTAAAATATCATATAGCTCCCATAGGAACGATCGAGAAATTAATACAATTAAATTTATAACTTTTTTAGTTTTCAGCTGATTTTCATCAAATTTGAGATACAGCCATTTTATATAAGTCTTAAACTTTGTGCCAAATTTTATGAAAATAGGACAACTAAATCATATAGGTGCCATCGTTAGATGTGAAGAAAAAATGCAAATCTGTGAATGTAAAACTGCATATATAATATCTTTAGGTGAATGAAATGAAAGCAGGTATTACTTCATTGTTTTTTAACATAAATATATATAATTTATATTGTATGGATTCCTAGTCATAGAAGTTCTATCTGCAAGGGTATATAAACTTCGCAGTGCCGAAGTTAGCTTCCTTTCTTGTTTTATAATAATTATGTTACGTTATTCAAATATTACATTTCCACGTTGGCCTCTTAATAAAATCGTTCTTTGATATTTTAATCTATTACAAAATAGAGATCATCATAATTTACACTTACAGCTGAGACCTAAGAGGAACTTAATATAATTTTAAAATACTCAGTCGCACTGAATTGTCAAAAAATATACGTAGTTTTAAGAAAAATATTTATTTAATTTTTATGTTTTTATTTTTATAATAATAATAATTGCATCCCAAAAGCTAAATAAACCAATAAGGGCAGTTTCCGTACATAATGTAGTAAACTAGTACATGCGCCGCACAAAGTAATTAAAAAAGAAAATAAATAGTCATCAATAAGCAACCAAAATAGCTTTAAATTTCACGGCCTATACTTATTCTAAAATGAAATTCTTTGGCATAAACCTTAAAAATTTCATCATAATCAATCGGAACCATCGGATATATGAAATGGTGGATAAAGCGATACTATATTTAGCTTCGAACCCATGGAAGTAGTTGACGAAGATATTGCGGATGTATGCCTGGCACTACCTCTAACTGGAAAACATATGTGAGTTTTCAACTGGACGGTTTTGGATTGGAAAAGTTATTTCCGGGAGTTGAACCTGTCACTTATATAATGATTTGCATGAAGGAAAAACTTTAACAAATTGAACCGTTGCAGGGCGACTCGATGCCCCACCCAGTTTCTTGCTAAAACCGGAAGAGACTTATTAGTTAAAGGATCACTTTCTGACACGATCTTGGGAATTCTTAAGTTGTTGTGCCCCAATAGTAAGCTTCAATATGAATGAATTATATGATACCAGAAAGTCCCCCCTCCCCACTTACAGCCCTTACGTAACTCAGCGAATATTACAAGTGAATCACAAAAGCATTAACTCAGTATATCAAGTATTTTACACTGATACATACAAATCCAAAAAAACGTCATAAAAGTATAATTTAGATACATTTCAACTATTTGCATTAATATGGCATTCTCTGGCATTAAGCGATATGAACTCAACCAAGATTATTCGGAGGCTATGGATGTGGATGTCGACGAAGCTGTGGATGTCGACGTTGATGCGGATGTCGACGTAGATGCAATTGCAATCAAGATACATTTCAACTTGTTGCCCTCGCGTCGTAATTTTAAAATAAAGGCTTTCTTTGGACATAAGCGAGCTGAACTCAAACAACATTATTCGGAGGCTATGGATGTGGATGTCGACGTTGATGCATATTTCGACGTATAATAATCTAATTGAGGCATTAAAACCCATTATTTGCTGGTATACCGAGAATAAATATATCTCGAATTATATAATTAATTTGTAAACTGTTAAAAGTTTATATAGAAACATGTATACAGCTTAATATTGTCGTAAGTTTTAAGCAATTTAAATCTTTTTGAAATTTTAAAATCAAATAAAAGCAACAAATAACTGTTTGGCTATCATATTCAAATATATCTGAAATATTTGCATTCTTGGAACTTTAAACCTAAGTTTATACTTAAATTTTAACATCCGGTATTGTTGGGAGCAGGCCGCTAGCGCCTAATTGTGCGCGCATGGGTGTATGGCTGCACTTGCTGCGCTCTTAGCTTTTCTCTTTCTTATCTATTTCTCTCTCTCTTCTTCTTCTGTCGCCTTATATTTTAAGCTAAGCTACATTGTAAACGTTTTGATATATGTTAGTCATTCATTCGATCGGTATTTGCAGCTCCGGCCAGAGAAGTGAAAACGAAAATATACACAGCATATAATAACCTATTCGTGCGTTATAATTATTGCTTAAGGGTGGCAAATTCGTTGTCTTCCCCATAAACATTTTGGTGACCCCGACGGGATTCTTTGGTTCGGAGCCGCAACCCGGTGTTCGTTGTTTAATATCGCTTAAACAAATCGCTTTGCTTCGCTGTCGCTTACTGGCATTCGGTCATAAGCACACAAGCAAACTCACACACATACCTTGTACATAACAAGCTGAGTGCATATAGCCGGCCGCAGATTTTCGGTTACATTGCGCTGTTAAACAAAAGCTGTGTTGTGCCAAACATTGTATACAAAGGTGGCTCGCGCTTAAGCGTCGTAAATAGCGCCTATTGATCTAATATATACCTATGCATATAAAGCATAGACGCGCGTGTGCCAAAACTCCTCTGTTGCGAGCCTGACAATTACAACAACATTATCGAGGTTCCGTTGCATCTCGGTGACGCTGATTAACCTCTGAATTTGCGCGGTGCAAAACTAAACGGGTTCCTATATACCGAAGCGGTCAGACATTTTCCCTTTATTAATTCTTTTCGCGTGAGAAAATAAAGATGTCTAACACGGAAAACTCGGTTCGGCATCAAAATGAGCCGCCAAGTGACGTGGACTTCTACCGAGCCAAGGCCCAATCCCTTTTGCGGCAATTGAGCTCGATGAATTATTATATAAACCCGGAGACTGTAGATCAGTTTGATAAATCTGATTTACTGGCGCGACTATTATATATTTGAGAAACAAGGCTGGAGAATTTATGCCTTGCCAAGCAATCTTAGACTCGGCGTGTCAGCTAAACTTTATAACTTCTCGCCTAGCAAACAAACTAAGTTTGAATTATCGAAAGTCGAATACGCTAGTCTCTGGGATTGGTGAATCATCTTTGAATTCTGATAAGGCAGTCGACATTCTAGCGCAATCCCGGGATGCAAGCTATCGTGCCTCATTCTCCGCGGTTGTGACTGGTATGTTAGTATCACTGAGTATCAGCCCCATTTCGATATAAACGCAGTATCATGGAAAATTCCGGAAAATATATCGCTCGCTGATCCTCACTTCAATCGATCAGATCGAATAGATCTCATAATTGGTGCTGCCCTCTTTTTTGAAATAATGGCTACGGGACAAATTCATTTGGATAGCGCGTTGCCAACTCTTTAGAACACCAAACTTGGTTGGATCGTGTCTGGAGGGCTGCCGAGTGCGTCTACTACTACTAATCCTACTAATCATTCTGATGATGACACACTTGCTGCCGTAGGAAAGCCAGCTGCATTCTTGGCTACAAGAGCAATGCAACAGCTCCTTAACGACAGGAGATATTCGCATGCAGGATCACAAGCGTTGCTGACCACATTGGGGAAGAGTTATAATTATTGCTTAAGGGTGGCAAATTCGTTGTCTTCCCCATAAACAGGTATGCTTATATTTATTACTCTTTCATAAAAATTAATAAAATTATATTTAATAAACTATCTCCCATTCATTTTTAGATCTCTTCTATTGCGGCTAAAACATTGTTTTAAAATCTTGTACAAGAAGTAAATAAAAGCTGTTTCGGGTTTTCTAAATAAATTGTAATACATTATATAATTTTCATCATTAAAATTCTTAAAGTTATCTAAACGTGCAGTCAAGTAAGACCCATCTTCTTCACAAATAAAAAAACGAAATCTTGATTTAAGATATTTTGAATTCTTAATAAAATCTTATTGTATGTACGAAAAATCATCATTTAAGTACAAAAAGTCTTTATATCAGGCGAAAATTCTAGAAATGAGATTTTATACCCTTGCAGGGTATTATAATTTCAGTCAGAAGTTTGCAACGCACTGAAGGAGTCACCTCCGACCATATTCATGATCAGCATCAACAGTCGGGTCGATCTAGACATGTCGGTCTGTCCGTTTCTACGCTACTAGTCTCTCAGTTTTGTAACTATATGTATACAACTTTGCAGTTAGTCTTCTATATACTCTCACTCGTATATATGTCGGAACGGACCGGATCAGACGACTATATCATATAGCTGCCATACGAACGATCGGAAAATGTTTACAAAAAAATTATAACTTTTTCATTTTTCCACGATTTTCATCAAATTTGAGATATAGCCATTTCATATTATTCTTAAATTTTTTTTTAATTTTATTAAAATCTAACAAGTAGAAACGATCGTAACATATGGAGGAAATACAAATCTGTGAATGTAAAAGTGTAATTATTATAATAAGTATAGGTGAGTGAAATGAAAGCAGGCATTACTTCATTGTTTTTTTAAACATTGATATATACAACATAAATTATATTATAAATTATATATAAATTCCTCCTGATCGAAGTTCTATCTGCAAGGGTATATAAACTTTGGGGTATCAAGTTAGCTTTCTTGCTTGTTTTTTATAATATACTAAAATTGGTAATGTGATCAGAAGCGTGATCCACTCACCCATAAATAATAAACATGGCTTAACATTTATATTTTCAATTATTTGAATAATTGCAAAATAATTGAAAACATGCTCTGCTTGGTAAACACTAATATTGACCCCATCACTTTATCAGAAGCGATCGAATGGCTTACTTCATAGGAAAAGTGTTGGTACTACTGCTGTGCCTGCATTGTGTAATAGAGTTGCAAGTGAGTACATATTGTGAGTACATTTTGACCTCAAATTAAGGATACTACAATGTGCAGGGAGTGTTCTTAACATTTACAAATGTGACATGTGAGGTAAAGGACATCAGCATTGGAGTTGTTGATTATTGTGATATGAAGACTCTGAGAAAGAACAAAAACAGCTATATATTGCGTTATAATTTAAATAAGCCTATGATGAATAATATTTGGGTAAATATCGATATTACGGTGGATCGATTTGAAAGAAATTATCTTTTTAATATTTCCTTGCAGATATTGATAAGGCTAATGAAAAAAAGCAGTGAAAGCAATAATGACGTCTCCCAATGGCAGCCCTACCTATATCCCATAAATTTCGAACTGTGCCGTGTCTTAAAAACCCGATACAACCACGTGGCAAAAATGGCTGTGGACCTCATAGATGGACACTCGAATTTCAACCATAGTTGCCCGTATTTGGTTAGTTAAAAGTAACTAAATTCTTTGATCGTTTTCCCACTGTTTCTGCTCTTTTTGGAAAGGAGAAATATATTGTTATCGAAGACATCACAAATACAGAAGCTTCCACGAGGCTGCGTGGCATCCCAATGGCCAAAGGATTCTACGTCATGTACCTCTTTTGGATCAGGGAAAACAAAACGCTTATTCAAACCAACTTCTACTTTGAGGTTTTAAGTTCGTAACGTCGAAAAAAAAAATCAAGTTTAATATCCGATTAATGGAATATGAAAGAGACCAACTTTAGAAAGAATTTGCGATTTAAAATACTATCGTATGCTTAATGTAAATCATTTGGATGTACATAAGTAAAATTATAATATTCAATAAACTGTATCCCCAAAAAAAATATTCTTTTTGCAGAAGCAAGCCAAAAAGGATTTAGAATCAACGGTTAGTTTCTACTAAGTAGATATAAGTAAATAATAGATGCATCTACAGTGTAATATTTACACATAATTTGTTTTGGTCTTAAGTTTAATGCTATTCAAATTCAATATTTTCTTTAGCTACACTCTCATAAATTACTTAATTAATATTTAAAAAGATTTGCTTTGGTATCGATGAAGGCTTTCAATTGGCTGGAATTGAGTTCATTAAGCTATATCCAAAATAAACAGACATATTTTCTGTTTCTTTTAATATTGTCCTACATATGAACCGTTATTATACTCTTGCAGGGTATTATAATTTCAGTCAAAAGTTTGCAACGCAGTGAAGGAGGCACCTCCGACCATATAAGGTGCATATATTCTTGATCAGGAACAACAGCCGGGTCGATCTAGCCATGTCCGTCTGTCGGTTTCTACGAAAACTAGTCTCTCAGTTTTTAAGCGATCTGAATGAAACCTTGTACTTAGCCTTCTATATACTCTCACTCGTATATGTATATGTCGGAACGGGCCGGATCGGACGACTGAATCATATAGCTGCCATAGGAATGATCGGAAAATTTTTACAAAAAAAATTATAACATTTTTAGTTTTCAACAGAATTTATCAAATTTGAGATATAGCCATTTTATATTATTCTAAAATTTTGTGTAAAATTTTATGAACATCTGACAACTATATCATATAGGTGTCATACAAACGATCGTTTGATGTAGAGGAAAAAAGCAAATCTGTGAATGTAAAACTGCAAATATAATATGTATAGGTGAATGAAATGAAAGCAGGTATTACTTCATTGTTTTTTAACATCAATATATATAATTTATATTGTATAGGGTATGTAAACTTCGGCCTGCCGAAGTTAGCTTCCTTTCTTGTTTTTTGTTTGTTTCTGAATAAAACAATTTATGCGATAAAAAATTTCATCGAAATCTGACAACAACAAGAATAATAACTAAAAGAAGTTTGGCTGTAAAAATAATTGTAAATTTGTGTAAATTCTCTTGACCAGCCTTGAATATATGTATATATATGTCATATATTTATATATATAATGTTTAAAACAGGTCATTTCTGGTTAATTCTTATTTTATTGTCCCATTGTTTATTTCGAAATCGTTTCTATGGGAGCTACTAACGATGTTTACCTAGAAACAATTAAAGAAGAATTAACCGAAAAATACCTGTTTTAAACATTTACGGTTATGGTTCGATACATATATTTTTAGTTTGACAATTTTATTTAATGGGTTATCATTAAAATGTATGCAAAAAATTGACTTTTGAACCCATATGCATATTTTCAAATCGAGGCTGCAGCAGTAGACAAATGATAAATTTAAGCTTTCATTTGAGAAAATTTAAGTTTATAATGAAGATGAATCTAGATGAATATTTTTTACAATTGGTTAGATTGAAATATATTTACTATTTTTCTTGGAGATACTGCTGGTACCTGCATTAACAAAAACTCTTCTAATGTTAATTACTATATTATTTAATTTATTGTATTGTTAAAACTTATCTCATCTTAAATTTATTATAACCAAGTTTATGTGTATTTTGTTTTATAGAAACCTATGTTCGTTTTGCTTATCTTTACTGGTTTTTATAAGCTTAATGCGACATAAAGAAGATAATTACACAGAAGAGTATTTGAAGGATCATTCGACATTAAAGTGAATTAATTACTAAACTATTATTACTATATTTTTCCAAATCTAAAAGTATTACTTACAAGTGACTCCTGGTTGACTTTTTAGTAATTTAACAATATTTTCCTACAGTTTGGAGTATGTCCCTTGTGTTTTTAATAATTGTAGGAGCTAATACATAGTCAATAAAATACTTTAACACAAATACATACTTTGAATTCGTCTCTGATTATTTATTAATGCGTTTGGGCGCAAATATATATCGTTGTAATTATGCGAATTTCGGGTCAAATAGTCAATATTGATTTGTATTATATCACTTTAGAAGTGACAACCAAATGGGTAACTTGGTCGGGAAATTATTGGGAATATTATTATGCATGCACTGTGTGACAAAGCTGCATGTAAGTACATATGTGAGTTAGGGAATATGCTGAACTGAACTTCAGGATACTTCGATACTATTCAGGGATTATTAATGCGATTCACTGACGTGACCAGTGAAAGCAAGGATCTTAGCATGGGAAAGGTAGAGTACTGTGAAGTGAAGTCCCTTTGAAAGAACAAAAACAGCATCAGAGTGTGCTACAGCGTGCTCTTACCGGCCTTCAACAATATAGGGGTAATGTATGGAAATCCTTTCTAATTAAAAATTAAATTGATTTCCACATCTCTTTGTTGTTTCATTTGCAGCTGATGACGAGGGGCAGTCAAAGTAGCAATGAAACTTCCAACTGGCAACCCTTACTGTACGCCATGAACATTGACATGTGCCGCTTCTGGAAGAACCGCTATAACCACCTGGCCAGGATGGTCTTTGAACTCATAGAGGGGCACTCGAACCTTAACCACAGTTGCCCCTATGCGGTCCGTATTGGACTTACTAAATGAAGGCTTCATTTTATTAGAAAGTTTCTTTCAGTAGGAAAAATCCATCGATGACTTGAGCAACATCGAAGTTTCCAGCAGATTTCATGGCATGCCAATGGCCAAGGGCCTCTATTCCTTGTTCACCAGATGATCAACACAAAACCAAACGCGTGTTTAAACAAACTTTTTCTTTTAAAACTCTCTTTTAAACTCTTTATATTCTTGTGGAGGTGACCTCTAAATTTTTGAAAAATGAGATAATAACAAGAAAGGTATGTAGCTTCGGGCCACTTAATTCTGACGTTAATAATTAATACAATATAAATAACATATATTTATGTTAAAAACTTCGAAGTAATATGTTGACTAATTTTGTTAGTGTTGTTAAAGTTAACGATTTAACATTTATATGGAAGCTATTTGACATAGTCATCAAATTTTTATAAAATAAAATTGGAATTTCTGAAATTATTAAAAATGGCTATAAACAGTTGCATATTAAATAACCCCTATTTTCAAGGTTAGATTAGGTACTAAAAATTTAATTATGTTTTAGAAATTTAAGATAAATAAAATTAAAATGAATTTAAATAATATCGGTTAGTACTTAAAGGAGTTTCTGACGTGTTTTTTCTGACCAGCAATCGTACTTTCAAATACGGGTATTTTGGCAGTCATGCGGATGGGTAGTATGTATCAAATGAATATAATGGAATAAAGTGAATAAGGTATTTTTAGGCAGATTTTTAACATTATGATATTTACCTGATTTAACCAACTTCGCTTTTTCATTTTTTTATATTTATAAAATTCTATGCTATATAAACTGTGATCCCCTCATGCGATTAAATGAAAACATTTGAATTTGGCATTATTTAAATAATTGAAACTAAGCTATGCATGAATAATTTCGACACCAGGTAAATTACAATATGGGATCAATCACTTCATCAGTAGCGATCAAATGGCTTACTTTATGGGGAAACTTTTGGGACTTTTTCTCTACCTGCACTGTGTAATAGAGTTACAAGTGAGTACATCAGTTAAGGATTATTTTGACCTCAACTTCAGAATATTACAATCTGCAGGGAATGAACATTAAATTTTCAAACTTGACATGTGAGGTGAAAGACATCAGCATTGCAGTTGTGGATTATTGTGAAATGAAAACTCTAAGCAAAAAAAACAACAGCTATAACAGGCCAATTGAAAAGTCCCCGGTCTGACACACAGGCGGCGGTGCTAGTATTGAATTAATATTTTTTTCAGTTAGAACCAACCTTTAAAAGAAACGTGTAAAAATTTGACAGCAGTGCGACCATTCGTGTGTGAGATATATTTTTTTGAGTGTAGCTACTTTTGTTATTTGAAAAAAGATGGAGAAACAAGAATTTCGTGTGCTGATAAAATATTGCTTTTTGAAGGGAAAAAATACAATTGAAGCAAAATCTTGGCTTGATGAAGAGTTTCCAGAGTCTGCACCAGGAAAATCAACCATCATTGATTGGTATGCCAAATTTAAACGTGGTGAAATGAGCACTGAAGATGGCGAACGCAGTGGACGCCCAAAAGAGGCTGTCACTGACGAAAACGTCAAAAAAGTTCACAAATTAATTTTTAATGACCGTAAACTGAAGTTGATGGAGATAGCTAACATTGTGAAGATATCATCTGAATGGGTACATCATATCATTCACGAATATCTGTGCATGAGAAAGCTGTGTGCAAAATGGCTGCCGCGCGAGCTCACAATCAATCAAAAGCAACAACGTTGTAATGATTGTGAGCAGTGTTTGAAGCTGTTTAAGCGCAATAGACCTGAATTTTTTCATCGATATGTGAGAATGGATGAAACATGGCTCCATCATTTCCCTCCGGAGTCCAATCGACAATCAGCTGAGTGGACTGCACACGATGAACCGAATCCAAAGCGAGGAAAAACACAAACGTCAGCCGGCAAGGTTATGGCATCAGTATTCTGGGATGCGCACGGTATAATATTCATTGATTACCTCCAAAAGGGTCAGACCATCAACAGCTATTATTATATGGAGTTATTGGATCGTTTAAAGGATGAAATCGCTAAAAAACGGCCCCATTTGAGGAAGAAAACAGTTTTGTTTCATCAGGACAATGCACCGTGTCACAAATCCATGAAAACAATGGCAAAATTGCAGGAATTGCGCTTCGAATTGCTTCCAAATCCACCGTATTCGCCAGATCTGGCCCCCAGCGACTTTATCCTGTTCTCAGACCTCAAAAGAATGGACGCTGGAAAGAAATTCAGCGCCGATGAAGAAGTAATCGCCGAAACTGAGGCCTATTTTGAAGCAAAAGACAAATCGTACTACAAAAATGGTATCGAAAATTTGGAAGACCGCTATAATCGCTGTATCACCCTCGAAGGGAACTACCTTGAATAATAAAAAAGAATTTTCAAAAAAAAAATTGTTTTACTATGGTAGACCGGGGACTTTTCAATTGGCCTGTTATATTGCGTTATAACTTAAACAAGCCCATGATGAATAATATTTGGGTAAAGTATGGAAAGTATGGTGGATCGATTTGATAGAAACATTCTTTGGAAATCTCGGAAATTTATAAAAATAGATGAATCATTTCTGAGGCTTAATAATAATAGAAACGATCCACTTAAAAGCTTCTCAAATTGGCCAAGTTAATTATAGTATTTTCTTGCAGTTATGGATGAGGCTAATGAAACGAAGCACTGAAAGCAATAACGGCGTCTCCCTATGGCAGCCCTACCTATATTCGATCAATTTTGAACTGTGCCGTGTCTTAAAAAACCGATACAACCACGTTGCAAAAATGGCTGTGGACCTCATAAAGGAACACTCGAACCTCAACCACAGTTGCCCGTATCTGGTTTGTTTAAATTACCTAAATTATAGGATCGTTTTCTCACTGATTCTGTTCTTATTCGAAAGGAGAATTATCTTGCCATCAATGACATCACAAATACAGAAGTTTCCGCAAATCTGCATGGCATCCCAATGGCCAAGGGACTATTTTCCCTGTACACCAAATGGATCAGGGAAAACAAAACACAAGTTCAGACAAACTTCTACTTCGAGGTTTTGTAATTAATAAAGATACTTATCCAGATTCTTGGGTACTACTTTCTTTTCGGTACCTGTTTTTTTCTTCTCTTCTTCTCCATAGAGAAAAGGTTAATATTTAAAATACTTTCCGCCTCCAATGTATTGTATGTTTCTTAAAAATATTTAGATATTTAAATTTATAACAATAAATAACGGTAATCTTTACAAAAAAAAATTCCATTCCGTTTCGCCTGTTAGTATATGGGCAATTCTCTGGTGTCGAAAGCGACATTCGTACGCATTCAAACTAAAAAAACACATGTGCCAAGACTTTATTTTAATTTTATAAAAATTGAAACGTATAGCTCTTGGTTAGCACTATAATTGGTGCTACGGTCGATTTTGAACCCTTGTTTGTTTTCAAGATATTCACTAAAATGTACTGCGTTCGCATGCGACAAAAATAGAAGTTACATTTGCAAAAAACCAGTTTAAGCTCTGATTTCAGCGAAACGTGTTGAATAATTGTAGTACAATAAATTTTAATGAATTACGCAATGAATTCTCTTAATAATGTATTTTGTTTGATTTAAAAATATTAAGTAGTTATTTTTTAAATTCAATTTTAGTCCCGGTTGCACGCGACATGTCGCACGCGACATTTTGGAAAGCGATAATTTAAATTAAAACTGTACGACTATTGGTAATCGCATATGTCCTTTTGCATTTTGTATTGACTCTTTGGGCTTATGTCATATTAGAAACCAAAAGTCAAAGCAAAATGCTTCGGTTTAAGAGATTGGCATCAGAACACAACATGCCATTTTTTATGCCTTTTTTTATAAAAACAAAATTATTTGCGTTTGCGCGTGTTTGACATCGATTTTTTTAAACTTATTTAAAAAAATGAAAAATTCTCTTAGTCTTGATCATCCTGACCAATTTTTTATCTAATCATGTTAAAAATACTCGTTTTTAAGCAATTTTAAGTTTTTGTCCGCGGTGGACCTTTCTGGAGAATTGCCCATATATAAATTTTTTAATGTCAATTACTCATTTTCCAAGAAATATTTCCATAAAATAAATATATAGTATAATAAATAAATAAAGAAAAACACTTTGAACCACATGCATATTTTAAAATTTAAGGCATCTGATCTATTCATGCGTTCACTTGAGAACTTTTAAGTGTATAATCATAAAATATTTGAAACTTAGCTACGCATGAATAAGTTTAAAAACCTGATCCATATCGATTTCGATTAAAAAGTAGTAAAATGGTAATTTCTTGGGGTACTACCGGGTACCAGCCTACATTATGAAAACTCTACTTATGGTAGAAAATGTTTGTAATGTTTAAAAAACTTCATTTTTAGTTTGTTTAGGTAAATTAATTTTTAAATTTTAATTAAAGTTTTATATTTAAACGTTTTATTATTTACAAGCTCGTAATAATACGTTTAAAAACTTAACTATTAACAACCCCGGATGGTAATGGAACATTATTTGACACTGAACCTGGAATTGGATCCTCAGTCAACTGGGACTCCTTAATGCTCTTGTACAGCAGGAAAGCAAAACACACTCCTACGCCCTGATGGAAGAAATAAACATTAAGAAAATCCATAAAAAGTTCGGGGCGACGCAATTAACCTCCACTACGATGATTAGACATCCAACTTTTTTTATCACATCCAACCAGTGCATCCAGATCTCCATCTCGGATAAGTATGCCGGGTCAGGAACAAGTATAGGTTGAAAAGCTGAGGCCCTGCGAATTTTCTCTTTAATTTCCTTCTTCGTTTCTGAGGCTATACTTATTAAATATATTTGAAACCGGATCATCAGTATTAGGGCACCCAAGTACTGGAAATAAATTTACAAATACCACAATTATATTTAAAAATTAAAAATACTTTGATGTACTTAAAATATATACTATATATAAATGTATATACTTACAATGAGGAGGCTAATGGGAGCCTCACGGATGGCTGCTAGGAAGCCGAAGGTCGCCATAATAATGGTACCAAGCCCAAGGACGATAAAGAAGCCTCCAGAGAAGTTTTCAACCGTTGTGGGGGAGTTTAAAAAGGAAATGCCATATGCGATCAGCATAAATCCAAGCACCTGCGTAAATCACAAACAAATTGGAAAGTTATTTTTCGACTTGGACTTGTATTCAAAATGTGATTATGTTAAATAGAATTGATATAGTAATATTAACCCAATTTAAGTTTGACACATTCAATTACAAATAAACAGCTCATAAAGGTTTCATTTTCCTTAGCTCAAAAGAAAGCCACGAAATGTTTGTTTCCTAATGTTATTAAAATAAAATATAGGATATCGTATTAAATTAACGTAATCTAAAAAGAAAACGATCTTAAAAGTGTAGTTATTTAAAACCTATTTCATTTTATAATCTTGACACAATCTTTATCTTAAAATTTAAATTACTCAAGTTGAGAAAGCATATTTCTCAGTATATATTTAATCCCAAAACGATCATTTAAGCTGTTTTATTTTCGGTTTGTTATCTGAAATAAATTCTGCCAACTAGCCAATCATTGCTATTTAGCTTTAAATTAAAAATATTCATTTGAACAAAAGTACTCACCTCTAACAATGCGCTTAGTGATAGAACCAATCGCTTCCATAAAATTAAAGACATACTGTTTTTTAGTGAGATTAAATTATTATATTTTGATAACCCTGCGTTCTTTTATTCTTAAATATTTTCCACTTCCCTAATGCCCCGGAGTCTGAGACAAACTGCGTTAAAGCTGCAATCAATTTTGTATAACGAAGTTGAGTTGAAGCAGGCAGAGTTTGTCATGTAGCAATCGTTGAATATCGATAGCAATTGAGAAAATATATAACCAAAATAATCGATATTTTCTCAAATTTTGTAATCATTTGATTTTGTTTTCGCGGCTTTCTTTTATTTGTTTAGATAAGTATTTCTTGAGATGGTTTAACACAATTAAGCAAGATAACAAATTCGATAAATATTAAATTAAATTTATAGATTTTATAATTGAAGGAAGGCCTAATGATTAATCTAAACAGTCCTGTTATAAACATTAATATGATGATACCATGTTATTTAAAACCATTAGGAAATTAATAATACATCATTTTTAGAAAAGTGAAATAAACAGTTGCGGCAACAATTGATTAGAGAAAATCTCATTAAAGGTTATTTTTTAATACTTATATTAGGTGACTTAAATAAAGCTTCACATCCAGACGGCATTATTCCGTCGGCTCTGGTTTTTCACGCTGCTGTACAACAGCCAACCGAAGACAGCTCCCACGGCCTAAAAGAGTCAAGGAACAAAAGGATTAAATTATTTAAGAAAACAATGAAATAAGCAACCAACCTCTCCGATGACCAGCAGCCAGCACACAATTTTAAAGACCAGCAACTTGTCGTCGAGATACTCGGTGAACTCGGCCTTGCAGCCGACCTTGTAGACACTGGACTGGTCCACGCACTTGTTGTCCAGGCAACAGCTCTTGGGGATGGCGTGGTGAATAATCCAGTAGTCCTCGGAGCTGTTCACTCCGCAGCAGTGCAGCCAGTTCTCGTAGTAGGCCAGGGCCCCGCTCTCGTTGCGCTCCGCCTCCCAGAGGCGTTCGAAGCCCTCGTTGATGCTGCCCGAGATGCCGTCCTTGGTCCCATGCGAGGCCATGCTAAGGAAGAGTAGCTGGGCCAGGATCAGCAGGACCACGGCACCCACGTACTGCAGGAGAAGAGATAGGTTTTAATGTTTTATAGGAACTTTTTTGCCTGGCACGAACACTACATAGGAGACCTACAAGGCAGTCGATGTCCATGGCATTCTTTTTTCTATATTTCTAGTAAAAGTAATTCTAAAATTATTAAAAGTAATTCTAATTATTAAGAAGTTCTAATGTACTATGATATTTTATATTTGATAAATTTAAACTATATTGCTGTATTTGTATAAGATTAATTACATTTATCATGTTGATTTTTATTTAAACAGTAACAAAACTAAGATCATCATAAACTCACTTATCAGAAAATGATCAATAATTTGATATCGGTGCAACAAAGAAATACAAAAAACAACTTAATATTGCATGTAAATAGCAAAAATATAAATATAGAAAATTTCCAAATTTTGAATCTGAAATACTTAAAAATAAAAAAACAATACTATGGCTTGAGCTTTATTTTAACTGCCAAGCTAACTCGTTCCCGCCAAATATAAATTATCGTTTAATTAAAAACAAGCCAGTAAGAAAGCTATAGTCGGGTGAGCTCAAAACCAACGTATACCTGGTATTAAAAGCTTAGAGAGTCACGTTTTAGACTTACAAAATATAAGTTTCAAATAAATATCTAAACAAGAAACACATTAAACTATTTTAAATAGGAAGCGCCCTGCTCTGAGGCAACTACACGAATACGAATTTGTTGCGAAAGTTTAAAACAATCTTAATTAGTTTGCAAATTGTAAGAATTCCGTGACCAATTTTGATAGCCTCTTATAGCGTTTGGCATCTGTTATCTGTTTTCGTAAGAGCAAAATTTCACATTTGCCAAATCGACTCGCCAAGTGATGCTGATAAGGACAAATAAGGAGGAGATGCCAACCTGCCTCATGAACATTTAGCAATATGTGCAATTCGTTACCAGAAAAGTAAGAAAGTTTACCGAATTATTTGACTAGTGTCTTGTACTTAATTAATGACTAGATAGACCAGACACATAGCTACTTACGATCAGGAGCCGCACAGGTGCCTCATGGATGGCCGCCAGGCAACCGAAGACCGCTATGATCAGGATGACAACACCCAGGCCAATGATGAGGCCGCCGGCGACGTTCTCACCAATGCTGACGGCATTCTCGGCGGCGGAGATCAAAAAGAAAATTCCGAAGGCGATCAGCGCCAGTCCGAGCACCTGTGGAAATCACAGCGGATCAAGGTACACACACGTACACACACACACAACACACCGCCCACCGCCCACACTCACGGAGAAGACAAAGTTCAGCAGGAGCAGCAGATGCTTCACTGTGGTGGAGGCCAGGCCCATGTTTACTGTGATTCCAACGGAAGACGACTGGCGAAGTCAACGGGAATGGGCGCAACGTTACGTATATGGCGATGTTCAATAGCCAGTTTCGGATACGCATCCGTCAGATACGAGGCTGCGATACGGCAAGATCTCTCGGCGGCTGACCGCTGGGTTTCAGCGGCGTGAATCAACTGAATGATGCGATGTGGGGGATACAAACCGAGAAGCGAAAAGCGAAAACCGAAGAAACAGTGTGTTTTGTTTTGTATAAAGCACATTCTATCTATAAATCGGTGAGTGAAAATCGAGAGCGACGAGAATCGCCCACTTTTGGCGGGCGAGCTTTTCTTGTTTACCTCCGTGCGAGTTTTCTTGCAAGAGTTTAGTCACAGCCAGCAGCTGGTTTTTAGTTTTTTTATTTTCGTCTTTGTTTTCGATTCGATTTATTTTTCGGCGTGGGAGCGCCAGTTTACAGTTTACAATTTTATGAATGAATACTTGGTATTGGTATTTGTAGCCTAACATAATCAATAATCGTAAATTACAATCACAATTCGTCTAGGAGATTACTCACAACAAATAACGATAATACAACAATGGCAACTTAACTTAATTATAGAATCGTATGCGGTCCCGATGGTTGCGAATGCTATCCACCAGGTAGCAGGTGGTCACGGAGCCAGCGAACTGCAAATTAGAATTAATGATTATAGTAGTATTGGAATTGGATAAAATCTATTAACTATTTGATGACGAAAAATGCATTGAACTCAGGGATCAAGAATGCAATAAAGCAGGTTTGCTTAGAGAAGGTGATTCTAAGTTAAATTGCTCACAAAAGACTAGGAAAAACAAAGTTCTTGGGATTTAAAAGAAATACAGAATATATATCCAAGATTATCGGAGAAGCAAACAATACCTTAGACATTTACACAACAAGTCATAATAAACAAACAGAACGTGATATAAATGGAATCCCGCCCCCAGCAAAATGCCTGTGTTTTATATAATATAATACATCGTAATATTACCAAATCTCGTCACTAATTCTATTTTGAGTACATTAAACACCTTAGCGCATATGACTCACCTCGAAGAGGATAAGGAACCAGCTCAGTGTGTGAAAGTTACGGGTTTTTCCGACAACATACTCCTTGAACTTGGCCTCGCATCCCGACATGAAGAGATTCAGGAGCTTGGTGCAGTCTCGATCGAGGCAGCAACTTGGCGGAGGTTCCTTCTCCAGATGCAGATAGTCCTCGGCACTGTTGCGGCCGCAGCAGTGGAGCTAACGATGGGAAAGCAAAGAGAGTTAAGGTATTTGGTTTTATAGAAATAGTATCCATCCTGCTCACCCATTCCTCGTAAGAGTTGAGAGTACTATTGCCCACATGCTGCAAATCCCACAGGTCCTCAAATCCCTGCTTTAGGGATTCCGGCAGAGATTCCCTGCTGGCTCCAAAACTAATGCTGAACATAACAAACTGAATGATCAGAAGCAAGACCAAGACAACAGCATACTGGAATAATACAGAATATATAGTACAGTTTACAGTTTACAGTTTACAATAAAGTTTCCTGTACACTCACACAAATCAGCAGAGTCCTGGAGTCCTTGGCCACGGCCACTGTGCCATAGATGCTAGCCACTGTGACGACGGTTCCCAGAAGGATGCAGAGTGCAGCGGCCAGGTCCTCGCCATGGTCCATGCCCAGGACCCGCTGCTGATCGGAGAGACTGTCCAGCAGCCAGACGCCATACCAAATCAGCAGGCAGCCACCTAGCTAAACACAATCCATATTCCATTATCCATTATCCATTAGCCATACTCCCCTTCAATGTCAGCAGCCAATTGTCTATTTTTGGGCACTTACAGCACAGATGCCATTGATGACACACAGCACGTATCTGAGCAGGCGGGTGGTGCAGTACATGTCCGAAAATTCAACTTTCGATTGCTCAATTTTCACGAGTTTTCCGCTGGCACGAGCACACCTTGAGCACTGCCATCAAACCATCGACTAAAGTCGCCTAATCTTCATTTGTTTGTTTGGGCGACGCTCTGCGCGTCGGATGCCTCGTCGGATTCTGTCGCCATCCGGTCCGGTCCCCACCGATCCGCTGGCCAGATGCAATAGACAGACGCTCGGGGGAAATCAAAAGAAAATATAGAATACAAATGAAAATTAGCGGGAGGCGCCCGCCCACGCTTCCCACAAGACAGCATGTGTCCACCCTCACCTTCCGAGCGGCACTCCCCGCATTTTGTTTTTGGGAATTATCATCGGAATGATGTCAACAGATCTTTGGACCTTCGAAATTCCGAAACACAGAACACACAGTCTACGGACAATTCTTTATTTTGGCTTGGCTTTCGAAATGCTGTCACAAAAAATGGTGGCTTAAGTCGAGCTTAGTGTAGATTAAATTACATGTAAAATGGTTACATTCCGTTTCCGCTTGAATGTTACAGTTAGTCGGGTCAGGAACCGACGACAATCAGAAAATTGTAAGAATCGTATTTAAATTTTAAATGTTTACAAGATTTGTCTTACCTCTGCTGTGAAAAAAATAACATAAACAACAATTGAAATCAGACCTTTTTTTGTCAAAAATCATAGTAAGTAGAACACTTATAGTGTTACATATCATAAAAACAATGAGTTTATGTACTTAGAGAAATGATAACTAAAAAAACAAAGTACTTCATAATATAATAATCAAAAATCAATGAACGGCTCATAATGTAATAGTCAAAAATCAATGAATGTATGGCTCTTCTAATGCTTGCTTTAAAACTGTTGGGGTTCCCGATCCGAACTAACAAGTTTGAATACAATCACACGCACTGCTCTCGGATTACCTCGCTAAAGTAAATTGGTTTTGGAATCTCTATTGAGTCTGCGGTTTATGCATTTGTATGGAGAGTTCTTTGGCCTTAAGTATGCGCATCTTGGAGTTGGATTCTTGAAATGCAATCTATTCCAAAAATTGTACATGAACCTGCTGCCACCTACTTCTGATAGTACTTGGAGCGTCGCCAGCGATTCACAATGCTGTTGGCCAGGACATAGGCCAACAGGGCGCAGATTATCTGAAAGATATATCATAGATAATAATTTCTTAGAGATATTTTCAGGCGGAACAAACCTCCACGCCGACTAGCACCAGGGAGACAATGTTGAAGGCCGTCCAGCGTTCGGCAATGAAGTCCAGAAACTTTTGCCTACAGCCCTCGAGATTCAGTTTATCGGTTTCGCTGTTGTAGCAACTATTGGGGGGCAGCAGATAGTCCTTGGGTCCCACATTTCCGCAGCAGTCCAACTGGAATGTGCCAAGTTATAGGGGAAGGTCGTGAAAGATCCCTTACTCCCACTCACCCATCGCTCAAGACTGGCTATCTGGCTCTGATTTCCCGGCTTAATGGGCACCGGCTGGTCGTTCCACAGCTGATCGAATGTCTTGTCCACGTTTATCAACAGCGACGTTTGGAATGCCCAAAGGAAGCCCACGACCAGAATTTCCAGCACAATCAGGATAATCAAAATTACTACGAACTGAAAAGGGGGAAGTAGTGGAATATTTATATTGATATGTACATCATTAGTACCTACCGTCTTGGATATGCTGCTGCTCTCCCGTGCCGCCCCGAGGGATCCAAAGAGGGCCGACAGCACCACGACCACGCCCAGGCCAATGATGACGAAGGCGGCCGTGTTGAAGTGCTCGAACTTGTAAATGATGTGCACCCCAAGGCCAATCACAACCAGGCCGAATAGCTGTCGAACGAGAGAGGTGGGAAGTGGTTGATTGAAAGTCTAAATACATTCTATGTGGCCCGAAAGGTGATAAAACCGTAGCCACTCGAAGGTTGGGCGTTGAGTCAATATGCAAATTGGGCCTGTGGAAATTCTTCAATTGCTGGACTGCTTCATATATCAAATCATATTGCTAATGACTTGCTTAGTGACTCTAGCCAAAGTATTCATCTTGTTATTTCTATTACCTTTTCTTCATCTTATGGTCTATGCATCTTATATATATTTACTTAAACTAATGCCTTTACAGATAACGTATACGCAATGGTATTTAAGTAAATAGCAGTCGCCCCAACTAGCCTCTCAATTGCTTAAATTCTGTTGGTGCTACGCATCTTATTCTTTAAATTTTCGTTAATTCAGCTTATCCTCTTGCATATTACGTATACGCCAAGATGTCTGCGGGGGTCTCGCGCTCCTAACCCACCTCTCACTGACTTGTATTCTTTTAGCAGCACACATCTTATTGTTTATATTGTCTTTGCTCCAATAGAGTCACCGATTACGTATACGCAGCGGTGTCTGCCGAAATCGCACGCTCTCTGACTCGCCTCTCATTCACCGCCTGCATACACAGCTCGGTGCATTTTAAAATAGCCACAATGAGTCACTAGATCCGTGAATGCAACGCGATTTTCACACACTCCTGCCAAATGCGGACTACTCGTAATTTGCCACTTGGCAGCTCGAAAGAGAAGAGCTAAGAACACAAAGCTGTCCTCCTACCGATTGTAGGTTTGTGAAATGCGTATTTAATCTCCAATCCAACGAGTGCTGATGTTTGCACACAGCAACCTGTTGCCGCCAGCAACTTGTAAATTATTTTTACAATTGTCGAAGGGGGCAAACATGAAAACCAGTCGGCAAATAAGCTGCCATTGACGTGACTTGATTGTTTGTCACTCGAGCTCTGGCTGCGCCCGGCTTCGACAATCCCCACGTTTCGGCCAAGAGCCTACGACGCGGCAATTATGAATGATTTGGCCGATTAATCATTTCAGCCAGGGCTAACTTCGCCCCTAATCCCTGGCCAAATGCGCTTAGGAAGCCCTAAACTGGGCCTAATGCTTTAAGGCACTGTCCCGACTTGGACACATATGAACTCTGGCCGCAAGTTGTGCATATTCGATGGGCTTGGGTGCCGAATATGGCGGCAACAAATAGCATTTACATTAATTGAGTTACAATCGAACGGCGGCCCATCAATTAATGTTTACGAGACAATGGAGATGAGCTCTAATCCAGCACCAGGCACGTAGCACTCAGACATCTGGCATTATGTTGTGAGTATTCAACGCCGTTTAATTGTAATTTATTATGCTGCGGCGCCCAAGTCCAAATAGGCGCTGACATAACCCTCCAAGGGCCCGCGAAAGAAAACAGAAAACATGTCTATATTTGAGTTCTTCGAAACTTGAAAATCGGGAACAAACAAATGGAAACCAAGCGTGCCAGAATCTGGAATTGTTTAAGACCACCGAATCATAATTAGACTTGGTAATTGACAGCTGGATGGGGTTACTTAATGCCCCTCCGCGACGTCCGATAGAGAGTATCTAAGGCGTAAAGTCACGAGTACGCTAAGGAGACACTCAGGTGCTCTCCCATAAAAACACGATAAGGAACACGATGAGTTGGTAACAGCAAATAGGCCACAAGCGTTTTATTAATTTGCTCTCATTTACCCGCGCAGACAGAACAATTAAACGCAATTATCGCCGGAGTGTGCAAGGTCAGAGCAGTGGTCTAGTGACTCAAACTAATTTGCATTTCGTCTGATGATAACGCGGAGTGGGCAGATCAATTGCCAATGTCGGCGCCCCAAATAAGTGTTCAAAACAAAAAAAAACAAGTTGCGGCTCTGATTTATGTGGGCTTTGCCTCATGGCAGACAAAGGTTGGGCCCTACCCTAGAGTAGAATGAAGTAATTGTTGGGCCTGGGCATAATTGAAACCTCTCGGCGCGAAAATCAAAAAGCTAACTCGCCTGGAACCGAATGCGGAAAATAGCGCATACGCCGTGTGGTGCGCCGACTGGCATTTCCTCAACCTTCGGCCGCATTCCATCCAAACCAAATGCCAGAAAGATGCCCAAAACGTCTACGAATGACATCAACATGCTCGTAAAAGTGTATAGCAAGCCAAACCAAAATCTCGCTCAAGTAAAACCAACTAAAGCAACGGCAAAAATCTAATACAAAATTCTATATGTTCTTGTTCAGGGTTAAGTGACGGCGTGGGTGACCAAGTTTTGACTTGGCAGCCAGCTAATGTGGGGGAAATACATACAAAAACTAAGCAAGAAAACAAACAGAAAATAAAAAAAATAAATTAATATATCACATTTGAAAATATATATATTATGGCAGGAAAAACAAATGCTCAGAACTGGATGGATGCGATCCTCCTCTATGAACATTTTGTGGCGCTGTGGCTCGAGTTTTATTAGCTGCGCCTAAATTTGCATCAAAATGGAACAGAACACCAAGGTCTTCGGTAATAATTTAAATGCTGGCCAACTCAACAAATTGAAAAACTATCCGCTGGCAAAACTAAAGATATATCTGTGTCAGCCCAATGTTTATTTTGTGCGCCATCAAATAAACAATTGGCCACATCAAAGGCCCACAAGATCTTTGAATGAACTTGAGGCGAAGCTGGAGAATTTAGACCCTGGCACTTGGCCAACATCGGGGCCAGAGGGCGAACCATAATTTTCCTGCAATTAGCCTTGGCCAGAGCTTACGTTTAATTCATGTTTTAGTGATTTTCTCGGACTCTTATCTCAATCACTTGATTTTGGTGTCATCAGATCACCTAATCGCTGTACTCACGGCATAGATAATATCACTGAATAGGGCAAACACCTTCAGCACGTTCGTAGAGCAGGCCATTATCGCGGATCCTCGTTGTTTTAGATTTGTGCGAGGATTCAGGATACAAATTATTTATAGAGAATTTCGTTCTCTTGGCAACGCACAGAAGTCCGTTGTTGACAATTCGAAAATATTTATAGAGCTGTTCTAACGGTCGCTGGGCGTTACCAACAAAACCCGGTTCATGTTCACCGCTCGACTGTTAACTGAAAACTGTTCGCCGTTCCGACCGTTCCACACTCTGGCGATGGCGCGAAAAGCGAAAAGCGAGCGAAAAGCAACTGTGAAAAGCAAAATACGAAAAGCGAATAACGAAAGCTTTGGCACGAAGTGGAATCGAAATGCTTGGCCGCAAAAACTAGCAATGTTTTTCTCGCTCAACTAAATATTTACGTATATCAGCACGACGGTATGTGCATATAAACAAAAATAGACGATGAACTATTTGAATAAAATAAAAGAGAGACGCTGGCCTATGCTCACATATTTTAATTATACTTTTTCACCATTTTAAGCGGGTTTCTTATTCAATTTTTGGTTTGGAGAAATCACATTTAATATGTTTTGAATTATAAATCGTAGATCAAACACACCCACTTTAAATCAAAATTTAATTCTATTGAAGGCCAATCCAGAATATAAGTGGATTGATATCTGAATGTGCTGATATTTTAACAAGTTAGTGAGTTATGCCAAAAAAGAAAATTCATGTTCAGCGGGTGGGACATATTTTCCAAATATACCATACAGAAAACATGAAAAAGAATGTATTTTTAAAGTTCTGCCTCAAGTTACTGAAATCTCCTTAAAGAGTGTCTATAAATATGAAATAAAATGTAAACAGAAGAAAGCATCCAAAAACAAAAATTACTTAAGTCACAGAAATCTCCAAAAGGATGTCTAAAAGTATGCATTACAATGTTTGAAATGTAAATTTGTTGTTCAATTACAAGAATTCCAAACCCTCGTAAAAACCCTACCACAATCCGTACATTTTATTATTTTTCTTCATTTATTTAGAAATATTTTGTAATAAATATTATTAAAACTAGTTTAGATTTCTTACACTAGCGTTTGTGAGTTATTTTCAACGATTTCATTGAAATTCATGTATGAGTTAGATTAACCCCTAGCATAGTACTGGGTTCGTGTAGTTTTGAGTTTCAATTTCAAAAATTATAACAATTACTTTTCGCATTTCCAAACCAATTAGATAATGTTGTAATATTTTCTTATTTTCCTTCGTCACCTTCAATACATGTGTGTAATTTGCCTTATCCTTGAGAAGGATCCCTTAAAGGGTTCCTTTAGAAGTAAGATCGTCGAGCATCGTTGCGTATGCTGTTGCACAGGCGACAAGAGGCAATGGACAGCAGGAGCTGAAAGGAAAATAATGATTAACTTTTCTCTCGATACAGATTTAATAGTAAGAAGACCTACCTCAAGACCAATCAGCACAAAACCAATAATATTGAAAATCTTGGTCAGGTGCAGCCAGTAGTTCTCAAACTCCACTCGGCAGCCGGTATGGATTAGGTTCTCGGGCTTGCTCTTGTCGTGGTCACGGAAACAGGTCGCTGGGGGTAGGCGTTCGTTCACAATATAATCCTGGGGACTGCCTCGACCACAGCACTGGAACTGAATATCAAAAACTCCGGTTACAAATGTCCTTAAACCTTACAAAATATTCTGTGAGGCTAACTTACCCAATTCTGGTAGAGCGACATGGCACCTGGACTGTTCAGCTCCTCCTCCCAGGTTTGGTCCAGAGCGCTGGCTAGGTTGGCGGCCACCGACTTATCCTGGGTGAACAGCAAGTAGACCACGGCGAACTGGGCAATGATGACGAGGCATAGGAACACAATGAACTGCAAGGATACAAGCATTAGCACAACACTTGCAATTTGCAATTATTATGGCTTACCGTGACTGTGCAGCACACATTCTCGCGCCAGGCGGAAAGGTATCCCCAGAGGACCACCACCAGGGCAGCTACTCCCAGACCCACGTATCCATAGGCCGCCAGAGCACCGATTTGGTTCAGATTATAGGACACTAGTACATAGACACCAAAGGACATCAACACTAGGGCCAGCAACTGTAAGGATAAAAAGGAAAGGGTAAAATCGGTTTAACCATGCATTCTCCTTTCAAATGAACCTCAGATTCCGGTTCAGCGAACAAAAATACTTTTGAATATGTGGGCCTCACTTTGTTTCAGTGTGACTGCGTTGTTTGATAGGTTTTTTATGTGACGACTGAATACTATAAATATTTTCATGATATAATGGCACAAGTTGTTAATATAAATTTGAACAATTTTAAGGAAGTTGGACAGGTAAACTAGTTTCATATGCATTTAATACTAGGTTTTTGCAACTTTTTCTAATTAAACGACTTTGGGAAAGATATTAGATTTTATATCACTTTTATATATATAAATATGAATATATATTTAAGATTTCTACAACTAGAAAGCTAATGGAGTACTATATATTTTCAAATTCAAATTATCTTAATTTTCCGATAGTTAATAAGTATGGAACCTTATAATAATAAAATTAAAAAAAAAAAGATGGATTAATAAATGTACAAAATAGATAAAAACAAGTTGAAAACCAAGAAGGCATAATACATTTTTAAAAGCAAAATTTCTAAAAGTTGCATCCTCAGATAGTTATAGGATACATATTCATACATATCTCATTTTCTGTGCAAACAAACTTCTGATTAAAATTATCGTGGCCTGTAAGGAATAATCAATTCCAAGAATGACTATGAATCCTTTTATCCGTCTTTTAGTTTCTGGTAATTTTGTTATCAAAGTATATGAATTATTCTTCCCTTCTGACTCAATAATTCCTTGAAATTTGCCAGCACAAAAACCAAAACAACACTTAAGCAAATCTATAATAGCTGGATTAACTACGATGTTGTTTTGTTATTTTGAGCTCCTCCATGTGCTCCTACCCAGAACATATCCAGAGCATCGCATGCCCAAGGCCACCCTCTCCAAACCCATCAGAGTGTCAAAGACTACAATGTGACCTAGAGTTCCAATTTCACTGTTTTCACGAGTTTGGAAACAACAACTAACCATTAAAGAACGACCCTAATCGAGGGGCGTCCCTCGGACTAGCCTGGCTGGCGTCTGTCTATCCCAGACGCCAGCGAAATTGGCGGGATGGAACTGTGACACAGGGAGCGGGAGAGAATGGAGGACACCGGAAGGTCGCCCAGTTCGGGATTATGCACACAGACAGGGTCCCTTGATTACTATTCATATCTGATATCGCGGAGCTAGCGCTTCGGTTTGGCAACGTCTGATTGTTTTGACTCTGCTTGAAATATTCAAATTCAGTCTCGGCTATCGAAAGCTTCCACTTCAAAAAGTGACGCAACGTGTGTTCATTCAGCGATGAGGTATAATCATCTGTGACTGGAAGACACAGAAACATGGGTGAATCAGCTCTGATAATGGGACTTCAATTGATTCATCTGGACTCATGAATCATCTATCAACTCCTTGCGGGAATTCGGGCACTTTGAGCCGCCCCAGATATCGATCGATTGGCAATGCAAAATTGATGAGCCGCTAGGCGATGGACACACCGCCTCATCGGATCGTCATCATATATGCAGCGACCTCCGGGCGCATCTGTTCCTTCTCAGCGTAGCCGGCAATTAAAGTTGTATAAATAAAACAAATGTTCGTTATAGAGGAAACGGGTTTGGCCATTAGAAGCGTTTATACCAGGTCTGATTCTGGAACAAGTGTCCGCGGTTCCCAAGGCGAAAGTCTGTACTAATGTATGTATGTACATATATGTAGGTATACTTATGCATGTACATATGTGAATGAACTGATAAGGCTTTATTATGCTATTCTTGGCAAATTCGAGAAAAGCGGTCGAGTTATTGTTATTATCAGTGCCATTGTACTACGCTTAGTCTGGGCAACCACAATTGTCGCAATTGTGGACCTGAGGCCAGGCAGGGGGGCGAACTACTCACCGTGCACAGTATGTCCAGGGCAAAGACCACCAGTTTCGCTTTCGACGTGGATGCCATCGTGGGGAATAGTCCTTGGATTCTGTTTAAAGATCCTATGCCTTGAATTCCTGGAGAGAAGACGCCTGGCCGTGAGAGCGAGCTGCAGAAGAATGAAACTTGTCGTTAGGCTGTCTCTCTTGGCGAGTCTCTCCGCGCCCCATGAGATCACTGATCAAGCTCTGCGGGCGGTGGCAGCAACTCGAATCTATCGGGAAGATCGCCGCTCCGAGATCGGTTTACTTTCAGTCAACAATAAGTGACGTCGACCCCAGTGCTGGGAACTGCGGGACGGGGCTGGGAGCACGGCATAAACACTTTCCCACATCGAGTGAGATGACTCATAAAACCTCTACCTGCTTGGCGCGGAACTGCTGTTTTTCTCGTCTCGGAACTGACTGAGGAGGCTTCGCTGTTGCTTGCTTGCCTGCCAGCCGGCTAGCTTTTTCGCTCTCGAAAGCTCTTCGGGAGTTGGAGCGCGCGGATGGGAGACAGCGTTGCCAGACCGCCTAAAGATAAGCTTTCAGTTTGACTGGATAAGTATTGGTTCCGAAAACCTCAGATTCAAAATTCTACGATTACTGAAGAAGGGCCAATTCTTAGATCTAGAAAAATAGTTAAATAAAAACCTATACAATAATAATATTAAATCCATCAAAAACAATCCATTATTCCTATGAAAGAGCAGATAACCAAATATTAGCTTCAATCCATTTTTTTAATTAAGTCAAAGATAGTCACATAAAAATTCTATCGCAACATGTCGATTGCAGTGGACAATTTATAAATGTTTAAGTTTCTTCTTAAATAATGTTAGTAAATTAAGAAATAACATAAATATTAAAAATAATATTCGTAATACACTCTTTATTCTTTATTGAGCTTTTAGCAATTACTAAGTATGCATATGTATATGTTGTTTTCTTTTTTTTAACATTTAATTTTATTATATGTCATACTCACAAAATCTTAAGATACAAAACAGCTTTTAAATATAATACGATTTTTAGTTAATCAACACTTTGACTTTTAGGCAAGTTTTCTAAGAATTATTAACTGATTTCTTATGGATTCTGTTACAGCAGTGAAGTATGAATCGTTTAAATATGTTTTTAATGGCTCTTCCCACAGAAAAGAAAGATTCACGTAAATTTCCTTAAAACAATTGAAAATAATACTTGGTGCATCAAATTAAAAGGCAAAATATAAATGTTATCAGAAAATTCAGTAGCTTTAGCTCTTATGGTCTCTGAGATCAATTATTATTTTTAAATATAATTTTTTACGACGGTTTATTTTTAATTTAACGGAGCAGAGAAAAGTTACTAAATATTTTACATGAACTCCAATAGAGTTTTACATTTATTATAATATTACATTATTATTATATAAAGTCCATTTACTACTTAATATAATGCTTATTATCATGGATCTTCCTGTCCTACTTGGCCAGGAGAATCTTTTATTGAGCAGTATTTTAAGCTTCTTGATTTTGCGAAAACAAACACTGGGCTATATAAGGAAAAACCTAAAATAAAAATACCGTTAGTAATTTTTAATATTTGTATCATGTCTTTTTCGTACCCACGTGAAGAACGTGTATAATTGAATGGGCATTCAATGTTTCGGTGTCATATATAAGAATTAAGATTATTATTTCGATTTCCGCAAAAACGAACACTATTATCCAGAGGCAGAGCAACAGTTTTACCTACAAAAGACAATATCATCCACAAGATTTTTTTGCTATTTATATTTTACCAACTTTGAATTTCAAATAGATTAAGAAAAATCCTGTTCCGGCCAAAGCAAGTGACATAGCTTCCAGGACAAAAATGGTTTCTGATTTGAAGTCAGAATATTCAATAAGAAACTCAGGAAAATAATATAAAAGAATGTTAACACTTGATACCGACAATATTGTAAAGGAAAAATTAAAAAAATAAGCCATGTACCGAGCCAGCATATTGGTTTGCACATATTTCTGTTTCTCGGAGTTATCGCGAATGAAATAATCAACTAACTCTAACTCATACTCCCTCTTACAATCTTTATACGTGGGTTCGTTTTTATTAAGTACCATAATTATTATAAATATCCTTCAATTATGGTTGATGGAATCATATGAGTACAATCAACAAATTAAATTAGGGTTATTTAAAATACAGCTGTAAATATTCGCAGCTGATAACAGCTGCCCAATACAACATTTTTATAAAATAATCTCTTCCGTTTTTTAAATATTAACCGTTTTCCAACAGAGCATTTTCTAAAATTAATAAAAATTCAAATACGTTTCTTACGAATTTTTTCTAGGAGATGTTCGGGACTTTTAATATTCTTACAAGGATTGAAAATAATCTGTGTGTGAGACGTAGAATTGAAAATCTGATACGAAAGTCCGTTCAGAACTATTTATAACTTAATCGAAAGTATTGTAAAACTCTATTAAAAAATTACAAAATTATTTATAATTTATTTTTATATTTTATGTAATGCTTTTTTTTCCTATTTTATGAAACATTTTTTTGTGCCCCCCTCGAGATTTTCTAATAAAGTTTTACGTTTTTTATAATTTATTTATTATAATACAACTAGTGTTATCCACAAATACTACTTACTATCTAATGCTTAATATCAAGACTCTTCCTGCCCTACTTGGCAAGTAGAATCTTTTATCGAGCAGTATTTCAAGTTTCTCCATTTTGCAAAAACGAAAATCAGGATGTATGAGGAAAAGCCTAAAATTAAAGTACCATTAGTAATCTTAAATCATCATCATGCTTGTTTGCCCACCCATGTAAAGAACGTGTATAATTGAATGGAAATTCCATTTTCCGGCTGCATATAAAAGAATTAAGACGAATATTTCGCATTCCGCAAAAACGAAAACTATTATCCAGAAGCATAGCAGAATTTTTACCTGTTGAAGATAATATCAACCAAAGGATTTTATCCAAGAGTTCATATTTTACCAACTTTGAATTGCAGATAGTTTAAAAAAATCCCCGTTCCAGCCAATACAAGTGACATTACTTCCAGGCCAAACAACTTTTCAGTGTCGAAGTCGGATTTTTCAAATATAATATCAGGGTAATAATACAAGATTATATAACCAGTTGATAACGTTAATATTGTGTAGGAAAAAAGAAAAATGTAATCCACGTTACGACCCAGCAAATTGGCCTGCACATTAGTTTATGTTTCTAGGAGTAATCCTTCAAATCAGGAATACAATAATAGACTAACTTTACTATTTGTTTTCAAACTCCCTTCTGCATTCTTAACTAAAAGGGTTCGTTTTAATTAAGTACCGTAGTTATTATAATGGTCTATCAATTCTGGTTGATGGAGACATTTGAAGACAATCAAAAAATTATTAGGTTCAGTCTTAATTAAGAACAGGAGAGAATTTTTTACAATAAAAATATAGAATTTACTTAAAGAAAATCATATAAACATATTTGTAATTTTCTTAATCCAAGTACTATTAATTTTAGGTTATTTAAAGTGTTGATTTGGTATTAAAAACTAAGGTTATTCCCAATACAGCTGAAAATATTGGCATCTGATAATTGCTTTCCATCTAATCTCATCTAACTTCCGTTTTATATTAACCGTTTTCTTAAAGACTAATGATTTAATCAGAATTTAATGTTTTATACATCAATTTACATAGTAAATTCATCTTATTTATTTGAATTTTAAGATACGTTCATATTAATTTTTTAATTATTACCGAGTGTGGTTTTAAGGCATATAAAAGAAAATTTGCTACGAAAGTCTGATCAGAACTATTTATAACTTGATCGAAAGTATTGTAAAACTCTCTTAAAAAAATATATTATTTTAAACTTTTATTTTATTTTTAATATTGCCATTAATCGATATAAAGGACCCCATCACCGTAATTTTTTTTTAAGATATAAAAATAATTAAATTAATAAGACATTAGCTTTGTTACATTGGGGAGGACAAATTTTCAAATCAATAATAATGTTTTGAATAAAGTGTGACGAACCCGAGGTTTTCTAATAAAGTTTTACGGATTTGATAATTTATTTATTGTACCACAAATAGTGCTATCAAAAAATGCAATTTGCTACATAACATAATTCTTTTTATCAAGGCTTCCCTGCCCTATTTGGCAAGTAGAATCTTTTATTGAGCAGTATTTCAAGTTACTGCATTTTGCGAAAACGAAAACCAGGCTGTATACGGAAAAACCTAAAATCAAAGTACCATTAGTAATTTTTAATAATTTAAAAATTCTTATTTTCTTGCCCACGTAAAGAACTTGTATAATCGAAACGAAATGCCAGTTTCCAGCAGCATATATAAGGATTAAGACGAATATTTCGATTTCAGCAAAAACAAACACTATTATCCAAATGCATAGCAAAAGTTTTACCTACAGAAGACAATATCAGCCGAGTGTATTTTCTGGTTTAAATATTTTACCAACTTTGAATTGAAGAAAGATTAAAAAACTCCGGTTCCAGCCAAAACAAGTGACTTTACTTCTAGGACAAACAATGTTTCAGTGTCAAATTCAAATTTTTTAAGTAAAACCTCAGGGTAATAATACAATATTATATAACCAGTTGATAACCATAATATTGAAAAGGAAAATATTAAAAATGTCAGCCACGTAACGACCCAACAAATTGGCTGGCACATTTTTATGATTCTCTGAATAGTGTTTCAAATCACGAATGAGATAATCGAATAACTCCACTGAGAATTTTCAAAATCCCTTTTACATTCTTTTTATATGGGTTCCTTTTTATTAAGTACAATAATTATCATAATTATCTATTAATACTGTTCGGTGGAGTCATTAGAATGGTTCTTATTAAGATCAAATAGGCATTTGTTTTCACAAATGAAATAGAAAATTAAACATACTTATTCAATAAAAAAAAATTTAAGCTAATTAGGCTAAAACTTCTATTTATGTTATTAAGTGTGTTGATTTGTATTATTATTTTAATGTATTCAAAGTCTTACTACAATTTATTTTCTATTGATTCTTATATAATTATTTTGATAATTACTAATACTTGATATAATTTTCTGTTTCATTTTGCAAATCAAGTTTCTTAATTTAATTCAGTTTACAATTTACCATTTGGGACTGTAAATGCATTAAAGAAGTTTTTTATCACCGGATTTCCGATAACCTTCTTGTTCTCCAGCAAATATATTAATACCAAACCAAAACCACAGAGCAGAATACCTGAGAGGACATTTTGGTCAATACTTGTGCCTTATTACCTTGTACCTTTGCACATACCGCAACATATAAGATCCCATTGCCATATACAAAAGCCAGCTAGCATATTGGCGTATATAATATATGCGCACATAATCACAATTAGCTGAGCAGTGACAATTACCCAGTTGTACAGAATATGGTACTCCTAAATTCAAATATTTCACATTTTTATACCCTTGCAGGGTATTATAATTTCAGTCAGAAGTTTGCAACGCAGTGAAGGAGGCACCTCCGACTATATAAAGTATATATATTCTTGATCAAGATCAACAGCCGAGTCGATCTAGCCATGTCCGTCTGTCCGTCTGTCCGTCTGTCCGTCTGTCCTTCTGTCCGTCTGTCCGTCTGTCCGTCTGTCCGTCTGTCCGTCTGTCCGTTTCTACGCAAACTAGTCTCTCAGTTTTGAAGCTATCTGAATGAAACTTTGTAGTTAACCTTCTATATACTCTCACTCGTATATATGTCGGAACGGGCCGGATCGGACGACTATATCATATAGCTGCCATAGGAATGATCGTAAAATTTTTACAAAAAAATTTTTAACTTTTTCAGTTTTCAATGGAATCGGATCAAATTTAAGATATAGCCATTTAACTATACTCTTCAATTTTGTGTAAAATTTTATGAAAATCGGACTAATATATCATATAGCTCCCATAGGAACGATCGAGAAATTAATACAATTAAATTTATAACTTTTTCAGTTTTCAGCTGATTTTCATCAAATTTAAGGTATAGCTATTTTATATTAGTCTTAAATTTTGTGTCAAATTTTATGAAAATCGGACGACTATATCTTATAGGTGCCATACAAACGATCGTTTGATGTAGAGGAAAAATGCAAATCTGTGTATGTAAAACTGCAAATATAATATGTATAGGTGAATGAAATGAAAGCAGCTATTACTTCCTTGTTTTTTAACACAAATATATATAATTTATATTGTATGGATTCCTATTCATAGAAGTTCTATCTGCAAGGGTATAGAAACTTCGGCGTGCCGAAGTTAGCTTTCTTTCTTGTTAATATATATTTTGTAATGTTTTAGTGAAAAACTAACCCTGTAACTTCCAAATACCCACAAGAAGCCGCTAAGTCCGTGGACGCCCGTCATCCTCAAAATGTTATTAACCGAAGAGTGCGCGCATTGCTCCCAAGAAACTTTAAAAATGGTTTAAAATCTTTTAAATCTAATTTAATTTGTTAATAGTGTTTTTGTACCTGAAAATGTACAAGATCCGTACTTACAAAACTTAATGCAATGCGCTAAGCAAGGCAAATAATACGAAATTAAAACCCACGCGCATAACATATAAATGCATAGTGCCAGTCCGTTGAAGATTGTCGGCACCATAATTGAAACTCACGTAAAAATATGCTAAAGTTGGTCTAAAAAACTTCATGGTAAATAAATACATATCAGTATTAGTCATTAGGAAAAACTATTTTCCAATTACATGTCGTTAACGCAAATGGCAACACCTCTTAACCAAAATTGAATATGCAGCATGAACATCAATTAAGTTTCCTTCCAGCGTTTTATTTTAGTCTATGAGTTTCCGTGTGGTACCAAAGAATTCTTTCCAAAAGTCATGTTAATTTGTAGATTGAAATCATCAATATCAAAGATCCTATCAGGTAGAATATTGGTAATCGATATCAACTGTAAAATAGAATAAATCGAAACAGTCGAAAAATGTTCGTGAAAGCCCGTAGAAACTATATAAGTCCGAGAAAGTTGATTTAAAACACAATAAAAATAAACAAAATAAATTAAGTTTCTAGTTTTAAACCCTTTTCCAATAATTTTGTAATAATTATTTAAGTTAAAGCTGCCAACCCATAGACACAATCGAATGCTCACAGACGATCCAATTATAAGCTGTCGAAAAATAAACTTTTATGACAATTGGATAAGGATAAAATTAAAATGAAAGTGTCCTCCATAATGACAGGACAATGACAATTATCTGCACTGAAATATAAAAGCAAGCAATTGAAAACCTGCCCTAGAGAAGGTATTGTAATTGTTTACATGCATCCAGTGCACACAAGCAACGCAGTTGTGAGGTCATTGGGCCACTGCCATGGTGACTGAGGACACAACAAAAACAGAACCGGAACAAAGATTATAGGGTTGAAGTCCGGAATTCGTCACTCGACAATTACACAAACACCAGGAAAATGGTATATAAATACATAGTAAATGCTTTATTCATAAATGTCGTATGCAGCTCAAATTCGCAGTTTATTTGATGCATTTTCCAAAATGTAAATCTGATCTGGAGATTCTAATTTACAATTATGAATAGAATGAACATGTTACATACATACGGGTATATATGTTTATATTAAATTTATATTTCATTTCGCTTGGGCTTTTTAACAGTTTATAGTTTTCTTTTAAACAAAAAAGTAGCATTGCTACTAACGTTCATTAAGTTATTTTTCTGGGCTTTCAGTTTAACAAGTTTAAAGGTTTGTACAAAGGCTTTGGAAAGGGCGTTGTTAGCTCGTTCGGTTGGTAAAACTCGAATTATATCAATAATACATAGGAATTAAAAAATGTAAGCGCTTTATATCGCCTTAAACTACGCGTTTTACTACATTTCTTTTTGGACGAATAACAAACCAAATGGTTTCCTTGAAATTATCCTTGTTAGTGCGTTCAACGACGGTAAAATGTGATGAGAATGTGTGTGAGTGTGTCCATTTGGGTGTACGTGTGTCCCTCCTATTGTGCGTTAAATGAGTGCACGTTGCCCTTAGTAGGCGTTCCGGCGCTTATAGTTGCGAACGTTGTTGGCCAGGCAACAGGCAAAGATGAAACCGATAAGCTGGAAATGTATTTCGATTAATAAAACAACTCCGTAAATTATTTCAATTCAATGACAATTCTTACCTCAACTCCAATCAGGCCGATGGCCACGTACTTGGCCTTGTCAGTGCTGACGGACATCGTGTCGACGAACTTGGCGCGACATCCTCCATAGATGTTGAGCGGGTTCAGGCAGGAACCATCACAGCAGCTTGCAGGAAGGGTTTGTCCGTGCGTAATGTAGTCAGCGGCGGAATCACGTCCGCAGCAGTGCAACTAAAGCATATTTTTTATTAATACAGGTTATACTTTTATTCTGCATCATCACTTACCGATTTCTGGATGGCATCGAAGACACCTCCACGACCCTGGTCAGACTCCCAGGCCTTGTCAATGACATCGCCCATGGCCGAATCGAATTTGTCTTTGTTGGTGAACAGAAGAACGACCAGAGTCAGCTGCAGGATCAGTAGGATCAGCAGGAAGACGGCATAGCTCATGGTCATGCAGACCGATTCGCGAATTGCTCCGCAACAGCCCAGGAACGAGATGAATACCACAATGGATCCCAAGCTGATCAGTACGATCGGCATGAGAGCCTGTGGGGGGAAGCCCACCTGTCCATTAACCTCAATCGTTCCGATGCTCTTTAAGATCAGCACACCATAGACAATGCCCAAAATGCCGATGACCTACGGTAAAAAGAGTTGATACATGCATGTGGTTAGAGAACGATTTAGAGCTGTTTCAAATGAAAGTATGCAAGTAAGAAAGTTATGGGGGAATGGCTTCGAAATTTATATAAAAAAAACTTAAATTAAACAGTGCTAAAGACATAAAAAATTAAGTTCTAAGAGCATGTTCCGCAACATATAAACACCACAAATACCATTGGAAAAACATAGGTTATCTGACTTTTCTCCCAAAACTTGGCGGGCACTAAGCTATCTTACCATTCTACCAGATACAGAATATATCTAATTTAAATGGTTGATAAATAGACCTTCTACAAATGCATAAGTAAATGTTTATTTACTAAACACCATGTTGCTCTGTAAATATTTGGTATTGTAGAAAACAAGATTTCGCGTTAGCATACGTATATTTGCCATTTTCCCAAACTGAAGTTCTATAAATGGCAGCTGAAGTTGCAGTTACAACGGCATAGCTCTAAATATAGTTCAAATTAATCAGCTCGCTCCCATTAAGTTTAATTGAAAGTGGCGGAGTACCAGAGCGCTCGCAATTACCATGCTAAAAAGACTTAATTACTGTTGAGCCCGGGATCTGACCTCAGGGATTCAGGGAGCCATGCCCAGGCACGCCATCAGCGGCAGATGGTTGGTAATAATTAGAGTAAGTGAGCATTACGTAATCCCATCTAGTTAGCTAGCACCGTCGGTGGTGGTCCAAGAGTATCTGCAGGCCTCCGTACTGCGATCTGATTAGATAAGGCAGACTTAGCCAAGACGAGAGCAGTGGGTGCTGGGAGCCATCATCCCATGACATTCGCACATGACAATGCCGTATGAATCTCGACGAGGTCTCGCCTCTCGAGTGCAGTGCCATCCGGGGGGATTTTATGGCGGGGTTCAGCAGCCCAGACAATGCAAATCAACTTTGATCTTCAGTGGCAACGACTGCCTGCCTGACTTTCAGGCACAATTGCCTGCCATGTCATTAATTGAATTTGCTTGATTTCATTATGTGCACATGCTCGTGCTGCTGGTGTGCGGGTTTTGCCTCAATTTCCAGAGATTTAGAGAGCTGAAAAGAGCTAAAGCGCGAAGAGCTCTAAATACTATCGTGGGCGGTGGCTGCCGCCTCTGCAGCTGGCTTTGATTCCATGTCAGAATTGACCCAAAAATATTCAAAAATCCAAACAAAAGAAAGCAAATTCCCCGTCGCCCTGCTAATTGCTCCACTTTGTCTACACTAATAAACAGAATGATGCATAAATACAAACAAAAAAATATATATACATATATGAAGAAAAACAACAGTTTTTCTTTTTGAACCTGTTTGCAGTCAGCAGCTTTTCCTCTCCAACTTTTACTCGTCACAGCCCCGTTTTCGCTAACGTTAACGAGGACATTACACAATCCACATAAATATGGCCGAGACAATGCCCTGTTGTTGGCCACATTCCGCATTAAGACTGTCAACGACAGCTTCAATGACGTCACATCGAAATGAAATTGGAATGCAAATTGTTTTCGCAAATTCCAGCAAGTCCTGGACAAGGGTCTGAGATCATGAGCAGAAGAGAGCAAAGCAACCCTTGATGGGAACACAAATAGTTGAGAAGTTAGCTTATAGCCATAAAAAGATAGATATATGTATATGTATATATATTTATTTACGTTACGGACCACACCCAAAACCGAGAATTGCCTTGTTTGTCGTTTGGCTGTATCTTCAAAGCGACAAGTGACACAGATAGCCGGAGAAAGATACTAGTTTTCCGGAATGAGGAGTACGGAGCACAGTTACGCAGTGTGCAACAGGACGTATGCGTGCCCAGCATGTGTGATTGAGAGATAACAATTAACACTTTAATTGTCGGAGTCATGCCATCGGCATCTGTCAAGCCGACTTACAGTGCCACAAAAAGTTCAGTTCTTCTTGAAAATTCTACATTGAAACTTATGCCTCGCTTTCGCTAAATATACATATCAATTTGTTAGCAATGATACATCGCACTGCAATTCAATCAATATTGAGTTTTGCTTTAGCTAACCGGATAAGTAAATATTTGCTACTGAAGTTGTTTGCTTGGTGGCTCACACCACAGGAAATAGGTGTCGGCTAACTCTCAATGCAGGTCACTCAATACAACGTAGCATTGCGCTCATGGGCGACCCTGCACGCCCTTTGGGTAGCAAATATAATAGTGATTCAGGTTTGTCGTTAACCATGCCAACAAATCCGTGCTTTAGGTTCTAACCCTCATTACACGGACGTGTGCAAAATGTAAAAACTTGAAACTATGAGAATACAAATTACTGAAACACACAGACACACACACACATGACTCAACAGCCGGCACAGTCATTGTCATGTACACTCAACAAATTGGATCTTAAACTATCGAGATATTGGGTTGGGTCCATTCAGTTGAAAATGATGAATATGCGTCTATAAATAAACCACAGTTCGTAAGAGGAATTCCCCCGTAAGTGATAAAAACAGGGAAACGAAAGAACAGCTCAGTTTCACTCTCTTGATGACATTTGTTTTTCTCTTGTCTGTCATATCTCGCACCTGTGATGCTTTGAATGCAATGTACAAGCAATGCCCGACGACTGCTCTTTAAAGTTGTTGTCCGTTTATTCTTATGAGCAATGTCAAAAGATACTTATATGTGCAATAAATATATATGTTTAAAGTTTCAAGCCTGATTTATTGTCAGTGTATTCCACTTGTTTTTCCCCTTTTTTTGTGTAGTTGTCAAATTGCGAAATGCTGTGCTGCCTTTGTAGTGGTTGCTGCTTTTTTGCTTTTTGATATTTAATAGTATAGGTGTTCGGCGAGCTCTGAAAGGCGGCTTGTTAATTTATTTGGCTTGGCTGTCAAGTGTGTTATGTACTCAGGCACACCAGATAAATATCTACAGTGTATATGTGTGCACACACACGTCCCCTCTCCGCCATCCTCCTCTTTGCCGTGCACGTGTAAATGTGAACTGTGTAAACTACAAAACTCCACCAGACGTTCATTGTCGTTTTTTTTTTGCTGTGTCGCTCTTCTCTAGAGCAACAAGTTTTTGTTTTCGTTTCTTCTTTTGAGCTTTTCTGGCCATTTACCCACTTATGTGCAGGTATAAATATGTGTGCCCACAGCTGCGGCCAAAACAAAAGCGTAAATGTCTAAAATAAACCGAGAAAATCTCGGAAATTAAATACGAACGGATGAGGTGCTTAAGCTCAATTAATTAAAACATAATTGCTAATTTAGTAAATAAAATTGAATCCATTATTTTAGGGATTTAAACGAATTTGCCTTTTCATTACTCTGGAATTTCACAGATTGCACTCTAAATCATCGTTTAATTGCAAATCTTTGTTTTTTTTTTTCTGTGACTCACACAGCGTTCGTTTTCAGCTGCATTTACGTGTACTAAGTATTTTTAACAACTCAACTCAAACAATGAATTGATAATTGTTTTTCTGAAATTTGCTTTAAATCAGTTTATTTAGGGATTTCACCGGACCAGGTAAACATGTACATATGTATGTGCATACATGTCTGTGGGTGTTTGTGAAATAAACATTTATTATATAAAATAAATAAGTATAGATTCGCCATCAAGAACACGCTCGATCTCTAAAAAAAAAAAAAAAAAAAAAAAAATACAAAAAAAAATAAAATACAATTAAATGGCTTTAATGACGCCAGAGAACGCCATCAATCGGGCTAAAACAGCCCACACAAGCAAAAATTCGTAACATTTGTACATATGTAGTACAGTGGCTCACAGCTTATTTCGTGCAGAGGTAAGCTTGAAATTCAAATTCTTATAGCTAACAAACGGTAAGAGATATCAACAAAATTTAAATGCAGTTTTGTTAAGTAGGAGTTAGGCATTTATTAAGACACTTTATTATTTTTAAATACTATTAGTTAACTCTAAAATCTAAAACAAACTAAAAATAACGAATTTTTTCATGTCACAGCTTATTTCGTGCAAGAACTTTAAGTACACTAAATTTGTAATTCGTTAATCTTAAATAACTTTTTCTTGTTGCAATCCATTAGAGAAGATATCAACTTATATATTTATAACTTTTTAACGTTTGGTTACACTGAAAAAAAAAAGTTTTCTTTGATTTACCAAAATGAGCACGCGTACACCCATGGAGCAAAGCAAATTGGTCCTAAATCACATTAAAAATGAAAAAACTAAACTTAATTTTGCTGAAATAGTAAACGTGAGCTATATTCTTGTCCAATATATCATCCAATGCTTCAACCGAGAAAATCTATTAGCAGATAAAGGCCAAAATGCTCAGAATAAAACTTTTTCAGGTATGGAGAAAAGGCGAATTATACTAAAAATTAATTAAATAAATTAATTAATCGCTAAAATTGGGCACCAAAACATGATGTAGATATTGAACATGAAATGGGAAAAGGTTTCGTCCGCCGCGACTTGCGGAAACACAACTTTAATGACCGAGTAGCCCGCAAAAGGCCTTTTATTAGGCCGAAGAATCAGAAGCGCAGGCTTAAATTTTCCAACGACCATGTAACTCATCCGTTATCGATCTGGAATGATGTTATTTTCATAGACAAGTCCAAGATCAACATTTTGGGCCAAAATTAGGAAGGGTGGAATGCAGTATTCTTGACATCAACTAAATACAGAGCTGCATACTAAAAATCTAATACCTACGGTCAAGCATGGTGGCGATAGAATCATGGCTTGGGGATGCATGGCGGTATCCGGAGTTGGAATTTTGGCGTTAATCGATGGAACTATGGACAAACATAAGTACCTTCAACAGTTGAAGGATAATTTTGACCAGGACGCCAAGAAATTGAACATAGAGGAGCTACCAATTTTACCAGGATAATGACCCAAAGCAAAAATCAGATTTTCTGCAGACCTGGATGCAATGGAACTGCCCTCACTTAATGGACACACCTGCCTAGTCTCCTGACCTTAACGTCATTAAGAATTTGTAGTCAATTTTGGATCCTGGTATCCTGGCAAGAGGTCGATACCCAACCAAATGAGCTCAAAACAGGCCTCTTCGAAGAATGGCCCAAGATTCCAAAGAAACCAACGGAAAAATTTGTTTTTTCAATGGAAACTCGTTTTAAGGATGTAATTAAGCAATATGGAGGACACACAAAATATTAAGTTCATTATTATAATTATAATTTAAGATCAAGTTGTTTGCACGAAATAAGCTGTGACATAAAAAAAAGTCAGTATTTTTGTTGTATTTTAGTTTTAAGCGTTATCTAATGGTATTTAAAAATAATGAAGTGTCCTCATAAATGCCTAAATCCTACTTAACAAAACTGCATTTAAATTTTGTTGATACCTCTTACCGTTCGTTAAATATACGAGTTTGAATTTTAGGTTAACCTTTGCACGAAATAAGCTGTGAGCCACTGTATATTCTTTTTCATTTAGCAAGAAAACTGGTTTTGAAGCTATTATTTACTACATACAGAACAAAAATCTAGAATAGTAAAATACATATTTCTGTATCCTTTTGGTCAATTTAATTCTAAAAGAAGAATTTAAGAAGAAAGAATATTCAATCACAACCAGTAAGCTATATATTTGCACTCTGTATGAATTGAAAGATAAATACCTAGTGCTTATTCTTTATGCATACATGCTATTTTTTAATATTCTGTGAGAAGATGAAAACCGAAAGAATATTTTTTAGCAATGTGCTTCATTGCCAATTTTTATGATTGTTTTTTGCAATGCGACTTCGCTCGAAACATGATATTTGGCTGAGCCATCATATAATTTCTGGTTTGTGTAAACTCCCAGTATTTAATCCAAATATCTGAATCGCAAAAATAAGGGTGAACTCCTCGAGGCAGTGGGAATTTGCCTCGTTGGCGAGAAATCCAGTTGACGCAGTGGAAGCTGAACGAGCAGCAAAGCGATGACATCACCGAGCTTGGGACAACAGGCCAGTAGCAGGCGGGCTCTCAAGCTCGAGTTCTCAATGGCATTGCTCTGTTCTCAGGGGCGTCTGGAAATCGCCAGCCTTATCGGGTTTCTCACTGCTCAATATGCATATTGCATATAACCGAATTTATCGGATTGCGTTTCGACACCGCTTTCGTAACATATTGTACGATTTCTGCTTTCACGCAACTCTCTCGAACCGGTTTCGGTTTCGATTTCGATTCGGTTGGCTATAAACCGGGTCTATTTTGTAAATACTCACCGACACAATGGTGTTGAATATGAAGAGGATGTATTTGACCAGAGATGTGCCGCAGTCCATGATGGTTGGTTTTCACTGTAACGGAAAAAGATTGAATAAGTGAGTCAATCACACTAAATGTTATCTGCAGTCCAACAAATAGCAATTGGAATTAAGTTTAATTCCAGGAAATGCGGCGAAGTGAGAAAGAGAGAGAGATTGATCAGAGGGAAGAACTCATGATGCCAGTACATAAGGTGGTCTCATCACCAGAACTGCTACTTTTTGAAGACGGTTGCTTTGGCCGCTTCCTAACATTTATATTTGTTAGAGCAGAGATCCCAAAGAGTTTATCGTCCTCAAACCTTATACTAGTATTTCCATAAAGAATGACGGCGATAAGGGGCTGCCAAGCATCCGCATCTATTATCGCCTCGTTTGCTTTGCCTTCCTCAGAACGCGTCGCCAAGGCAACAACAAAGGCGAACGAAGAAAAACACAAAGGAATGCTACATTTCCCAACAACATTAACAAGGGAGTCTGAAGTGGAAAATAGGGAAAGTTCACTGCCCTCCTCTGCAGCACCAGGAGCAGCAGTGTTTCATTCAATTTTCTTCCGTCTTTGCTATTTCCCGCACTTCAAACGTACTACGCAGTCTATTGTTTTCAGGCCTTCTCCTTCTCTTTCAACCACTTTTTGGCATGCAGCATCTGCTCATGTCTTGTTGTTTTTCTTTTTTTTCGGACAAACTACACATTACACTGAAACGCACTCGGTGTTGCCGCCAGCAGGGCGAATTATTCAATCAAAAAACTCACAACTTGCCACTTGACTGGCGCGGATAATTACCTTCGTTTTTAAATTTTACCAAATTAAATTCCGACGAATGCGCGTCAGTTCGAGCTTACAGTTGCTTTTTGAGTGCTTTCAAAGTTGCTTTGCTATTCGATTTGAGCTAAAGGTGGCAAGCATTGGCGCTACTATCGATACTATCGATATACAAACAGCACACGTCGATGCTTGTTTTTTTACTTTTTTTTTTATTTTAAATTAAATTAAAACGAAAGGTTATTATAAATTTCGTCAGAAGTTTAAAGAAAAAAGGATTAATATAAATTTAGTACTCTTTTCAGTGCTAGTTGTTATTAACTTAACAAATAAACAAATCAATTATAAAACAAAAAATGATATACATTTATTTTAATATTTGAATTTGGATGTTTTGGGTAAAATTATAATAATTTTCAAACTTAAAACAAAAATGTACATTAATTTATAGGTATTACATAGGTATTTATAGGTATTGGACACAAAAAGCCTCGTTTGGTCTCCACCTTTAACAGAAAGAAAGAAACGAAGAACTGTAATTAACTTTCTGCTGTTGAAAACTGACGTGAAAACGGTGGATAAAGCGGCCTATCCACAGTAGAACATGTTGGCCGAGCATGTTGAGCTCGACGCAATTTTCATCGTTAGTGATTCCGTTTTATCATTTTCCGGACAGATATCTCCGGTTTTTAACTGCGTCAGCCGGAAAAAAAATTAAAACATCCCCTATCCTCCTTTACTTATTTTGACCTGGTTTTTTATCCGCTTTTTATTTTTGTGTAAAGTGCTGAAAAGTAATCCAAATGTACATTACTTTTATAGCAGCACTTTTAAATTAATGCAACCCTGTTGTAATCGTAAATCGTATTTATCGATATACAGTGTTATCAGTTGTTACTTTTATTAAGAAATTTGGGCGGGAAATTTGTTTCTCTACAACTACTGTCGCTGCCCTGGTCAAATGCAGAAGATAAGCGTGTTTTTAGCCAAGCTAATTTAGTAAAAACCAAATTGCCCAACTGACTGCAAATAGAAACTTTAAATGCGATTTTATCGATCAGGTAAATATTTTAATATTTTAATACTCTTTTGTTTCACACATTTATTGAAATTGTATTTTTTTTTTCTTTTTAGGTTTGGGCTACGCTGGAAAGGCGTATGTTGCCATGAATATAAAATTCCTGAGCAATATTTAAAAATTATTGGAAGTAACCAATCTACAAAAAAACAAACTTCAGAAGCTTGCAATGATGACATTGACGATGTTCTAAACGAGTTGGCAACCAATAAAGAGTGATAATACATAAAATGTATGGAAAAAATATTTTGTCTTGTTTTTTGTCCTTTTTTTTAAAATTTGTGTCCTTTTCTATCCCTTTTTTTGTAATCAATCTAGCCTTTTTCCGTAACGAGCTGACGGCAACACTGGTGGTCAGTGCTGCCAATTTGGATTTTTTCCCGTCAAAACTGGCTTTTTTTAAAGGCTAACTGCGGGAAAAATTTGTGAATTGCGGGAATTGTGAAAAGCGGGAATTCTGGCTTTATTGGAAATTGAATTGGCTTTTTCCCGATTTTTTTTTTGTGTTGTTAAAACTTAAGTACAAAATATGAAAAAGTGGCAGCTAAAAAGTTAGCTTTACGAACAAACCAGATAATGTAGCGACGTATCGATTTTTTTAATCGATATACGCTAATGTCATAACTCGCTTAGTGTTTCCATCTCTATATAAAAAGTGCGCGTAAATTGTTAGCAAGTTCTAAAATGCCGAAGGAGTATAAACAAAAATGCCTCGATGTCTGGCTTAAAAGTGATGAATTTAAGGCATGGATTCGCAGGGATGACACAGACCTGTAAAGGGTTTATTGCAACTTCTGCAAGACTACTATTACAGCTAAACTAAGTGCGAGCTCACGCTGCAACAAAGAAGCATACTAGTGCAAGCAAAAGATATTCATTTCTATTTAAATTCATTTTTATTTTAATGTAGAGAAACGGATTGCGAAGGGTCGGGAAATGCTGCGTTGACTGTGAAGTGCCAATCAAATATCTGCAGATGAAAGGAACTATTAGGTCTTACGAAAATAAGGAAGACCATTAAGAAATTGATCAAATTATGGAAATCTTTTGAACAAAAATGAACTTATTAAATTGTTATATTTTTTGAAATTTTTTCTATTTTTTTATACATTTGTTTCAGCTTTTTTTTTATTTTTTCATAAATTTTTTAAGCTTTTTTTTCACTTCTCCCGTCAAAAACAGCTTTTTTTGTTGGTCAAAAGTTGGCAGCACTGCTGGTGGTAGTGCTTGCGTACAAATTTCGTGTTGGTCGAGCCGCTCGAACGAAATCATTCTATCTTGCTTGTGTTCGCAACAACATGCTCGACAGTGGATGGCAACGTTGGCACGAACATCATTTGAAGCAAACGTTTGTGGCGACAACACGTGGTAGCGCAGCTTTACAATGTCGAAACAATTTATGCAAGAATTTATTTATTGCTTGCAAAATGAGCAATCTTTGTGGCACTCAAAAAGCGATGCGTATAAAAATAAGAATTTAAGGAACGCTGCGTGGGAAGTGCTTCTTAATAAATACAAGGAGTTGGATAAGCACGCAACAATTGATACCGTGAAGAAGAAGGTCAATTCGTTGCGGGCATCGTATAGACGCGAGCTTCAAAAAATAAAAAGAAGCAAGAAATCTGGTGCCGGGGCGGATGATGTTTACCAGCCAAGCCTGTGGTATTTCAACGACCTCTCATTTTTATATGAACAGGAGGCCTCGGCCGATGGAATCAATACATTTGATGACGGCTCGGAAATTGAAATAGTAAGTATTTTTTTCAAATAAAAACAATGGTTTATTGTGCATATAAAGAACATACATAGTTTTATATTAAATTCTATCATTCTGCCAAGATACAGCTCCAATCGTGTTAAAATATTCGCTAAATTTATCACGAATTTCTTTGGCATCTTCAGGATAATTGCCACCTTTCAATAATTCCAAATCGTCCATTTGATGGTTGGAATGTGTTCCTCCAGTAGAAATTGCGGGATCTGCTGCACCTCTCAAATATACTGCGCCGTTCTTCTTCGATAAAAAGTTGAGCAAATAGCAGCAACAAAGAACAATAACAAAAGCCTTTTCCGGCTCTAGAGCAATAGTATTTAGAAGGATTCTAAATCTGTTCACTATTATGCAGAGCTCGCAAATAACTGTCGACCGTTTCTCGTTGTCTGCAAATAAGTGTCTTTTCCTGACACTACGAAAAAACTCAGAGAGCAACCGAAATAAGAGTGCTTAAATGAGCTCGCTCGCGCTCAGAGCGAAACCGTTTTTTTTAATTCTGTTTTGTTCTGGTCGTTCCAAGACCGTTTTGTCGTGTTCAGTGAAGCAAAAAGACTTTTTCATATGTATTGGTATACACTCACACGCATAGGCAAGCAAGTCGTTAAGCGTCTGTATTTCAGACGAAATATATTAATTGCGATCGTGAATTGAGTGTGTCAAGTTGAGAAATATTTGTTGTGTAAAATGGGAAGAGACTTAAATAAAAAAGTGCACCAATTCTTTAAATTTGATTTGGAAGAAAACAAGTCAATTTGTAGTGTTTGCGGCATTAAATTGTCCGGCAATCATTCAACAAACTTAAGACGGCATTTAACAACAAAACATTTGGACATTTTCAATGAGTGGAACAATTCTGGATATTCAAAATTCACCAAATGTGAAGAAAAACGAAAAATATCGTATCAAACGAGCGAAGAAGCAATTGTTTCTTCTTTGGTTAAAATAGTAACGTATACGTTAGAACGCATTTAATGCAAATAAAAAATATAAAAGCAAATTATATTATTTCTTTTCACAACAACGAAAGTAAATGCAAAGACCGTTTGCGTTGAGTTTTTCGGTCAATCGGTCTTTTGCTGACTCTCATTGTGCGAGCGTTTCTCGTTCGCTCTTTAGGCAATGCTCATTGAAAGAGCGACACACAAAGAGCTCAACGAAAAACGTTCAAAAGAATACAGCAAGAGTCTCTTGCTCAGAGCGAGAGCGAGAGAGTATGAACTTTCGGTTGTGCTCGCAACGAGAGCGCAAGAAAAAATCGGTCGACAGTTATTTGCGAGCTCTGTATGATAAATTTTCAATTTGGCAAGGCTTCGGAATGAACAGTGATTGGTCATCGTAGCGCCTTTTATATTCCGATTAGGCAAATACTCCAGCATCTGATGCCATGTCATTTGCTCCAACTTCAACACAAATGAACTCATCCCTTCAGTACCAAAACTCCTTTCCTTTTCCGATTCCTGGTGTCATGTTCAAAAAAACAAAAACAAATCTCATATGTTTCGGTAAGAGAACTCCGAAACAAAGTAGGCAATGAAAATTTTACCTGTTTTCGGGTACTGCCGAAGTTCTGACTTCATATTTGTTGTTGTTTTCCGAGGGATTCGGAGCATCGGCATGCAACCGACTAGCAAATTAGACAGAGATGGAAATGGTGGAAAGGGGGAAAAAATGTGTGTCAAAAACTAAAACTGTATCGGATCGACATCAGAATACCCTTTTTAGAATTAGTTGGAATGTTAATAAATATTTAAGTTTTTTTTAAATTGATGTTTACTAATTTTATCGTATGGTATATTGACACGTATTAAGAATTTGCTTTAGGAAAAGATAAAATGTTCAAAACGAAAAAATCTGCCTTGTGTGATTATATTTACAAGGCATCGCTTGGGTCGGCTATACCCTGGCACGCGCCAGAATTTTCGGTCGGCTATTTTCATCTCTGGTTTGCTTCTCCATATTCCCTTTGCATTTGAAGTTGACGTGTGACAGCAATAAGAAGTGCTTTTTTTAAGCGTTGAAAATTAAATTGAATTCCAAATATTCAGAAAAAAATTACAAAAGGTGAGTAGAGTGATTTCTTTTCCATTGCAATATGTATATTGCACTATTGGGTTCGGTGTTTATTCAGCGCATGTGTTAGTGTATTCGCGGCATCGGCATAGTACATACATATACAGTTTGTCAAGTAATTCTTAGCAAAACGAAAAATCCCTCACAATTTTGGGTTTAAGCTGAAAATTTATTGACAAATACAAGAATTTTTAAAATTTGCTTTTATAATATTATTAGGATAACTTTAATCTATAAATATAAAAAACAAAACTTAAATATTTTAACTTAAAACATAGTAAAAAATAACAAAAACAAAAACATTGCAATTCGTATGCTGTCAATTAATTCTTTGCAATTTGCAAAGACGTTATAGTTTACCAAGGATAACTTAAAAACTATAATAGCTGCGGCGTTAATATTTTATGTGAAGTCCATTTGCATCTATTACAGCATGGAGGCGTCGCGACATTGGCATTATTAGCCCCTTCAAGTCGTAATATTCAGGAATTTTCTCCCATTTCTCCTGTATTACTTTAATTAAACCCTTTTTATTTGTTGGAGTCCGTTTAGTCACTTTCTTTTCCAAAAAATCCCAAAAATTTTGTATTCATATTTATATCTGGGCTTTCCGCAGGAGTGTCAATGACTTTTTTGCAATTAACAGGAGCCAGGTCCTGCACAGCTGCGATTTGAGCTGGAGTTCGTTTTCCTGGTGCAGTTAATATTTATTTCTTTTTGGACAAGTTACGTCATGGAGACCAAATTTCTCCGCGCTTCTGGTCAATTTCTTTTTAAGGATGTCCAAATAAAACTCCTTCGTCATTATATAATTAAAAATCCGCAGCTCACCAACTCCTTTGGATGATATGCACCCCCTTATCATCACAGAAAACTTGCCAAATTTGAATTTTGGTATGATATTTTTCGGCTGGACACATGTGTTTGGTTTCCTCCAAACTTTATTGGGTCAGCCATGAGTGTGCAGCATTATTTTAGTATCGTCACAAAAAAAAACTTCATCCCCATACTCAGAAGGCTGGTTAACGTGGCCGATAGAGAAATTAAACCGCCTTTCAATATTTATAGCTGAAAGCATTGGTTTCTTCCTGGCAATGTGTGAGGAGTATTTGTGGAGATTCAGGACTTTCCTCACAGTCTCATGGCAACCTGTTTTTCTGCAATAATTTTATAAGTCCAAAGCCAACTTTCTGAGGGTTGTTGGCGGGTTTTTATCAATTTGTTTCGAAATTTTATAATGGTCGCGTTTGGAGAGCTTTTGGTAATCTGCCTGTAGAATTGTACAGGTCAAGTCTATTTTGGTTTTTAGACCGTTTAATTATTTTATACATTGTTCTAACTAAATATCAAAAATTTCGGAATGTTCCGACGCCGATTACCCTTTATAATGGTTAAAGTAAACCAATTCTATGTTATTATCGTCAATTCGTTTGCTGGGTATGATTTAAATTCTGGACTCGATCAAACACGAACTTTTTCCAACGAAATTTTTCAAGAATATAAAAGTAAAGACCACTAAGAAGTGGCAAGCGTTAATTTTCCTCAGAATTTGCTTTGCGTTGCTTAATTCTAGGAACCTCTTCAACTCCTGTTTGCATTTTGCAAAGAATTAATTGACAGCATACGAATTGCAATGTTTTTGTTATTGCCATTTTTTACTATGTTTTAAGATAAAATATTTAAGTTTTGTTTTTTATATTTATAGATTAAAGTTATCCTAATAATATTATAAAAGAAAATTTTTAAAAATTCTTGTATTTGTTAATAAATTTTCAGTTTAAACCCAACATTGTGAGGGATTTTTCGTTTTGCAAAGAATTACTTGACAAACTGTATGTACATCTATACATACATTTTGTGTGTTTTAAATCTACCTGCTCATGCGCGGTAAATGAATGCTAGTGAAGTTAAGCATAAAACATACGCCATTTAATGGAATCCAATTGTGCAATATATTTATATTTTAACATAACATAAACAGACAGCAGCTACACATAAAAAAAAAATATGATTTATATATGTATACACATAAATTTAAAAATTGCATTTCTACAAAATTTTATGTTTAAAGTGATGGTGTTGATTGCAAAAAAAAATATTGTTCAGAAAATATTTAAAATGATGAAAATTAAAAAAGAAAAACAAAAAAAATTAAAGTGTAATTGTGTCATGACAAATTTGTCAAATGACAAATTTTATGAAATTAAAGATGTAAATATTTTCCGTTATTTTATATTGCATCCTTTCCTCTATTTGTATTTATTATCGTTTCTCTTTGCTCTTCTAAACAGTGCAGTGGTCTGCATCGCAGGCAGCTCGCATTCAACCCTTTTTTTGTCAGAGAGGCGCATTCTTGAGAGAGTAATATGTTCTCTCGAGGGAGCGCACCTCATCGAATAGTGTGACCAGAGCATAATTATACTAATTGGTCTTTTACACACCAAATTTGACAGAAATACTATTTTTTAATTTATAATATTTATATTTTATTAAATCATATATACATACACAACATAAAAAAAAAAACATAATAAAATAAAATAAAATACTCTTTTAAAGAATTTCAACTGCCCAAACTAAAATTAAGAAAGGGAAAAATGGTTGGCTCTAGACATATTGCTAAATTAGCAGTAAAAACTAGGAAAGAGATTTTGAGGGTTGCTCATGAGAGGCCTAGCGAAATAGAAAGCGAGGCAATAGATGAAGAAGTTGGGGCTAGCACAAGAGAGAATAGGGAACCATTGGAGCCACCTGTGAAAATCGATGAAATAGGAGTTAGTGATTTTGATGTAGGTGGCGGTGCGGAACATGCCAATGAGGCTTGTGATTTAAATACACAATTAAAAAATTTGTATTTAAAACATAAGCCAACACGAGCATGTGCCGTAGACCTTGTTGAGATTTTAAATTCTCAAGGGTTAAAAGTAAAGCGTTTTTATAAATTTAACTGTTTAGAAAAACCCGATATAAGTAAAATAGCTGGCGGGTCCTATTTACATATCGGATTATCAAAGCAGTTAAGTAAATTGTCGGTATTTCCCCAATTGCCGGACGATTTAAGCATTGTCGGTCTTCCCATTTTTAAAAGTTCCCGGGTGCAGTTATGGGCCATTCTTATTCGTGTTAATAATGTCCAAGGCCGCCCCGTTTTGCCAATTGGAGTTTTTTGGGCCATACTAAGCCTACTAATTGTGACCTTTTTTTGTCAAAATTTTCGTCCGAGTTGTCCGAAATGATTAAAAACGGTTTAACCATTTTAAATAAAATAATTGGATGGAAATCAGTGCCATCGTTTGCAATACACCTGCTCGTGCATTTATTACAGGCACACCTGGACATACGTCTACCCATGGCTGTAGTAAATGCTCTTAAGTAGAAAAAAAAAGTAGATTTTGTATTGACATTCAGTACTGAATGTGGTGAATTGATAACAGATGAAAACTTTCCTGACAGGACTTACCGTCACCATCACATAGAAGAATATTTAAAAAAACAGTCCGCATTAGAAAAACTTGGGATTAAAATGGTAACTCAAGTTCCTCTTGATTTCATGCACCTTATTGAATTGGGTGTCATGCGAAAATTTTTATTTAGAATTTTAAATAATAAAATTAATATTGAATATAAAGTTTACAAACCGTAATGAAATAAACCAAGCATGAAATAAAATTACTAGGTAGCGTTTTACAGTTGAAGGGATGTAAACTGAAAAATAAAAGGCCAGATAGTTTTTGTTATGTAGAAGAACACATCCCAATTGAGGTAGATAGTTTTGAAGAGGATGCAGATGGTATTTGTATTTTAGGCAAAAGATTTTTAGAATTTAATAGTTTACAAACCAAGTAATGAAATAAATCAAGCATGAAATAAAATTACTAGGTAGCGTTTTACAGTTGAAGTGATGTAAACTGAAAAATAAAAGGCCAGATAGTTTTTGTTATGTAGGAGAACACATCCCAATTGAGGTAGATAGTTTTGAAGAGGATGCAGATGGTATTTGTATTTTAGGTAAAAGATTTTTAGAATTTAATAGTTTACAAACCAAGTAATGAAATAAATCAAGCATGAAATAAAATTACTAGGTAGCGTTTTACAGTTGAAGTGATGTAAACTGAAAAATAAAAGGCCAGATAGTTTTTGTTATGTAGGAGAACACATCCCAATTGAGGTAGATAGTTTTGAAGAGGATGCAGATGGTATTTGTATTTTAGGCAAAAGATTTTTAGAATTTAATAGTTTACAAACCAAGTAATGAAATAAATCAAGCATGAAATAAAATTACTAGGTAGCGTTTTACAGTTGAAGTGATGTAAACTGAAAAATAAAAGGCCAGATAGTTTTTGTTATGTAGGAGAACACATCCCAATTGAGGTAGATAGTTTTGAAGAGGATGCAGATGGTATTTGTATTTTAGGTAAAAGATTTTTAGAATTGAATAGTATTTTTGAAGAACCTGTGTCCTCATCAGCTTTAGAAATTACATAGGTAGCTTAAATATGGCATCAGATTTAGAGAGATTTAGGATATCAGACAGAGTGAGAAAAGCAATAGCGATGCCATATAATGGGAAATTTGTATTAGTGCCATTTTTCATAGATTTCCCTTTCTTAATTTTATTTTTTTTTCGGAGGTGTTTAGTCCGTAGGCGTATTCTTATACAGGGTATTATAATTCCAGTCAGAAGTTTGCAACGCAGTGAAGGAGGCACCTCCGACTATATAAAGTATATATATTCTTGATCAGGACCAACAGCCGAGTCGATCTAGCCATGTCCGTCTGTTCTTCTGGCCGTCTGTCCGTCTATCCGTTTCTACGCAAACTAGTCTCTCAGTTTTGAAGCTATCTGAATGAAACTTTGTAGTTAGCCTTCTATATACTCTAACTCGTATATATGTCGGAACGGGCCGGATCGGACGACTATATCATATAGCTGCCATAGGAATGATCGGAAAATTTTTACAAAAATTTTTTTTACTTTTTCAGTTTTCAATAGAATTGGATCAAATTTGAGATATAGCCATTTTACTATACTTTACAATTTTGCATAAATTTTTATGAAAATCGGACTACTATATCATATAGCTCCCATAGGAACGATCGAGAAATTAATACAATTAAATTTATAACTTTTTCAGTTTTCAGCTGATTTTCATCAAATTTGCCGTATAGCCATTTTATAAACTTAAATTTTGTGTCAAATTTCATGAAAATCGGACGACTATATCATATAGGTGCCATACAAACGATCGTTTGATGTAGAGGAAAAATGCAAATCTGTGAATGTAAAACTGCAAATATAATATGTATAGGTGAATGAAATGAAAGCAGGTATTACTTCATTGTTTTTTAACACAAATATATATAATTTGTATTGTATGGATTCCTATTCATAGAAGTTCTATTTGCAAGGGTATATAAACTTCGGCGTGCCGAAGTTAGCTTCCTTTCTTGTTAAATATGAATCGGGCATGCCTTAAGCGACGGCGCTTAAAGTATCTTTAGAAGATTCACCTTCCATTGTCCGATGGCAAAAAAAAGAGTATTTTATTCAAATAAAAGAAAAGAACACATAAATGAAATCATAAATATGTGTGTATTTTTTTTTTGTTTTTTAGATACGCACAAAATGGAGCCACCGGCAAAAATTCAAAAGCTGGCGTTTGATATTGAAGGTAAGTAATTCAATTAAAATTGAATGTATTTAATTTTTCCCCCTTAATTCTTTTTTTAGATGACATAAGCAGCAGCAAAAATGAAATTGAACGGTTGGTTCAAAAGGTCGATGACCTTGACAAGAAGGTGCAGGCCCAAAGTGAAATTTTGGAGTCCTGCACGCAGCAGGTCTCAAGGTTGATTGCATTGCTGGAGGTCTTCCTTAAAGGAAAGGACAAAAGCAATGCAGTCAACTTTGAGTTCCCTATAAAGGACTCTGGAGTTTAGTTTAGCCCCAGAAAATAAAGACATATATGTAAGTAATATTTATAAATAACATATAAATAATATATTTATAAAATATATATATTTTTCAGATCACCGCAGTTACAAAACTTCTAAAGAGGGCAAAAATTACGAAGTCCATCAAAATTGTGCTGGCCGAGGATCTGCTCCTACTATACAACATTGAAGGGGTCAGTGGGAAGAGGAAGGTATGTTCTTTTTGGTTCATATTAAAATATATTAAAAATATATTTACTGATTTGCATTTATTTTCCCTACAGAAAGTATTTCCAGGTTGGAGGACCAGAGCCAGCCAGCAGAGAAGGTCCTGGCTCACGCGTTAAGTTGCGTTAAAAATAATAATAGTAAAAAAAAAGAATAAAAAAAAAATAATTAAATATAAATATATTTATATTGATTTTTGTAATATTTTATGGAGGGGGATGATAATCCTGAAAAAATACCATGGGATTCATTGGGGAATCCTGGTGGATTTTTAATTGTACTCCGCTGAGATTCCTGCAAGAATTCCTATCTGATTCCTAAGCAAATTCCCCAACAATTCATACCTGATTCCTAAGCAAATTCCCCTACAATTCATACCTAATTCCTAAGCAAATTCCCCTACAGTTCATACCTGATTCCTAAGCAAATTCCCCAACGATTCCGCCTGGTATTCCTCGGAGATAAGTGTCCAATTCCGCTGTGAATTTTCCTACAATTCATACCTGATTCATAAATGATTCCTTGGTGATTCCTATCTGATTCTACTATAAATTCACCTACGATTACTGCCTGATTCCGTCTCAAATTCCTGGATGATTCTGTTCAGAATCCCTTCCGAAATTTCCATCTGATTCAGGGGGGAATTCGTGCCGAAATTCATGACACATTCCTAGCAGGATTCCTTTATGTTTTCCTGAAAATTCCTTAGGTAGTCCGAATTCAGGTTTGCTAACGCCTACTGTATGCAAATTCCTGGATGGCTTGTATGAAAGCCTCCTAATGATTCAGGATGGAGTCCAGTCCATTCCAACCTGATTCAGACCTGAATCTATAAGGATTGGTACTGAAGGGTTCCAACCTGATTCAGACCTGAATCCCAAAGGATTGGTACTGAAGGGATACTGTGCATTTACTATCGCCATGAGTACAATGCTGAAAATTTTCTTATAATTGAAATAAAATGATCCTGATGATTTCGGCTTCTTTATTTTCCGTCAATAGCTCCAATGCAGTTGACAAAATTCCATTGCATTTCAAAATCATTTGCAACTTTCTTCCACTCTTCTTCATTTCCAGCCATCTGAAGTAATATAAAATAAAATACGTTCTTAATTGAAAACTTTATTTTCCAGCCAAAGGCGCCGAAACGGAAACCGGATGAAGGATCCGAGTTCCTGCAGAAGGGAGTAGCTCATTTGGACAACATGAACGCCAAGAAACCGAGGGACGACGCTGACATTTATGCTGAAGGGTGGGCTACAATGTTCAGGGAGCTAAGCAAGGAGCAGCGGCTATACGCTAAAAAGGGTATAGATGAGCTCCTCATGCAAGGCCGAATGAATATGCTCTCATACCAAGGAGTGTCAAGCATTGCCAACATACCAAACAATCTAAGTCCTCAAGTTCAGATGCCAATGGATGTCTATCCGCGAGAGCACATTTATCAGACGAGCACTCCACTGACGAGTGACTCCAATACAAGATCGTCATTTGTGACTCTTCATTCCCAGGATCAGAATACTCCAGTAATTACTAAGCTGGAAACACAAGATGAAAACAATTTGCAGAAAGTTGATTGATGCAATCAAATTTGCACGTATAAACACGAGCGAAAACATTTTGCTGCAAACAAATAACTTTTGCAGCAATATTTTTTGCTTGTCGTCTGTATACATTTTTTCACCGCTATCTTGGTTACGTCAGTTGCTTGCTTGTTTGCATGTGCTGTTTGGTTTCAGTCGCAGTATTGCAGAAAGCAAAGCACCATGTGGGATCGCGACAACACAATAAGATTAATTAAATTGTACGATCATCATTCTGTGGCTAAAAAACGCAATGTCAGGGCTAATCGCTCATTTGGTGAAACCGCAGGACGCATTACAGTGTCTTGTTTAGTTATGTAGTTTTTTACTTTTTCTAATAAAAAGTGGAAATCACTGACTGACATGCGAAAAAAAATGTAATAGTTTGTTTCATCGCCATTTTGTAACTTTTAAAATGCTCTGATGCACTCCTTTTTCATCTCTGTTCGAAATCCACTCTTTCACCCAACACTATTTTTTGCAGATTTCAATCTTCTCACTTTTTTACGTTTAATTAAAGTTGCTAAAATAGAACACGTCGTTATTCCTTGACTTTCATAAAACAACATAACTTGCATATGAGCGTCCCTTGCAAGCACTGAAAACAAAAAATAAAAACAGGTATAGACATTAACGCAATATATTGCACGAAATAGCCATTCCAAAGGTTGCGTGCATAACAAAAATTTATTGGAGCAAGAAATTTTCTTGCAATATTTGCATAGGTGTAAACATTTGTGCAAACTTTTGCTGCAAATTATTTTCAACTTGCTGCAAATTGTTTGCATCGTTTGTTCCTAGATTTACAGATAATAGGAATGTCAATCCCGAATCATTTGCCGACTTATTCATTAATGAATACGCATAACGATAAATATAAATAAAAAATAAATTTTACTTACCTTGATGTACGGCTTTAGCATTTTAATTATTGCTCGACATGTTTCTATGAAGTTGCGCCCAAGGCTCTGGGGAGAAATTCGTGTTAAGAATTTCAGGTCTTCAAAGCTTTTACCACTAGCCAAGAATCGCAAAGTCGCTGAAAGGCGTTCGTTCACGCTTATTGCGTCACGCATTTGTGTGTCCTGTCTTCGGATTTCTGGCTCTACTAACTTCAACAGTTCTTCATATGTTCCACTGTCCATGCGAAGAAAGTTGTTTAAGTCCACAGAAGACGTTTCTTCCAACTCCTTCAGTAGATTCGTGTGTGTGAATCTTTGCCTCTTTGCGTACCACTCTTTCATATACATATTGTGCTTCCGTTTTTGCGCTTCCTCTTTCTTTTTTTTTCTTTTCGAAGCAAACATTAATTGCCAAAAGTGCAATTATAGTGGCGATGTCGTTGTCCGTTGCCATGTTCACTTCTCAAAGATTTGCCAGCAAATGATGTTTGCAAGCCTGTTGCCACTAGTTGGTTGCGAATGAAATTTTTGCTCGACGAGCGGCTCGGCCAACATGTTCTGCTGTGGATCAATGATGCCAATTTGTCCTTTTTCCGGACAGATCTGTCCTGTTTTTAACGCTTCATCCGGTAAAAATTGAAAATCATCCGCATACCTGAAATCTGTCCTTTTTTTAAATCTAATATTAATTCTTTTTTTTTTCTAAAATAGTTGCTTTTGCGCTCCAATTTAAATTTATTATCAGCTGTAAAATATGAAACAGGTGACAACTTTTCGCGGCTGCCATACTTATATCGATAGTTTGGTAAAAAATTCATCGAAAAACAACTCTATTTACGGTTTACTTGCACTCTGTTTCGGTACTGAACACGCAATTTCAAAGATTGTATTATTAAATTAAAAATGCCAAAAGTGTATAATGTAAAATTTTATGAAAATAGGACGACTATATCATATAGCTCCCATAGGAACGATCGAGAAATTAATTCAATTAATAAGTATAACATTTTCAGTTTTCAACAGATTTTCATCAAATTTGAGATATAGCCGTTTCATATTATTCTACAATTTTGTGTAAAATTTTATGAAAATCGGACTAATATATCATATAGCTCCCATAGGAACGATCGAGAAATTTGAGAGGAATGAGAATGGCGGTGGCTGTTGTCGGAAGACTGACAATCGCGGTGGCGATAACATTTTTAGTTTTCAACAGAATTAAATCAAATTTGAAATATAGCCATTTCATATTATTATAAAATTTTGTGTAAAATTTTATGAAAATCGGACTACTATATCATATAGCTCCCATAGGAACGATCGAGAAATTAATACAATTAAATTTATAACTTTTTCAGTTTTCAGCTGATTTTCATCAAATTTGAGGTATAGCCATTTTTTATAAGTCTTACATTTTGTGTAAAATTTTATGAAAACCGGACGACTATATCATATAGGTGCCATACAAACGATCGTTTGATGTAGAGGAAAAATGCAAATCAGTTAATGTGAAACTGCAATTTTAATATGTATAGGTGAATGAAATGAAAGCAGGTATTACTTCATTGTTTTTTTAACACAAATATATATAATTTATATTGTATGGATTCCTATTCATAGAAGTTCTATCTGCAAGGGTATATAAATGTCGGCGTGCCGAAGTTACCTTCCTTTCTTGTAAAGATTTGATTAGCCGACATAATTCAGACAGTAACAAGGCTTATTGCAAATACTGCAAATGCAGTATTAACCAAAATTAGGAACCGTTTAGAGGTAGATACATTAAATGGCATTTTGGCGATCAGGTAAATATATATATACTTTTTAAAATTTACGTTATAAATTCATGTACATGTATTCTTTCTTTAGATTCGGATTGCGTCGCCATAAATTATGTTGTCATAATTATAACTGGCCTGAAAAGTATCTCCAATTAATTGGCTCCATGGCTACTTATGAGGACAGCAATAATGACGAAGGAAAAGTAATCGAAGATGCCTTAAAACTATTATCTTAATAACAATATTATAAAATTACTGTAAACAAACCTTTTGTCCTTTTTTCTATTCTTTTTATAATATTTTTATCCCATTTTTCCTGTTTTTTTTTCTCAATCTGTCTCTTTTTTTTTGAAAAAATATTGGCATCACTGCTGTGGATGGATATTTATTCTTTATCCTTCAGCCTTCAATTTTTCGTTAAAGCAAATTTTTTCCATTTTTTGCGCGTAAGTTTCTAGCCATACAATGTAAATTTATAGTATGGTTTTAGCGTATAGTTTTGGAAAAAAGGTTAAGAAACCAAAAAATAGCTCCAAATATTCTCAGATTAGACATGGTTTAGGATAATAACTATGGATAAGCCATCTTGTTTTTTTGTTTATATTGTAATATGAAAATTTGTATATGTTCTTTAATATTTTATCGATCACATGTCTAACTTTTATTTATTTATTATCATTCTTCAATTGACAAAAAAAAAACGTAAAAATGAATTAAATTTGCATTCTAACCCCTTAATGTGCTAATAATTTATAAAATATGATAAATGTTGTTTAAATTAGGCGAAAAAGGGACAAATTTACTAAATGAGCTATACATATTAAATCTACGCAAAATTTCAGAAATTATTCTAATGTATGACGATATTTAGTATATTTTTATACCCTTGCAGGGTATTATAATTTCAGTCAGAAGTTTGCAACGCAGTGAAGGAGGCACCTCCGACTATATAAAGTATATATATTCTTGATCAGGATCAACAGCCGAGTCGATCTAGCCATGTCCGTCTGTCCGTTTCTACGCAAACTAGTCTGAAACTTTGCCTTCTATATAGTCTAACTCGTATATATGTCGGAACGGGCCGGATCGGACGACTATATCATATAGCTGCCATAGGAATGATCGGAAAATTTTTACAAAAATTTTTTTACTTTTTCAGTTTTCAATAGAATTGGATCAAATTTGAGATATAGCCATTTTACTATACTTTACAATTTTGCATAAATTTTTATGAAAATCGGACTACTATATCATATAGCTCCCATAGGAACGATCGAGAAATTAATACAATTAAATTTATAACTTTTTCAGTTTTCAGCTGATTTTCATCAAATTTGCGGTATAGCCATTTTATAAATTTAAATTTTGTGTAAAATTTCATGAAAATCGGACGACTATATCATATAGGTGCCATACAAACGATCGTTTGATGTGGAGGAAAAATGCAAATCAGTGAATGTGAAACTGCAATTTTAATATGTATAGGTGAATGAAATGAAAGCAGGTATTACTTCATTGTTTTTTAACACAAATATATATAAAAATTCCTATTCATAGAAGTTTTCTATCTGCAAGGGTATATAAACTTCGGCGTGCCGAAGTTAGCTTCCTTTCTTGTTAGTATTCAAAAATAGGAAAGCAAAGCAAATAGGTTATTGAAAATGTACTTTTATTGAGGAAGTGGTCATCGCACATTTTCAATTTTATAAATATAAATCGTATAGGAATTACTTGTTGCATTATCTAGCAGGAATTTCTTTATTGGATCAAATATTTACTGGCTTCCTGCTTGAAGTCGGGAATTAGTCTTAGTACTTAGTTAATTAATGCTTCGTGTTTGATGCTTAGTAGTTCTGGCGTCTCTGAGAGTTGCGCGTCTGATTGGCTAGGCAGCAGGCGAAAATAAATGCCACAAGCTGAGGAACAAAAGATAGTCGTCAGTTTCGAAATAGTTGGGGTTTTCATCACAGTAAAATTACCTCAACGACAGTCACACCCAGGCCGGCGTACTTAATGATATTCACATTGGTATTCCAGAAGGAATCAATGGAAGTCAGGCAACTGGGTCGGGTCGCCACCTGCGTAATGCCGCAGCTGCCATTAGAGGGAGAGTCACAGCAGGAGGCAGGATACGAAATGCCGTAGTCCGCGAATCCATGCAGGCCGCAACACTTGAACTATAATTGAATAAAATATTTCATAAAATAATTAATTTTAACCACTGTAAGAAGGCTACCACTTTACGGAAAGCTCAATTTTTCTAAATAAACACATTGAATTATTTAATCCAAAATATAGAATATAGAATTTTTAAAGAATGAACTTTGAAAATTTTCGTGAATGGTCAAACTTTGTCCCACCTTGCTCACTTCTTCAGTATTTCACTTATTGGTTTATTTCTTCCTTAAATTAACAAAATAAAAACAGTTTCACTGTTAAAGCCCCTGATAGATATGTATGTGAAACAAGTTATACTTTTCGTAAAAGTAAAATAAGTTGCTACGTTAATATAATTAATTATCCCAAAGAAAGAAAAATAACAGAGACCTGTTAATCATCCAGTACCCAGTACTTACTCACTCTTACTCGACTTCCCAAAATCAGCTGTTCTTGGGTTTAGCAATTGGTTTTACATTAAGATCGTAGTAAACCAAGTTTTCTTATCTAGAACTTTATCAGTTCGCATAATTTAAAAATGAAACGGGATTGCCGTTAAAGGATCAACTCTTCTTTGATTACTTGCTAATAAGCAACCAAAATATAATAGTTCGATAGCTTAATAATTAATTAATCCCATACGTATAACAAGTTAGCAAATATTATTTGTTTACACCTTTGTCTTAGGTTAAATTCTAAAATTATATTAAAATTACTTACGGATCGCTGCATTGTGTCCAAGAGTAGGGAGTCCGTTTTTCGTTGATCCCAAATGGTCTGAACAATCTTCTCCAGCGATGTCTGTATCTGCACATGGTCAATCCACACGTATATGATCAGGGCCAGCTGACTGATCAGCAACACCAGCATGACAACGGAGTACTGATAAGCGGAGAAAAATATATAAAATTGATTCTGGAAAACAACAAGATCCTTCAACGTACCGTTGTGAGACAGCAGGCGTTCTCGCGAATGGCTCCGCAGCAGCCCATGAAGGCCACCAAGAAGATGAGGCATCCCAGGACCAAGATGATGATGGCCACGCTGTTGGCGGTGAAGGTTTCATCGAACTTGGAGAAGTCCTTGATGGACGCCACCATGATGGAACCGAAGGTGATGAGCAAAATGCCGCATATCTGTAACGGGAAACCACGAATGTTTTCACTTAGTCAAAGGCTTTGGTAACAGTCATCGCGAAGGTGATTCAAGTTAAATTGAAATCGAATTAAACAACAACCACCCGCGCCCATGATAAGTACACTCATACTGAACTTAAAAATAAAGAACAATAACAATTAGGTGACCATTGCGATAATAACAAGTTTATATATGTACTTTTAACTCTAGGGCTAATGTATTCTAAAAAATACAATTTAAAAAATGTAATGATAACAAATAAAGAAGCTACAGAAAAGTTTGTTCCCGCACTTGAGATACCCGGTACTCAAAATATGGGTATTTTGGCTTGATCCCAAATTTCTCCGAACAGATTAATCCATTTACCTTCCAAATTTAAATTTTAAAGTAAAGTAAAATTAGTTCGATATCACGGTTCTTGTCTCGACTAACCATCTAAGGAGAGATAGGTAGGACATTCATTCATGTTGTAATAAATCTAAATGGTTTTAGCTTTACGCCTTATAGTCTCTAAAATCGGTTGTACCATACAGACAGATATACAAACATGGCTAAATAGACTCGCCTGATAATGGTCGACTAAATAAGCATCATGAAAACGAGGGTTCCGCCCCTGACAATTACATAAACAATATTTTAACCGGGCATAAACCTAAAGCTAAATTATAATTGTAACAAAAAAAAAACAGCACCTTGTAAATAACTATTGAAAACTTCAGTTTAGACAATTAATATAACAGATTTTCAGCATTACTTTTTGTTAAATAAACCCCTCAATCTGACTTACATATTACATAATGTTTCCTTAGCTCTCAAATCGATATAATTAATAGATTAAGTTATACCACACTACTTGTTTCATCACAAATGCTTTGTTTTTTTTCAGATCTGTTATTGAGATGACTACGGGACTCGGTATACTGTATATTCGATTGTACCTATTACTCATCCCGCTATCTCCACTGGGTACACTGCGTTTTCCGACAACTGTTTCGGCTCATTAGCCGTAATTACGTTCGACATTGGCATGCGATGATTTATTTAAAGAATTTTACGTTTACCCAATTTTCCCTGTACTTTTTGATAAGATAACTTTTTAAAAGAGAGCGGTATCCAGGGCGTTTGCAGAGGGTCGTCTTGAGCCTGAAGATTTAATTTGTCTTTGCTTTGCCGATAAGATAACGCCAAAGCCAAGGGGTATTTTTGCAAACCTCTCCAAGATTGAAAATTGACTAAAAACTTTGAATCTCTGGGGAAACTTTTCTTACCACAAACAGTATATTGAATATGAATAGCACATATTTTACAAATACTCCTCCGCAATCCATGGCAGTACTTTTATCGATGTCTCGTTTGTGTCGATGGAAATTGCACTATTCAATGATATCCGTTTCGTTGTTAAATTGTTACTGAAATAGTTCCAACTATGACTACTCCTTATTAAAGGTTTTTGTTATCGCAAAAGCTTTTTTAAGCTTTGATTTTATTTGAACAAAAGGGGCGATAAGGCGAGTGAGTCGAAACATTCCTCCGAAAGGTATTCTACATAATTTAATGACAATTTTAATGTAATACCTATTTTTAGGATTTAATAAAATAAGAACTATTAAGGAAATTACACAAATGTGTTTTTTATTTTATTTATTTTTTTTTTTCTAAAAAACTTTTACTGTGAACGTAAAGGGAGTACAAAGCTTAATGCTGACTGAAAGGAAAATTGCCTCTCCGACCCCATTACTTAAATATATTTTTGACCAGCATCACTAGCCGTGACGATTTAGCCATAACATTCTGTTCGTCCGTATGACATTGAAGAAAATACACTTAATTTTTACTGTGCATACGCAAGCGAAAGATCATAAAATAATAATAATAATAATAATAAATAAATAATAAAGTAGAAGGTCGATGGTCGAAGTATGTTTTTGATAAATAAACCTAAAATAAAATAAAAATAAATTTTTATTTTTAATATTAAATGGCAGAAGTGGAGCTCTGACAACGAATCTGGCTGGCAATCGGTGGAGACAGGGAGGATAGTCAAATGTTGATATTACCCAGTCGGACCCTGCTTCATACGGTGAGCGATTCTGAATAGAACTATATATGTCGAGCAGGGATAGCCTTATGCATGGCCCCCAAAAATTCAGCAACAATTCATCGATGATTCATCAACAATTCATCGATGCTTCATCGATGTCGACGACTCCCGTCCAGACTACAGTCGTAACTGTATCGTGGGCAGAGCGTCGCCTCGGTAGAAGTCGCAGTCGGCGCGTTGATGACAGTCGATGACAGTGGCCTATTGATGACATGCGGTACTGCAGGGTAAATGTAAATGTATGTGTGGGCGTCTCACGTGGTTTTCGTTCTTTTTTAGGACAATTGTTTTGTTTGTTAGTCAGAAACTGAGTGGATTAGAGGCACGGGGACTTTTTTTCATTATCCTCGTGTGGCAGGTGTAAATATTTAAAAGGAATCACCAATTGGATGACTTTCAATTGCTTCGTCAACATTGGTGTCCACTAAAATAATTCCTATAATCGAACTCTGCATTGGAAGGCGGAAAAAATCTCGTTTGTTACTGACTCGCTGTCCCTTTACAAATACCTCATCGTTCATCTTTTCCAATCCTAGTATTTTATTTGGATTCCCTATAAATATAATATAATATCCTTATAAATCCGTAATAATAATCATAAAAGTAAAATTTATTTCTAAAAATTACTCAATATTTTCTTTCGTATATTGCATATTGTATTGTATTATATATTGAATTCTGCACACCTCAGACATCGTGTTTTTCACGCTCTCTGTAGCAGGTATGTCATATGGCAAAAAAAACCCTACTAAGCGTTATGGTGAATTTCATCATGAGCCGAGCAGCGACGTCGGCATCAAGAATTACCCCGCGCACGCATGAATAAAAGCGATTGAGAACTTTACAAAAACGGTGGGTCCTACCCACCCAACGGGTAGGCATCAAAGTTATCATGAATTTGGCTAAAAAGTCCGACTGGGGGCAGCTCGATCTCGTTTCACTTCAAACTAAATAAATTGGAACTCAGATTTTGTAACTAACCCGAATCACCGGATTATCCATTGGATCCTTCGAGTGCGAGATGGCTAGGCGTTGCCACTGGTTTCGGGTGTCGAGTGCCTTCATGGTGCAGATCAACGTCTTGCTGATAGTGGTGGGAGTGCTCTTTATGCTGGACGTTGTCGGCCACCACTACTTGCGGTCCCAGACTTTTCCCGGCCTCCCACTCTATCCCGTTGGCCTGCGAGACTGGCTTCTCTGGGTGCGCGCCCTGACGTTGCTGGCATACATTCTAAACGCGATTCTGGGAATCCGTATGGCCAAGAACCCGAGCGTCTTGAAGTTTGCCTTGTATATGGTGATTGGATTGGTGGTCCTGCTTTATAACCTCACCATCGCTTCCACACGGTTCATGTACCGCCAGAAGTTTGAGTACTTTGCAACGCAAGTCACCCTACAGTGCTGGGCCAAGAACATGATGGACAAGTTAGAAGTAGAGTTCACCTGCTGCGGTGTGATTGGCGTGAGCGACTACCAGATGTCTTCGACCAATCGCACCTGGTCTAGCGGCTCCTGCTGTGAGAAGCCGGAGTGTCCCGGATGCATCTCAAATATCAAAAAGTACTTGTGGACTATCGAGATGGAAGTGGCAAGGGACAACTATTTCGTCGCAATATTTCTGGCGGCGACCCTGATACTTATGATTCTCTTCTTCAAGGACGTGCAGTTGTATGACGATCCATACGAGGAGGAATCCGAGGATGATTCCGAGTATGACACCGAGAATTACAGTGATGAGATCCAGGACCAACCCCCCAGGCCTCAGGTGCCTCAAAGAGATGTCGAAGCAGCCGTCCCTGACGCCGATTCAGGAGCAAAAAACCAGCCTCGGTCCTCTCTGGTCAATTGAATTTTAATCCAGCTTTCTTGGCGAACGCCTCTGGCATGTCGTTTTATCTGGTAGATTGTTTCGGCTCATTAACTGCAAAACCAATTTCCACACAATTATTACATCCAGACAGCTTCCACTAATATCGGTACTTAATTAGCTCTAAAAAAATGCTAGAAATAAAGTTTAATAGCTCCGATCTGTGCCCGAGAAAAGCAATAAGCTTCGAGTATGGTTTAATGAATTTATAAAGATTTATTCGATTGGCTGGAGTTTTTTGTTTGTAATGTTTTACACAACCATGAAAATATCGAAAGAGATGATAACTTTGACATTTTAATGATGCCGACGTTTTATAGGATTTAGTATTTCTACTTTATACTTGGAAATTGAGCTAACCCAACAAGTGAGCACTTTCCACATCATCGTGGTATAGGTTTATGGATAAGGGTTATGCCTAGCATAGTTCTACGGTTCGCTAAGGAAAGTAGGTTAATTAGAAGGAGTCTACTGAAATAGGAAGGTAATTTTTGGTTTACATCCAAATTTAAACCCATAGAACATTAGATAACTTGAGATCCAATTAAGATCAACAACAATAGACTTTACATAGAGCAAAGCCTCTTACTCTGTATTACATATTATGCCTGCATCAATGGTGCATAGTGTTGCCTTCGATAAGCGGTTCGGAATTTCGCATGACGTCAGCTACGTAACAGGACATTGAAAATACGAAAAGCTGTGGAAATATAGGTATCTATTAATATGGAAAGATATTTATCATGTAAACAACTTGCCTCGTATGCAATTGGAATAATAATGGTAAATTTCATGATGTTGACCCCCAGATACCATAAATATGGCACAGTTTCCAGGACATTTTCAGAAAGACCCAACCACAAATAGCAAACAAAGTATATGTGCAGTAGCATACAAATCAAGTTTAAAACGGCGTTCTGAAATGGAAGATACAAATGAACTGGAAACATTCAAATTTATTAATTAATCTTTGCTTACTGAAGTTAGATAGCCAGGCTGGATAGTGACTAGTCCGTAGAAGCTCTGCCATGGCAGAAGGAACATGATCGTTCCAAATATTTGCACTGCAATGGGTATAACCTTTGTATCCCCTACAAATCCGCTGCCTTTGACACTATTAATCATAACAGTTCCTACGCTGATAAATAAGACTCCAAAGACCTAAAAGTGAGAATATATTTTTAATGTGGATCCAAGTACTTAAGCCCAATTTTTTAACAGAACAGGTTGACATTTTAAAGATGTTAACTAAAATTAAAGAAAATAGCTTAGCAACATGTAAACAACATGTTGCTCCTTTTAGGGTCCATTCGATAGTTGGTTCATATATATATATTTTTTTTCATAATTTGAATTCGAAAACATACAAATTATTTTATTTTGTCTTAATTATTTTAGTTTTCTCCGATGAATCAATTAGTTTGTTAAAACTTTCACCTCGAAAGATAAAAGCCCTTTAGGAACAACATATTGTTCGACCAATCCTTATCGCATTTCTTGCACTCATATTTAAATGTAATTGAATTCATTAACGATAATTCCGTCATTTGATAAATATATAAATATGACGTATTGGATCACGTTACTTTGATGGTTACATTATTCAATGTGGATCACCATACAAAGGAATGAAAAACAAGAGGTGTTACACTGATCACGGATCACATGGTCTATTTTAATATTTTATTGCAACTTTCCTTACCGCGAGCATTACATTAAGTATGTAAAGTAACATTTTGCAATTTTTTGCTGTTCTATTCATTTTTTTGAGATTGAGGGAAAGAGTTTTCAAACCGTAAAACTCAGTCTTTGTTTTGAAACTAAATCCATATGTGAACATTTCAAACTATAAACCAATAAAGAACTCACCATGCAAACGATTGGTTTTTCTTCTGTGCAGAGAGCGATTGAAAGAGAATCCAATTTGTTGTTGTATGTAGGATGTAGTTTTACGTTGGGGTAGTTTCTATAGTCCAGATATATTGCATACTTTCTGGCTGATAAAAATATGTGAAGAATTTTTTTAAAAACATTTTACTTAGATCATAGTTTAGTTTAATGCCGTATGAAACTAGAAACGTATTTGGAAAATAATAATTGTTTCTATATATATTTTAATTTCTTAATTAAATTATTTTTTCATTTTAACGTTTCTCATTAAATCCAAAAACTAATTCGTAAAACTTTCTGTTGCATTAATTGCTGAAAAAATAAAAACCAAAACCAAGTCACCAAATTTATATCACTAAAACTAATTTTTCTTAACATAGAAGAAATTACACCATATTTTTTAAATGGCATTATTTAATAATGTATCTTAAACTTAATGTGTTAAATCTTAATTTTGAATTTGAATTATTTTCTTGTTCAACCAACATGACACAATTTGCTTTTAATTAGAACATATAAATTAGGGAACTAGTTTAAATACATATTATTTGGTTAATATTATTTTTATTTATTATAATTGTTTGTCGTTTATCTTTAAAATTCCCTCAACAAAAACCAACCTTAGACTCATGTCCCAGGTGAATAAAAACGCAATGTGTCTTTCCGAGGTGATTTAAAGTATTCATTTATTAAATAAAACAGAAAATAATGGTTATATTTCTTATAAAATGACACATTTAAATGGGGTTTTAAACATACATATAGTTTATTTCAAGTGAACGTATTAATGGCATTAAAGGTTAGAAATAATTTATTCAAAGGACTTCTTCAATCTAGGCATAACCCTGCCTCCCGGCACCCTGCCTGCGCATGCAGTTCGTGAGGGCGCCGGCGATGAGGAAGACGATCAGCTCGAAGATGCAGATACCCAGGCCGGACCAGCGGATGATGTCCATGTTGTCGTACCAGAACTCTCCGAACTTGGCGATGCATCCGGGCCGATTGATGTAGGCCGAGGCGGTGCTGCAGACAGCACTGCGATCCACGTAACCGCAGCATGTTCCGGGCACGCCAATACCGTCATAACTCTCATATCCGGTGCTGCCGCAGCAGCCAAAGGTTTCCTCCAGAACACCGATAGCATTGTAGTCCTTGGAATTCCACAGCAGGGTCACCATGCTCTCCATGTCGTTAATGAATGCGGATCGGTTCACAAACACCCAACAGGTGATCACCAGTTGCAGGATAAACAGCACGAAAATCATGCTGGTGTACTGCAAAATGCTTATCGATAAGTTTAAGTTAAGTCAGCGTGGAAATAGGACTCACCGCTCCCGTCATGCAGGCACTCTGCCGGAAGATGCCATAGCATCCGAAGAAGGACACTATGAAGATCAGGCCGCCCAGAACGGTAATGCAGATGGGAATGGTGTCGGTGTTCGTCACATCATGCATCACGTCAACGTGGCTCAGATCGGACAACATGATCGAGCCCAGCACGATCAGAAGGATGCCAACGATCTGGAAAAAAATGAATACAATTGTTAGAAATTGTTCAAAAATATTTTTATCATTTTCATTACTATCAAACTTTTAGATCGTAATAAAAACAAATTTACACTGTATTTGGTACCCATAAAATTGTACTGCATACTTTTCTATTTATATATTTATTTGTTATATTATCCAAGTGCAACAAAAATGACTATATTCAAAATGTATTGTTAATGAGTATTACTAATCTATTAATTTGTATACTTATTACTTAAATATATTACCTATTGTTTTTTTGTATAATCTTACTCACATTTTTAAATTTATAATAAGCATTTCTTTAAAGGTTTTAAACCCAATAATGATTTCCATAACATTCTAGTATATTTATAAATAACATTTCTGACTCTTTCTTGGGAATGATTTAAATCAAAAAAGACTATTCTTTGATTTCTAGACTTCATGGAATTATGTTATGTGCGTTGTGATAAATTGTGATAACATTATGAATGCAGATTTTCCGCTCTATTAGTGGGATAAGGAATTATTAAAAAGAAAAAAATAAATAAAATCAAGGTAAGGAAGCTAGCAAAATAGGCAGGAGGACTTAGATTTTAAAAAGGTTACAGTTTTATTTATGGAGATGACACTTGTAAAATGATGAAACATTTATTGCTTTGCAGAAATTACGATGTTTGTGTTTTCAAATATGGATCCTTTTTAGCACTTAAATGCACAATAATTTGAATCTGATTTGAAAATATAGTTTTGATATTAAAAATATGCATTATTTGCTTTATTTTTCATATATATTTATATGTACATATGTATATAGATGCATAAATACCAAAAATAAACAAACAAATGTATATGTGTTAAAGTGTGTTTTTGTACTTAAAATGTGAAGATAATGTCAATTAACTGATAAAATTCATATATGTATGTATGTATGTCTCACAGACATTACACGAGGCTAATAGGTTTTTAACTTTACCACTACAATTCCATGAATAAGATTGATAAACCTCATGACAAATAATATATCAAAATCGAAGAGACCGATGCGTAATATAGAAATTTATTTGATATATTTATAAATCGATGATGTAAGATTTGATTTTACATGTAAACTTAAAATAATAAAAGGCGATCGTCTAGGAACTCGGAACAATATAAAAAATATATAATAAACAAACATTTATTATGTTCTGCTTTATATCGCTCATCTAATCTAATCGCTCATCGTAATCTCAGATGATACTGACCCATCCGTAGCTTTTTAACACTTAATTATAATATTTAAAACCTTTTCACTTTTTGGTATTTCGGATAACGAAAGTTTTTTAAGCTTAAATTTTAATATTTAACCAGCTTAAAATATGGCTTTCGATATCCTTTTCATTGAAGTTTAATAAATTCACTTTGCGTTCTCCAGTCGTTAATGTTTTAACTCTGTTTTCAACTCACCAGAAACACAATATTAACGATATATAAAATAAAGTTGACTATTCCCGATAGACAACCCATTTTGAAGACTTTCAGATGTTATCCTTTTGGGGGTGATATAAGTTAATTAGAGGTATCCCAGAGATATTAGGTTCTGATTTTATCGCGTTCTCGCGTCGTTCACTGTCGTTCGATTGGACTGGTCTTCCAGTTGCGCTACCGTTTTTAAATTGGCCAGGAGACACGGCCGATATCGGAAAGATACGCGAGTGGCTGATATCATAATCACGGCCCAAGGAAGGCTAGATAATGGCGGGGAAATCGATAGCATTCGGCATATGGAAGTGATTCATTTCTAAGGGCAATTGATCTCAGAGAAGCGGTCGTAGGCTTATCGACTGATAAGGACATAGTTTCGGGAAAAACATCAACTTGTCACGATTAGATAGCCGGTGGCCAAAGATAGACAGCGTATAAAGCAATAATATTTCATTGGGCTTATACTATTTCAGTTTATTTATGGAGAATGCTGTTGAGGAAGTTAATTTTACACTAGAACTGTACTACATATAGGGTTAGATCAGACTCTCGTTTTAGCGCTTCCTCATGGCGCTGGCCAGGCAGCAGGACATGATGAAGATGCCCAGCTCGAACAGGGCAAAGATCAGACTGCTCCACCGAATGATGTCCGTGTTGGAGGCCCAGAAGTCGACGAATTCCGCCCGGCAACCCGGTCGCTGGGAGTAGATGGCCTGCTCGCATGTCCGGCCGCGATCCGAGTATCCACAGCAGGAGGCTGGCACATTGTTTCCATATTCCAAGTAGTTGTTGTTGCCACAGCACTTGAACTGTAATAAAAATGGGTTTATTAGTAATTGCTTTCATTTGCGAAATACATTGTGTCAATGGAATCTTTTGATTGAAGTCCATAGCACTTTCTGTTTACTGAGGCGATTTATACTTACAGCCAATTGCAGGACGTCCATGGGATAACCCTGGGCAGCGTTGTTCTCATCCCAGGCCTTGTCCACCACCTTGCCCATGCTGGTCAGGAACTTGTCGTTCGCCGCAAAGATCCAGATGGAGAGGGCCAGCTGAAGACCGAACAGGATCAGCATGCAGATGGCGTACTGTAAAGGGAAATGGTGTATTAGTATCAAACATGTCACAAATTGATTAAAAAAGAGATGTTCAGCACAGTTAGATCCTTGCGGGGACCAATTGATCCCGATTCATAGCAGAAAGATCACTGAACCTTAGGTCTGACCAGTTCTTTTTTAAACCCAATTTTCCTCAACTCACAATGGTCGTGCAGCAGGCATTCTCTCTGATTGTGCCACAGCATCCGAAGAAGGCCACCACAAAGGTGACGCAGCCGATGACAATGATGACAATGGGGATCGTCTGAGTGTTTACAGCTCCATCGAAGGCGGTAAAGTTGCCCATGGTGGACAGCATAATGGAACCGACAATGATCAGCAGGAGGCCACCGGCCACGAAGATCAGGTTGAGCAAGTACAGGAGGTACTTGAACATGGCGGATAGGCAATTCATGGTGCTGGTTTTTCGGGTGTCTCGTTCGTTCGCTGGATAATCCGTTCGTTCGTTGCGACTTTTCTCGTCAAACTGAATTGGCTTTCGGGCTGAATGCGGCTATTAAAGCTCATTCGAAGTGCTCATCTTATCGGAGGCAGAACTTATCTCGGCCATAAACTCCCCTATGTACCTGGCTGGCTCTCTGCTATCGCGCACTCTCCTCTCCCTATGTACTTGAAAGTCGTTCAATGGATCTTATCACCTTGCACCCAGATACTACACCGCTGAGGTTGTAAGAACCCGGCCATTTGCGTACTCGACGCACTCAATGAATCACTTGTTGGTCAAAACACCTTTATGGGTGCGTGGCGAATTACCTCACATTCGTACAATTCAATCTGGGGGCGTTGGTCCTCTATTAAGATGAATCATTCAGCCGCCTTCCCCGGACCGGGCTTATCAGACAACTAGGAAGAGTTTGCCCGCAGGTTGACTCAGAAATTGCTTTGCATGGCCACCGTTTCCTCGTGAGTCCCCGAGCTTATCGCGTTGATTTATATAGGATTGATACAATAATAAACTTTTCGCCGAGTGCACTATGGGCGTAACTAAACACGCCCGATTAGGATCGTTATACTTCCCGGGGGTTTTCTAACAAATTTGCAATTGGTATTGGACAATGGCTTTTGAATCCAATCCCTTCACGTTTTATATTTATGTATGTTCGCTTAGAAACCCCTCTACATAGTTATCTATGTTTATTTCAGTGATAAGTTGCTTCATTGGAAAAATGTCAATAAAGCCAATGATTGATAGACTTTTGTTGTTTATTAAATATTAGTTATCTAACTTTCTTTGTATAAAAAAAATAATTCTGGTATAGATTTGCCAGAAAAGACCTTATAATAATACGAATTTTGAAGGATTTAACAATATTTCTCAGAAATAGATGGTCTTAGTTCTTAGTTTTAAAAGGCTTATCCAGAAGAAATAAATAATTTTATATTTATACTTGTTTGTAATTGACTTTGTAAGTGGCTATATATGGAAACATGACATATATAAATAGTAGTGACTAAAAACATAACAATTTAAATTTAAAAGTAGGTAAAGTGCGATCGCACTGGTGCATATTTTGAGGTTGCGGGTAGAGGCCGGGCAAGAAAGGAACTTGAGAGGGCTTTTGGGACGTCCAAGAGTCCCAGGAGAATAAATTAATGAGACAAAGTGTGGCTAGAGATGTATTAAAAACCCAAAACTAGCTCCACCTCATGGCTTTGACCAAGTGACAGGAGATGAAGAAGATTCCTAACTGAAAAATAGCGATAATTAGACTGTTCAGTCGTACAATGTCCATGTGGGAGGCCCAGAAGTTGACAAATTCATCGTTGCAGCCAGGCCGCAGCTCATAATTGGATGCCACACACTCTTTGGATCGATCATCATAGCCACAGCAAGAGGCTGGAACATTAGAACCATACTGTCCATAATCCTGGTTTCCACAGCATTTTAACTGTATCAAGTAAACACATTCATCAATAGTAGGAGATTAATAAACACCCCATACAACTTACGGCTAATTGCAGGGCATCCATGGGATAACCGTGGGCCGAATCATTTTCCACCCAGGCCCTATCCACCAGCCGGCTCATATAATCCAGGTAGGTGTCCTCTTCGACAAATAACCAAATCGATAGAACGATTTGCAGGGAGAACAAGATCAGCATACATATGGCATACTAAATACACAACGAATCAAGTGAGCTTAAAGATATTTTGCAAATATATCTCAACTCACTATTTTCATAAGGCAGACACTCTCCCGAATAGTGCCCCAGCTTCCCAGGAATGCCACCAGAAAGGTGACACTGCCAACGACAATGAAGGTGACGGGAAATGTTACGATGGTCACTCCATCGAATTTGGTAAAGTTACCCAAACTGTTCACCATTAGAGCACCGAATACTATCAGAAATATTCCACTGACCACAAAAATCAGATTTAGAAAGTACAAAAGGTACTTTAAAGTCGATGAAAAGCAATGCATGGCATAAAATGATGAGTTGTCTATGAATAATAGAGATTATGGACTTTCAAACAATGCGTGTGCTTTATATGCCTGCTTTTGTCCAACTAATAACTGCCAAAATAAACCTAAACACGATATGATTCATGCTTATCGCACATAATAAAATTCCAGTGTTAGGTCTGCACTCCCAATCTCCATAAAGGTAAGTTAATCTATCTAATCGCTGTTCACTATCAAAGGTACCTGATTACACCTATATAAAGGGTGGATAACCTGGGGCAATGATCAGAAAAAATGAGTGTCATCTGTGGTGTTGTTGAAATCAGGTGCTTAAAAGTATGCAATAATATTTATCTTTTACCACTGAACCTTTTGTAGCATAGTTGCCGACATCTTCTTAAAGGATTTGAAATCCTTGGTGACTCCCATAGCACGGACAAAAATAAGAAACCACATATTATCTATTATCGAATTATAATTATCAAATTATTACTTGTTTTTAAAGTTTAATAAATTTGCCGTATTTATCAGAATATCCTTTATATTATTCTTAAATAAAGTAAGGTATCAATATTAATTTTTAGAACCAATCAATATCTACTCATTTTGTTGGCCAGACGGCAGGAAACGGCAGATATAACCAATTCCACCAGTGCAATGACAATACTGCTCCAACGGATGACGACCATGTTGGAGGACCAGAAATCGACGAATTCCGTCTTACAGCCGGGACGAAGGGAATAGATGGACACATCGCACCGCTTGGATCGATCAGAGTAGCCGCAACAGGAGGCTGGAACCTCAGTGCCATAATCCTGGTATCCCACGATGCCACAGCAGTTGAACTGAATAAATATTATTATTTTTGTGTACTAACTTCTCCTCTTATTCTTAACTCACGGTCAATTGCAGATTATCCATGGGATAGTTGTGTTCGGCATTATTATCAGTCCAAGACGCGTCCACTATATCGCTCATTAAACCAAGAAAAACGTCGGATTCAACAAATAGCCAAATCGATAGTGATATTTGGAGGCAAAATAGAACAAGCATGCATACGGAATACTACGAGAATTAGGTTTACATTCTAAATAAAATAAAATACTATCAATATATATCTTACCGTTGTTGTAAGACAAGCGTTTTCCTTAATAGTTCCGCAACACCCGAAGAAGGCCACCAGAAAGGTGATACATCCAATTACAAGGACGGACACCGGAAAGGCTAACGACTTTGTCGAACCCTCGAAATCGGTGGCGTTTTGCATGCTGGCCACCATTAGGGATCCGAATATTATCAGCAGAACGCCAATAATCACAAAGATCAAGTTAATTGCATACAGGATGTATTTGAAAGTGGATGATAGACAACCCATGGTGTGATATTTATTAAAGTCCTTCAAGTATAACCTCAAAAAGTTTGTGGATCGATTTCGTCCGATCGCTGGGCTTGCACAAGACTAACTAAATGGTTTTTATCCAAACAACTTTCAAGATATATCGGATCTTATCGATGCTAAGGGTTATATACAGTTTTGTGTACTTTTCTTTGACCATAAAGATATTTTCAAACCTATTTCAGATTGTGGAAATATGAGTACACATTGCTGATATTGCCTTTAGGTCATGGGCTCGCAGTCTTTTCTTGGCTCTGAGTAACCCTTATCCGCTAATCTATATGGTGCTTAAAATAGGAATTTACGTTTTTATATTTGTTTGTTTATAATTTCTGTTTAAGTGCCTAAACTTGTTTGTTGCTACCGACATTTTTCAATAGAATTTTAAATATTCAATTTTGATAACAGCAAACAGCTGATTCTACGTATTATTATTCGTTCTTCATACCGGGTACTTGTAAACTAGAGTAAGTAATGTTTTAATCGTTTAAGCGAGGAAGATACTTCAAGGTCTTTAAAGTTATCAACAAAATTACAATTTGACAAAATTGATACTTCTTTTCAGAGTGGTTTATATTTTCCGGTCCGGCAGAGAAAGCGTCGACAAAGTGTAAACTTTTAAGACTAAAATAGACTAACCACATGTTATATGTTTAATAAATTGCTTCGTTTATTGCAATCTCTTGGTGTATAAATTATTTTGTACAGTAAAAAATATTAGCACAATTAATAAAACTCTCAACTAACGATCTTATAAATGGGATCATCTCGAATTTGTCCAGGGATTCGCTGTGTATAACTTGAGATTATATAAATTTCAATGGCCATCTGTATCAGGTGAAGTATTCGTAAAATTGGGCAACATAATTCGTACTTTCGGTTTCAATTAAAATTAGAAAGACCTTCGCATTCCAGAATTAGTAGTCTGCGCGACGTCGATAGTTCCGAATGCTGTTCGCCAGGCAACAGGCAAATACAAAGCCAACAAACTGTTATATAAATTAAATAAATAAACATTAAATTAAACATGTATAGAGGAATTTTGTGTTTCGACACTCACCTCAATGCCCGCAATCACAAGGCCGGAATACTTGATGATGTCGCTATTCCTGTCCCAGAACTCAACGAAGGCAGCCTTGCAGCCGCGCCTGTAGACGGTTTCTGTGCGGCAGTTGTTGGTGTCCTTGCAGCAGGAGGGCGGGAAGTAGCCCTGGAAGGAGTAGTCGACATAGCCACTGCGTCCACAGCACTCCATCTGCGCAAAGGGATTTATGATTAATAATTCAGAATCTCTAGCCTTTGGGCTGACAACTTACGCTGATCTGTATGGCATCCATGTAGTCGGCACGCCGAGTGCGGCGATCCCAGGCCTTCTCCACCACATCGCCCATGATCTGCAAGTACTTGTCCTTCTGCACCCACATGTAGATGACCAGGGCCAGCTGACCAATCATCAAAACAAACAGCAGGATCGAGTACTATGGAAAATAATGCAGTAAGTACACCAGAATGTGATCAAGGATATTCTTCAAAACAAACCGTCATAGACATGCAGTAGGACTCGCGGATGGCGCCACAGCAACCGAACCAGGAGATGAGTAGAATGATAGTGCCCAGGACAATCATGGTTATGGGCACCTGCTGGGTGCGCAGGGCCTCCGCAAAGTCATCGATATTGTGGATGTTGCTGAATAGCAGAGCTCCAAAGACGATCAGCAATATACCGCATATCTGAGAAAGTCGAAGATTAGCGTAAAAAATTGTATAAATTAAAAAAAATCATAACTTTGTGAGCTTCTATTCTTTTTATAATGATGATTTATAATTTTAATCGAAAGCCATGCAATATAATGTGGCTCTATACGGGTCAGAATCAACAGCCAAGTCGATAAAGACATGTCCTTCTTTCCGTTTCTACGCAAACTAGTCTATTAGTGTCCCAGATTTAACCACTATATTTTCTAAATGTCATAGTAATATCTTAAAAAGGAAAATTATTGTTTTGTTGTTTTAGGTTTTTTTTATGTACCTCAAGCAATGCCAAATTTAAAAGATTTTCATAATTATTATATTTGGGGAAAATTAAGAGTAAATCATGAATTTAAATTTAAAAACAAGAAAGGAAGCTAACTTCGGCACGCCGAAGTTTATATACCCTTGGAGATAGAACTTCTATGAATAAAAAACCATACAATACAAATTATATATCTTTGTGTTAAAAAACAATGAAGTAAGTAATACCTGCTTTCATTTCATTCACCTATACATATTAAAATTGCAGTTTTACATTCACTGATTTGCATTTTTCCTCCACATCAAACGATCGTTTGTATGGCACCTATATGATATAGTCGTCCGATTTTCATGAAATTTACCACAAAATTTAAGACTTAAATTAAATGCCTATACCTAAAATTTGAAAATCAGTTGAAAACTGAAAAGGTTATAAATTTAATTGTATTAATTTCTCGATCGTTCCTATGGGAGCTATATGATATAGTAGTCCGATTTTCATAAAATTTTATGCAAAATTGTAGAGTATAGTAAAATGGCTATATCTCAAATTTGATCCAATTCTATTGAAAACTGAAAAAGTTAAAAATTTTTTTGTAAAAATTTTCCGATCATTCCTATGGCAGCGATATGATATAGTCGTTCTATCCGGCCCGTTCCGACATATATACGAGTGAGAGTATATAGAAGGCTAACTACAAAGTTTCATTCAGATAGCTTCAAAACTGAGAGACTAGTTTGCGTAGAAACGGACAGACGGACAGACGGACAGACGGACAGAAGGACAGACGGACAGACGGACAGACGGACAGACGGACATGGCTAGATCGACTCGGCTGTTGATCCTGATCAAGAATATATATACTTTATATAGTCGGAGGTGCCTCCTTCACTGCGTTGCAAACTTCTGACTGAAATTATAATACCCTGCAAGGGTATAATAATAAGAAAGAAGACGTTAAAAATTCTTTGCAGCTTAGGGATCAAATAAATACTTCTAAAAATGCATATAACTCAAATTATATTCACTTACTAAAATGTTCATTGGGTTTATCTAAGCTTTATGTTTTGACGAGAAAGCTTTTACAGCTTTTTTATTATTGGTTGGAAATAATTTAGAATATATGAAATGCACTGCAAGAAAATATTGGGAACCTACTGGGACAGACGCAGAGGGTTATCATTTATTGAGTTAAAAGTTTGTTTTTTAAGTAATTTATTGTAGCGTAACTAAGCTAACCCATTTGCATGCCTATCAAAAGCTTATCTCTTATCAATCCCCTCCGATTTGGTTAATTAAGATTAACCAACAGCAATGTCGATATAGTTATCAAAAACAAATTTACTTTGCCTTTGATTTATTTATCGCCCTGCGTCATTGAGCAGATTAGATGCCGTGCAGTTGTCCGATTTATCCAATTATCTAACCCATAAGTATAATTAAGGCTGCGGCATATGACTAACTCGACGGGTTGGGCCGTTCAGTGGGTTGGGATCGGATCGGATCAGATGAGAGACGAGAGCGACATTGCCTAACCATCTACGTATATAGATTCACACCCACCCGTCCGGTATTTTTGTCCCGATCCGTGGAAAATTGAGTTCAAGTCTACTGTGACCGTCGCCCATTTACATCGTCTGCGTGTGTGGCGGCAATGTTTGTTGTTTTTTTACAGAGTTTTTGGCTCGCCCAACAATGGGAGCAAGTTCACATTTAATTAAGTCAACTATTTTCGGGCGTCCTCTGTAATGTAATTACGCAACTTTCTGTTACACTGGGAGTGCTTTTAAAAAAAATCCGGTTGCTTTCGTTCTTCCAAATATATTGTGAAGGGCATCCATCAATAGTTCATTTCATTGGACACATTATATTCCTTTATTTGACAGGAGGATACATACATACATCCATATAGACTTGAAAGTTTAAGATAAACTTTTTTATTTTCAACAACGTTTTTTACAGTTCTTGTTTGAAAGGTAAAATTTATTACCAAGCAGTATTTTTATGGGCCATTTATCATTTTTGATAAGTTCAAATTAAATGGTTGATTGTTTTTGTTTTTGTTAAAGCAATTCCAATCATAACCAAAGAGGAAAAAGGTATTGAAACATCCAAATATTTAGAGCTTTTCGTTACGTATTCTTCGCTTTCAGCTACGCAATATATTTATAATTTTTGAATTTAATAGTATTTAAGTTTAAGAAAAGATATCAAAAGTTGTTTACTTGTTGGGCCTATTATTGATGTGCCGGAAGAGGCCGGGCGAGAAATTTGCATACTCTTGAGTCAGGACTTGGGGCACCACTGCTCAAACTAAATTACGTTAATGTCGCAGTAATAGTGTTAATGAAATTTTGTTTGATATGTTTTTAAAATACTGATGGTTCAGAACACAAATTGTGATTCTCAATAATCACAGATTTCTCGTTGAACTCGCAATAATTATAAAAAGCTAAATTGCCAACGCAAAACTCATTGTATGGTTGTGTTTCCCTGTAGAGAGTGACATATTTTACATGATGGGAATAACATTCTGTGGCTCTTGACTCACACCTGCAAATCAGGGCTCCAAACTGGTTAGCCGCGAGTACAGTTTCACGCGGTGGTGCAGTGCCTCCAAGAGTCAGCTAGTTAGAAGTTGCAAAACAAAAACAAATCGAAAATGCCACAAATGGTGGCTGGGTCGACTGGAGTTTCGACGATTGTGCTTGGTGTGTTTTGTAGTTTGGAACCAGTTAACCTCGAGCGGATGCCAGTTAATGGGATGCATGTTTCTGCGACTCGGATGTGGGAAACTCTGCGGCTCAAAGCCAAACTCGTTTTCAGCTAACCAAAGTAAACAAAATACCTTTTGGTATACAGAATCTCTTGACCACCACTACGTCACTTAGGTAGCCCAAATTTAATAACGGGTTTGGCATACACTGATCATCAGAGATGACAAAAGAGACAGATAATGATTCGATATTTTATGCGAAAGTCGATAATAAATCGTTTTTTTAACGTTTTATTTATTGAGCCAATGTAATAGATAACAATTATATATGTATATATTTTAACGATAAATGCGATATTTTTCAATATTTATAGTATTGTATATCAACAAATACGATATTTCTGAGTTGATATTGATTCCAATATTTTTGTCGTTATCTCAAATTGTACTTTTCCTCACAAGATACATTCCTACTGATGATATCAAGCACATAACCCTTCCTTACAGAAAACCTCAAAAACTAATTATCTTTATTTGCTTATTAATTCTGTACACGTTCCCTATTATTTTAATTTCTAATGATAATGCATTGTTCTCAGCCAGTTTTGTAGGCTTAGACTTTCTCAGAGAAAAAAACACTTTTCCCCGTTTTTTCTCCGCTTCGAGCGATGAGAAAACCTGTTTTTACCGTAGCAAAGTTATGATATCATGGAGACTGACCTGGGCTTGGCCTGGAAAATGATATAATCCACGGATGTTTTTACTTACCGAACAGAGCAAATTGAATATAAATAGAATGTATTTAACCATGGAGATTCCGCAGCTCATTTTGCTTTCGGACTTTCGGTGGGTGCTGCTGGTAGAGGTGGAGGAAGAACTGCAACTGATCGTCCGGGGAACAAGAAAAAGAATGGAATTGGGAAATTCAGATACGTATTTCTCAAATACATTGGAAAGTTAAGTATTATTATATCATTTTATTTGGGCAACAAGCACACACGCACGCACACACACACACAGGCACACGCACTGATGTCATCCGTGGCAAAAACATTTTGTTTATATTAACGATGAAAAAATGCTGGCGTTAAGGTTTCATTGAGTGTGGAAATTAGCACACGATCTCACGTACCGCCGGGGTATCGATTGTCGTTCGTTTCGTTGGGCTGCAACTGGCCCTGGAACTAATCTATTAGGGGAGGTGTAGGGAAGCGGCCGATCCCTGCCGATCAGCGCACCAGCTCGGGCAGCAGCTTCTCCTTGGGCAGCAGGCGCTGCTTCAGCTCGTAGTAGCGCCGCCAGATGTACGGGTGGCTGGCGGCCCACGACAGCCACGCCTCCTTCTCGGCGGTGGTCCGCTCCACCTTGCGCAGGTGCTGGTAGTACTTGCCGTTCCGCTTCACACCGGCAGCAGCGTCCTGGGCGAAGCGGGCGAACCGCAGCTTGAGCAGGGTCTCGGACACGTCCACCAGGCGGTTTCCCTTGGGTGGATGCACCAGGCATAGCTGACAGACGACGAAATCCTGCCCATCACGTCCGCTCTTCAGTGGCAGGAAGGTGGCCTCCCGTCCGAGGAGGCACTGCTGCAGCCAGGAGTACCCGTTGGCATTCACCCGCACTCCCGGCAGCTTCACGGGCAGCAGACGCTTGCGGCTGGTGAAGAGTGGAATCAGCGGCTTGTGTTGGATCATCAGCAGGGTGTCCTGGTCGCGCTGCTGGACGCCGGCGATGCGGCCCGTGTGCATCACGCGCTCGTTTATCAGTCGCTCCGGGATGTGCGAGGGCTGCTTAAACTGGCGCACTAGGTAGGCGGGCTTGCGCTTCGCATAGGCCACCGCCAGCATCAGGGCCGAGGTGCCGTAGATGGCCAGCTCGCTGCCGACGGTGTCCCGCTCCAGGTAGTTACATAAGCCCTGGTACTTGGCCCACACATATCCCTTGGCAGCCTCCATTAAGTAGCTTGCGCCTGCAAAGTGTTCGTTTGTTAGCTGAGTTTCGGAGGTTGTGCTGCCACTCAGTGCTCGGCAGCTGACGTCACTTTACCAAAACACACTCGTTATGTCGTTACGCTGGCCCAATCTATATGTGCGGCCGTGCTAAATGCCTAATTTTGTCGCCGATTTTGCTGTTTCTTGGCGACGTTTCTGTTTTGCTACTGAAGAGACTTTGACATTTCCTCGGGCCGGCAGCGACGCCGCAAGTGCAAGCGGGACAACTAGTGTGTGCTTTCGAGTGTTTGTGATCTCACTGCACTTGGCTCGCCAACGCTTTGCAACACTGCCTGCGCTCTCTCGCACTCCCCCTCCCACACTCGCACACACACACACAGGCACTCAATTCAAAAACAAAACTCACACACGCTGTTAATTCACCTTCGCTTGTATGCTGAAGTGAGCTTTGCGCGCGCTAACGTTTTTTTGAACCGTTCGCGAGTGGATGTCAATGAAGACTGAAAACAGCGGCCAGGCCGAGAGATCGCCTAACCGCCTGTTGATTCGCACCCACACAGACGCAGTGCGACGCTCACATGTACGCACCTTGATATTGGCGCGTAGCTTTTGTTTTGGTTACGGTTCGCCCAACCCCCTCTCCCACCACCCGCGACGCTTTAATTGCACTAACTTGTTTTACGCTCTCTGTTACCAATCGCGCTTGTTAATTTATGCAAATGCGGCTTGCGGTCGCTATTTGTTGTTGTTTACCTGCTATGGCGATTACAGTTGCCATAGTACCTATGGATAATCACAATTTAATACAAGGGCCACCGCCCCTGTAAATCAGAGGAGCCGTTTCCGCCCCTTTGCTCCACTTATGACTGGAAAATGTTTTTACAGTAAAATAACTGTTTAACTATTTGTATGCATTTATAATTACTTAAAAAATGGGTTTCTTGAAATCCGTGTTTAATTCAATTTATCAAAATACATTTAAAACATATGTTTTACAAAATATAACACAGGTATTTTGTACAAAATAATGTGAATTTGTAATACTTTGTCATTAAATGTTGGATTATTTGTAACGATATAAATACACACTTTTAAGAACTATAAAAATAAAACTTTAAATTTAACGTTAGAATAAAAATAGCATAAAAAACCTTTGATTTAGAGTGCACATGTTAAACACACGTTTCTAGTATCACATAAAAATGAAAATAAATAAAAATATTCTGTAATAACTCCGTTTTTTTCTTAAATATAAAATTCACATAAATGTTTAAATAAGAATATAATTATAATTCTTCAATAAAATGTAGAGGTGTGTCAATATTTTGAAACAAACTTGATCTACATGCAAAAGATGAGATTTTTTAGCCAAATTTGGTTACTCTTTGTCTTTTCTTTTTTTATACATATAGCTAGATCGACTTGACTGGAGATTCTGCTCGTTATATACTAAAAATCAAACATCATTTAAATTTACCATGTCATAAGTTCGACTGTTTCATTGAACCGCGATTCGGTGCGATTTCCACGACAGCTGGCGAACGTGTTTTGCGGTTTTCGAGTGTCGTGGGCGGACTTTTCATGAAAGTATAAGCCTGAACCACCAACCAGTTTGGTTTTGAAAAACATTGGAACTTTCAGCGGGAACCCATTGCTATGGCTTCGGGCATGGCTTCCGTTTTTAATTACTTGCCCGGGACCGGGGAAGCGAGGTGAGGCGACGCGCTCGAACATTGTAATTGTCTGTAACTTTTCCTTGACACACTACTAGCCAGCCACAATAATGGAGGCAGCATTTACAACAACGCCTCAAACTGGTTTCCAGCTTACGTAATCCAATTGGGTGAAAACGTGGCTTGGAAGCATTATTTTTGGATTTCCAGAAAAGAGAACGAACCCCATGCCAGCTGTCTAGAAGCCGCTCCGCTCGCACCCGCTGACATTGCTAATTAACAAGTGTGCTCCGCGCAATTAACCTCACGTTGTTCCGTATGTAAATTCATTTCCACAACAAGAGCACATAAAAAAAATAGTTTTATTAAAATTCGTCATACACATTTTTTGTATCTTTAGTCAAAATTGTCGGTATATTTTGAATCTTTAGTCAAAATTATCGGTAGGTACATGCCAGTTCTGGATGAAATATATTTTCATAAAATAAATGATATAAAAAACAAAAAACTTATTTAGAACGCAAGAAAATAGCAGTCTAAGACGACTTATTAAATAATTATAACAGATTACAGACCATAAAGATAATCTTAATTCTAGTATGGATGTTTAAATAAAAACAAATACAAATCATATATAGATATTGGATTATATGTTTTTACGGATCTTTCATAAAATTGCTACAACATTAATTTGTCAGGTACTATATGAAAATGTAATTGAATGAAATATGTTGAGAATGTGACCAGAAAGATACATCACATCCTTAAAACCAGAGATAAGCGGATTATATCATTATTATTATACTAGTTTATAAAAAGGAATCTACGTATTTTCACTCAACTTTCTATAAAAGCTTTATTTACAAAAAAAAATAAATAAATAAATAAAAACAAAAGTTTCTAGGTGTCTAAAATTTGATAAAAAGGTTTCCAAAACCGTAAACTATAAAAGTACATTATTAAAAACAAAAGAAATGTGCCCACAATTTGGTTACTCTATCGTTTCATCGCATCCTTTTAGAAAATTTTCAAAGGTATTTGAATTTCCATCAAGTTCAAAGTAATGTCATTTTGAACATTAAATCTATGCAATTTTATACGCCTTTTCATAAACACATAATTTTAGAAAAATTTTTAATTAACCTTTGGAAAAAAAGAGCTCTTCCGTTAGTGTACGTAGAATTATCGGAGTATTTGATTTCTTGCTTCTCAGTCTATGATTAAATTGTCAAATATTTTATAAATTAACCATGGATGTTTATACGGAATCAATCCATTCAAATATATATATATATATATATATATATATATATATATATATATATATATATATATATATATATATATATATTCGAAATGATATTCTTTTAAAAATATTTCTATATGTATGTATGTCAAATATGACTCCCGCTGAAATGGAATTTCTCTCTGTGCCGTGTTCACCAATTATTGACAATATAGAAACGATTGTGAATCATTTGCTTGCCATTTCTGGACTGTGCTTCCTCCTCCCCAGCAAGCAAGACAGTCTCTTGGAAAATGTAAAATTACCGCTAAGTAGAGAATGAGTTAAGTGCGATTGTCCCATTGCTCAAGGGGCGAGGGCAATTATTGGCAAGGAAAAGCTTGCGGTCGGGATTAGGAGAACAGCATGCGTCACACTCGAGAAAATGATCAGATTATCATAGCGCTAACCTAACGAAAAAACAGTACAGCGGCAAGACTGATGATCAGATTAGCATTCATAATTTTTTCCCCAGCTGTGCAAACAATGAGCAGCTTGGACGAGCTCTCTGAACAATATTCTGTAGATAAACAATTCCCAGTCTTTCAACTAAACAGATGCTTTGTAAAAAATAGCAAAGTCAAGGAAAAAAAAAGGAATACATCTCTTCTCTTCTGAGATCGCTTAAAATTGGTTATATTAAACATTTTATAAGCTTTATCAAAACCAAGCACCACAGAGGTTAACTTTTTAATGTTGACCGTTATTTTAAATTAAAGACTCATACATATAAGCTGATATATGTGTACATAGTTAGTTATAATTGCTATAGAATCAATTGATTAATTTATATGAAAACGTAGTATAATTCCAATACATATGAATATGAATAAATTTATATGTTTTATTTCTCTTCAGTTATAATTTTCTTTGGTAATTTGATCGATTTTTAGATGAAAACCGCAAGGCATTACAATCTACGGTGTGCCAAAGATAAATAAAGCATAAAAAGCATCAAAGAATATTTTTATTCATATGTAGAATTAATGGTTGTTGATTTACCCTTTAAAAACCTGTAGATACACTGGGATTACATTGCCTTGTTAGAACTGAATTTAAATAGGATTGAATTGAATTTGATAAGATTACCAACGCCAGACGAACGATAAAACTATCGGTGTGAGCAGAGGCCAAGCGGAGAAATTCGATGTTTCTTTTATCCTTGATCATTCGCCAAATGGTAATTTTCTTAGAATTGACTTAGGACTTGCGTTGAGTAATTATCCCTATGAGAGGTTCCACAGTTTCACTGTCACTTTACATGACCATATCGGTTCAATTTTCCTGCGTTAAAGACCTGAACCTTTAAAGTGTATTTAGTCTTGTAACCGTAGAAAACCAAAAAAAGAGCTATAAAAACTGTTAGTTTTCAATTGGAAAATAGGGACGCCATAGTTGTGTGCTTTATTTCGTGTGACCGCCTCTAAGTGGGCAGCATAGTCAGTATAATTTCCATTTAAAATCGTAAGTATATCAGTGAGTGAGTTTCGTACTAAATCCTCACAAGGGGCTAGTACAAGCGTCGCTGGTAGTGCATCTGCTGACCGGGCGGCGGCTGGGCGGAGCCTGACACCGATCCTGGCGGGGCTCCCGGCAGCATCGCCAACTGTTGCCTGGCCAACTGTTGTTCGTGGGCAGATCCACCTCGTCCCGGGGCATAGCCTTGCGTGATGCTTCCCGCCGCCTTTGCATTCTGTTGAGGAAACTGACCGGACATAAGTGAAATGTTTACGATCTGTTGCGTATGAGGGATAACCTACCTGGCTGCTGCTAATCTGTAGAACGTTGGGATGCAGCGACAGCTCGCTGAGCAGTGGCTTGAAGATGACACCCTCCGACAGCAGGTGTGGCGGCGGGGGCGGGAGATGGCTTGGAGGCGGGCCATCAGGATGCTTCACCTCAATGTGGTAGCGATCCGGCAGCTTCTCCATGGTCACCTGTGGCTGATTAGCCTTCGCCGTGAGACTGCCGCCGGCCTGAACCACAAGATCCGCCTGCGAGATGGCCGGCTGATCGAGGTTAATGTGGAGCACCTGCATCGGCTGCGGTGGCGGAGCCTTGGCTGACTGGGAGTCCGGCGGCTTGCTAACGGTGGCGCTGGGCAGCTCCAAGTACGCTTGGCGCAAAGGCAGATTGTAGTTGTAGATGGACTGTAGGCGAGCATCCGCCTGGTGCTGTGTCGTCGGCGGAGCGGCTGCCGTCTGGTAGAAGATCGTTCCCGTGCCCGGGTACTGCGCAGTGGTCTCTGCAACGAAGGGGAAGGAAAAGATCGGTTTATTAGAGACTCGTAGCTTCGATAGTTCCTGGCGAAGGATCTCTCGGTCTTGGTATTGCGAGTGAGGTGCTTACTGTTCCATGATAATCTAGCATAGTCCGCGGCACGACGGTAGTCATCGTGTTCTGCGAATCGATCGTAAACAAATAACGAAATGAACATATAAGTTGTGTGCCTGTGTTGTTAGCGGTTAGTGTGCGCAGTCGGATGAGTTTCTCTTTGAGCGGGACGGACGGGGGTTAGTTAGCGGGTGTTGTTAATCAAATACAGTGAAAGCTCCGCAGAGCTATGAGACTCGGGATACTGATGGTTCCCAGTTGACGTCCTCTAACTCGAACCAAGAACAATATACTAAGGGAAGTACCTATGTAGATTTTTAAGATTTTAAACTATATACCTTATTCGTTTAGCATCATATAATTATAAGGTATTTGGTTATGGATTGTTTCTCAGTTATGAGCTCTAGTAAATATTTTAAAATAACCGTGAATTTAAGAGCTGAACTTATGTGACAACATTTGGCAGATAGAATTATCGGAATAGCACAATACAAGTTTTCAGTTAATTATCGTAAATTAATACGTTCAGCACTATTTTCCGCACTTTTTAAGCTAATCAAATTACTTTAACTCTAAAATGTGGTTTATAAGGCTTAAAACTGTTGTTTGGATAAAAAGAAAACTGTTCCTATAGGATTTGTTAATAAAAAGGATATTTCTTGGATTTATCTATGAAAGCCCAGCATTGGAAGGAGTGATAAGGATGACGGAATATATAGATATTTCGCTCGAAAGTTTATAGATAAATCAATCTTTAAAAGCAGAGCTCGCAAATAACTGTCGACCGATTTTTTTCTTGCGCTCCGCGCAACCGAAAAAGTTCATACTCTCTCGCTCTCGCTCTGAGCAAGAGACTCTTGCTGTATTCTTTTATGTTTTCTGTTGAACGTTTTTCGTTGAGCTCTTTGTGTGTCGCTCTTTCAATGAGCATTGCCTAAAGAGCGAAACAAGAAACGCTCGCACAATGAGAGTCAGCAAAAGACCGATTGACCGAAAAACTCAACGCAAACGGTCTTTGCATTTACTCACACACACTCAATTCACGATCGCAATACAGACGCTTAACGACTTGCTTGCCTATGCGTGTGAGTGTATACCAATACATATGCAAAAGACTTTTTGCTTCACTGAACACGACAAAACGGTCTTGGAACAACCAGAACAAAACAGAATTAAAAAAAACGGTTTCGCTCTGAGCGCGAGCGAGCTCATTTAAGCACTCTTATTTCGGTTGCTCTCTGAGTTTTTTCGTAAAGTGTCAGGAAAAGACACTTATTTGCAGACAACGAGAAACGGTCGACAGTTATTTGCGAGCTCTGTTTAAAAGTGGCGATATAAGTATGTACGATAAATCAAAACCATAATAGATCGGACCAACATATTCGGAAAAGGAATCATTTTCACCAATATCGATTTCGATTTAGACCGCGATTTAAAAGGGGTTTCAGTTGGAATTGGATAGGATAATGGATGTTCTGTTCTTTTCGAGTTAGAGGAGTTCGACAAGGAGTCTAAATTTTGTTATGGATAATAAAGTCTCTCTGCCTTTGGCAGCCTTCACTGTACAGGGACCAATTGGGCAGTAAAGCTCGAGCAGGGCCTGGGCTTACTCTGCTGGGCGTAGCTGGCGGCGCTCTTGTAGTACGCCTGGTGCTGATTGGGCGGCGAGGGACTTCTTCCCCTCTTGGCTGGTTGGGTACCGGGCGGTGGCTAAAAGCAGGAGAAGCATTAATAAGAAGAAGAAGCAGTGCGGTGGATATCACTCACCTTCTGTAGCAACTGATGGTGCTGGAGACGCAGGGGTGGCAGGAAGACCGGGCCGCTGGCCACGCTGGCAGCTGCCTGCTGCATGGCGAACAGCTCATTTTCCTTGGCCTGCTTCTTTCTCGTCTCGTCCTCGTTTAGAACCTTTTTCAGCTGCACGGTGAGCTGGTGCTTCTGACTGTGCAGGTCGGCCAGCTGCTCATCCAGTCGCGTGATCTGGCCGCGCGTGTCCTCCAGCGACTGGTTCGTCTGGCGCTCGACCTCTTCGCGCTCCCTTCGCAGCCGCTGTTCTTCGCACTGCGCCTCATACTCCTCCTGGCGCCTTTGACGGTCTGCAACAATGAAGCCCTTCAGTGCTCCGCGCAGCTTCTCCGCCCGCTCGGCCTTCGCCGCCTGGGCGGCCGCATTGCTATTGTTCACCGCTGACGCTGGCGGCATCTTTGTGCTCTGCTTAGTTATCTTGCCAATTTTACAAGCCTTTCTGGACGCACTGGGCAAATCGCAAATTGTTGGACCGAACCCAACCGAAAGGCTCCAAAGTGGAATGGTGTGGCTCTGGCAGCGGCTGTGGGCTGTTCTGGAAATCGCCTGGGAGAGCAGTTGGCTGGCAGCGGTTCGGGTAATTCCTTGAATAGCCGTTTTCGCACCTTGTGGAACTGCAGTGTGGCGTTTTGCAATATGTTTTTCGTTAAATACAGCACGATTTCTGGGATAAACAATTTGTTGTGTGTGGGATGTGCCAACCAGCGTTGCCACATCGTCTGGACGCGTCTGCTGAAGCTAGCTATAAAGAAGCTAAGTTGGCTGTGGTACATATGCACGCATAATAATATCAGTTTCAAATCATTTGTTTTCAACAGTAAGTAAAATTACTATTAAATATGTTATGTAGAAGTTGAAATCTGATTAAAGGAATTCTGAAGAAAGCTTTAAATTACTAAAAATTATTACCTTTAAAATAGAAATTTTAAATTTTTTCCTGGGAAACAGCATCGTAACTAAGTGTTGGAACTAATTAATGATAAAAACAAGTGCGCAAAGGATTCTAAATTGCAATTCAAAGTGCAAATTGATGCCTTGAAATAAAAATTGTGGTTTCAAAAACGCCAAAGAATACTTGCCAACGCTTTTTACGCAGTTTATATCATTTAATAAGCAATTATATGGTCACACCAAAAACATCGACCAGTAAACATAGTTGTCACAGTGGCGACATCGATGTTTTTCACCCAAAACATCGAATCATCGATATTTTTAAAAATTTGAAATAATTATTTTTAAATTATTGAAAGTCACATTTAGAGTTATATTAAAAATTAAAAACTAAACATTTATTCACTGATAATTAAGATAATTTTTTTAAAGGTCTTAAACATTATTCAATTGTTATTTTTATTAATAAAAATTAGTTTAAACACTTGTGGGGGTTAGGGCGCTTCCTGTGGTCAGATATCATATTTCGGGCTTTGCCTATGATTCTTTCCGACGACCAAAAAATTTTAGGCACACAAAAAAATTTCTGAGCGTCTTCCCTTAAGGGCGCCATATACAAGCTCCTGAAAGTATAATTAATTGATATCATCAAGCTTTTTCTGTTGATAGTGGCGGCACAGAAATATCGATAGTCGAATAACATCGATGATTTAGAAAATTCTAAAAATATCGATGCATCGAATGCCATCGAATTCATCAATGTTTTCGCATCTCTAATAAAAAGGAAAAGCCGTGAAATGTGTTCAGCTCTTGCGTTTATCAACAATTAGCCATACAGCGGTGACGAGCGCCAATAAGTGATACAACGTGCCTACCACGCGAATAAAAATTTGAGTAACCGCAAATTGGTGAGAAGAGAATAGCCAGAAGCAGCACCAGCAACGGCGGAATAATCAACAAAAGCGGCAAACATGGCGAGTGAGTAATAAAGAAATGAAAAGGAAAAAGAGAACTGAAACTATGTATATAAAAGAATGGGCTAATGCAGGGCATTTCTCGGTTTTTATGAGCGCTCGTTTAAAGTACATTTACACGCCAAAGACCCCGACCCCGCTTCCCTTTTTTGTTTGTTGCTCGCGGCGCGCAGTATAAACAAATGCAACTCATGCGTATCTTTGTGTGTGTCTCTATTTGTACCTGGCCGTGTGTCTGTGTGCATATGTGTATGTGCGGGTGCAGTCGGTGCAGCATTTATGAGCTGCGAAGATACGAAAAATCGGTGCCAGGTGCTTGTAACTGCCGGCGGCATAATCTTTGGGGAAGGGGAATTTCCCGGACGGCATGCTGCTCCCCGGAGCCATGCGAGAAAAATCAATATTACGCGCTTTTTTCGGATTAGACGAATGCACTGCTTGGATGTGGGACTCCCACTGCACTTGCCACACTTATCGGACGGTCACTTTCCCAATCAGAAGTCGACTTTTATCCTTTAATGGCCCGGTCGCAAGCTCTTTGCAATTCTGGCGGGAATTGGGTGTCCCTTTCGCTTCCTCACAACGCACGACGGTCGGCGGGTGGGCGGCGTGCGGTTGAGGCAGTGGCCACCACCTTTTAGCAGAAACCATCCACCCATGCCGCCCACTCTACCACAGGGAGCATGAAGCGGCAGTGACGACGCATTAATAAATGAGAATATGCCTCCTGTGCGAGGTGCAAGGTTTACCGGCGTGTCTCAACACCCTGCCTCCGCTTCTGCCCTGCCCCAGCCAGTCGCTTGATTCCCCGGGGGTGGCATTACACTCAAGCACGCAGAGAAATGTAAAGAAATTGGTGACTCGAATGCGGAATACCCTGAAGAACAAAGATTTGACTGAACTGGAACCATTATTTAGATACAAAAATGGCATTTTAATGGGTCTCAAGTCTGGATTTACTGAATCAACTAAGAATATAATATAATTTGTATAAAACAATACAATACATGATATTGTGTTATCCAAAAAGTTTAAGATTCAAATCTGATTATGGATGATACTTGCTTGTCATGAACTAACAGGGTTGAGTTACAAGCGTCAAGCTAGGAGCCTGACAAAAACCCACCTTTAAGTTAAGAGGCAGACAAAAATGTGAATAAATCACAACAGAATCCCTTTTTAACGACTTGTGTGTGTAGATTCTATTAAGAAATGCTGCTCCCAACGTTATGTAGGTTTTGTTTTTGTACTTCTAAAGAAAGCAACTCTCAAAAGCTTTGTTTTTGGAGCCTCACTTGTGACTAAGCTTGTCTATGCGGTCTTTCTGGCGCCAGTAACTTAAATGTAATAGAAAGAGGAAACATCCATTCAGAATTTACAACATTATCAATGTTAGGAGCGCTATATATCTTTATTTATACACCAGAAACACGTTTAATTGTGGCAGCTACCCATGAAAATTACTATATGCAAAGGATTCTCCGTGTTATCTACTCTTCGACTGTCACTTGAATGAATCAACACATAAACAAACTCCTCACAAAAGGTGGGTTGTTTAAACATACCCTTTCTGGAGGGGGAAACCGTGCAGAACGACAACAAACAGCACTTGAACGTGCTAGAAATCCCGGGCCGTAGAAACTTCCCTTTTTACAGGGGCGGCAGTGCATCCCAAAAACCCCAAACCATTTCCATTTCCTCCACTCCCCCGACGGAACCCAGCAGCTGTGCCCAACGTAGCGAGACCCACCAGACATACCGAGAAAAAAACCAACCAAATCAATATTCTACTATGAGTTTTAAGGTTTATATTTTGTATATTTTTAAGAGTAAGCAGAACTCTAGAGTTATTGCTTTTTTTACTTAATCAAAAACTCTATGATTGTAAAAAGTTTAAACTAAAGATTTACATTATAATGGGGGGACTTTTTTCTGAGTGCCGCAACCCAGCTGCGGGATGTTTGCCACGTCCTCCCCATGGCTCACTCACTTTGGATTTTAATTGGTCCTTTGTGTCTGCATTTTGTCGACGCGTTCGCTTGCCGTCTTTGGCACAATTTGACTGCTGTCCTTGCGGCCGGAGCTTCCATCAACCCCAAAGCGTTGATAAGGCCCGATATCAGTTACCAACAGAGCCCGCTCCCCGCGCAGTCACTGCTGCTGGGCCCTGGGCTCTAGGCCTGGGCTTTATTGTTATTATTATTATTTTGGGCTTTTTTCATTCGTTCCACGCAGCTTACCCAGATTAGCTGGCTGTTATTGTAGTTTACCCAGCAACGAATTTATTGCCTTTTTCCAGGGCCTTCCTTCTTCCGTATTCCTCTGGCGTTGCTTCATTTGCCTCATCTGGCGACTTGTGATTTCCCCTTGCCGGCTCTAGGTTTATTCTTTTTACTGCTAATAAGATTTTTGGCCCTCCTAATGGCCTTGAGAATGAACGAATGCGGGGTGGGTACTGGGGGACTGGGTTGGTGCCAGCTAGGTTTTAATTGAGTTCGTGCCCTATTCAAATTGGCATAGAAATTAATTTCAATTAACTTTCGAGTCTTTGGAGATGCTTGTGTGTCCTCTTGACAAGTTTTTGAAGCATACTTTCTGGGGCCAGTCGAGGGCTGTCGATTTTGGGGGAATCCCCCCAGGCGGCCGTAAACTTTAATTCACATCAATTGTCTGTCAAGTTGTGTGAGAGGACTAAATGTTATAGTTTGTAATTTGTAAATACTTTTGGGAAACCGTCTGTAAATTTAAGAATTTTGTTCTATTTATTTCAAAACTTGTAAATTGTTAATACAAGCACACATTTAAAGTTCCATCTCTGCTGGTTTTATGTAGATATCTATATATATGTATTTCTTCATCAGCATCACCAGCCGAGGCGATTTAGCCCTGTTCTACTGTCAGTCCGAACTCTTTCCGAGATTATGAGAATGAAAAATAAAATATACCAGGGCTATCCATATACATAGTGTAAATCTAACTATCTATATCTATCATATAAGCGATACTCTATTTAAATACAAAAATTACTTGTTTTTCCTTAAAGAACTTTACGATTCTTACGAATTAAATTATTCCAGATCTTCAAGATTTTACCATTGTGTTTTATTTGTTTGCTTAAAGAACAGAACTAGCTTGTGACTTTATAGTTGACTTTTCCCAATTTTTCAAATGGGTTTCATATAGAAAAATTGGTGTTTGTGTTTGTACCCATCTCAAAGCATACATACATGTTTTTATAAGACCAGCAAAGAGTTTAAGAACATTTGTACTTCCACTTTCCCCGGGCTTGTCCCGAACAAGAAGCCATCCAAAATTCAAAGTTTGCCAACGAACAAAGAAAATCAAAAACTTTTTGCTTACGCACGCTGCCGGGAAGGAGGTTGAAAAGGATATCCCCAAACAGGACACCATGGGAGTGCGACAGCGGAGCCGTCTGTGCATTGACCGTGTGGTGAGCGACCTCAGCCTGGGCAGCTACGATCAGGCTCTGGTGCGGATCAACGAGGCCCTAGCCAATATAAGAGACCATGGCGAGATCCTTGCCCTGCTGGAGCTAAAGAACATTATCGTGAGGCTGCGACTGAAGGGCGATGCCCAGAAGACGATCGGGCCAACCCGCCAGTCGGACGCCTTGCCCCATGTATTTACCCCCGATATGCTGGACGTGGTGCAGAAGGTGCTGCGGTGCCGCACCCATTACGAGGTGCTGCGTGTCTCGCACCACGCCACATACTCGGAGGTGAAGCGAGCCTATCACAAGCTGGCCCTGCGCCTGCATCCGGACAAGAACCAGGCTCCCGGCGCGGAGCAGGCATTCCGCCGGATCAGCGAGGCAGCAGACTGCCTCACGGACTGCCAGAAGCGGATAGAGTATAACTTAGGCACATCAGTGAGCGATTGCCAGGGTCAGCATCGGCCGGAGTACGATGACTACCTCAGCGGCAGCGCTTGTGAGGAGGATGAAGACCGGGAAGAGGCAAAAGCTGGTCATAGAAGGCCCTACCAGGCGGCCAACCAGCGGAAGCCCCAGTCCCAATCGCTGTATCAAACGGAACAACTTGTGATCGGAGTGGTGGCTGCATTGGTGTTCCTATTCATCACCATGCATTACATAGCAGCTGCACCGGTCTACAGCTTCACGCCAACCAGGTGAGTTCTTGACTCTGGTGGCTTGTGGGGTCGCTGTAACTCGAATCTTCTCCAGAACCCACACCTTGCACCGCATCACTCAAGCGAGTCACATAGCCTACTATATCAGCCCAAAGAACCTGGCCAAATTCACAGAGCAGCAGTTAATCAAGTTGGAAAAGAGATTGAGCAGGTGTACATATCGGATCTAAAGCTGAAGTGCAAACAGGAGCGAAGTCTACGTGAGTTTAAATCGAACTCAAGGAACTATCGGAGATGTATTTCGGTTTCTCCTTCCAGGGGATACATTGCTGCTAAGGGCGCGGCAGGCCAACAACCAAAGGCTCTTGGAGCAAGCCGTGCAAATGCCAACGCCCGCCTGCCAGATGGTGTACCAACTGGGAAAGACCGTCCTTGGGTCACAGCTCCTAGAAAGTCCCTCTCTGCGAGATCAAGCGATGCAGAAGTCAACTACAAAATAATCATCCGAAATTTGCCATCGGTATTTTCTGCTAAAAGTCGTTAGGAATAGGCTTGTTGAAAGTGAATAATGTGGAAATGGAAAGCAATGTAAACTTGAAAATAAACCTATGTTTCTAATTTAAATATTTCTTATTTATAACGTTGAAATATTATGTTATGTTAAAGAAAATATAGCAATAAGATGCGTAACATCGTAAAATTTTGCAGACTCTTTTGTAGTTTTTTTTTTTAAGATTTCTCTCTTGTAGGCCTTATTACTCTCTGAGTTTGTCAGGCAAGAGAAGCAATTGAAATGCATGGCAGTTAGGCATCTATATATACATATATATCCTTATCCTTATATAACCTTTGCTTTTAATATACAAAAACCGCGTATAAAAAGTAACGAATGGCAATCGTAGGGATTTGCTTCTAATAGATGATCTTGTCCGTGATTTATGTTAAAAAGAACTTCTCATGTTAAAAAGAACTTCTCAATAATAGTTATCCAATGCCATGTCGCATACATTTTATTCATTGTGTTTATTTCCCGACCCACCTTTATTTCCTCATATTACCCAGTCTGCTAAAATAGGTATCCATGGTTCCCATGACTCCCATTTTCGGTACCAAGCTCTCTGGCGCTCTCTTAACCCAAATTTCCTCATCGTTTTTTGGCCCAAAGAGCAACAATACAACTAAACCTGACTTTAACGACACAAATTGTGCACGAATAAAGCATGCAACGAACAACAACAAGTTTTTGCACTAGTTTTCCTTATTTTTTTTTGTGTGTGTGGCCAAAGCCAGTGAATCGTTTAATGGAGAAAACCAAATACCACAACAGGCTGAAAATAAAACTCAGGCTGGAATCGGAGTTCCCCACCCACAAAAAAATGAGGAAAAATACGAAAATAAAATAAAGCAATTGCCCCAGAAATTCATGCGAATAAATGCCACGAACGCCGCCCGCTTCCGCAACGAAAAGCTAACGAACTTGCCACGGAACTCGAACGGAATGGATGGATGGATGGATGGATGGACGGTTGGATGGCATACTCTGAATACCAACGAGTACCAGTTACCAAAGCAAACATTCAAAGGCACGCAAAAGGCTGTGGCTGTGCGCCAGCAGCAACTGAGACGCATTAAAGGAGCTGAACTGCCTCCTGCCACCGACGGAAGTTCCGCTACCGCGCACCGCCAATGCACCTGTCCGTCCACTGGCATCCCTCGTCTACCTGTCACGCCAAGGGGCAATGTGGCTCTGCCACCTGTCCAATTGCATTCAGTGGCGGCGAGACGAGCAAATGCAACAATTTCCCTATACCACTATATATGCAGATGCATCCCATGTGCATTCATACGTGTTATATAGTATTATATATATAATTGTAGGGTATATTGTTGTTTTCATCAAATTGAGTCATGTGTAAAGTCCACTTTTATTTGAGGAAAGAAGCGGATAGGTTTCGTCTCAGAGTTTGTGTATAATATTATCTTTTGGTTAATCCGTTTGCAATGCTAAGGGTCTTTCAAAGCCTTAAAGTATCCCTACGGGGTGTTTAATGGTCGGGACTGCTTCGACTTCCTGCAGAATAGGGCTTACACTTGTAAGTGCAATGTGTCTACGAGTTAGTTGCCTTGTTTGTTGTGGCTCCTGTGCTAGCTGCTATTGCTATTGCATCCCTTGTTGCTGTTTCTATGCCAAATCGTGGACTCCACCGCTGATGATGTGGAGGATGACGATGGTTGTAGGGGTCTTTTTGCGTTTTTGTTTCACTTATTCATTATTTAAGCTTCACAAAGTTTGTTGAATTGCCCATCCCAGTCCACTTAATGTTACTGCTGTTTCTACCAACTGTCGCCAGTTGTCGAGTGCCGGAGTCTGGCCTTTGCCCTTCGCCCTGCTCGAGTGTGTATATATTTCCCAGCATGTGTGCTCGGCGGCAAAAAAGGACTGACTGAAATAATAATATTGTGATAATGTTGGCCATAAAACGGGACTCTATGTCCCTGGCTAAAAAAAAATAAAATCAAATTCAAATTTAAGCCAAAAGCCTGGCTGTGTGTGCGGAAAGATAAATAATTTATTTAGAATTTTATGCAAATACCGAGCAGTATCGTTTGAGGGCTTCTTTTTTGACTCGATTAAAGGTGAACAATTAAAATAAATCAAATAAAGTAGGTATATTTTCTTGGATGGTCTTTTAATGAATTGTTTTGGTTTATTCTTTTTCGGGTTGGTTCTGAAACGTTTAATTTAAAAGATATTTAATATTATTAGAACAAAATCAATGACTTAGAGGCAAAATCTTACCAAACTCCTGTTTAAAACCTCACAATTGTATTGCCAAGGACAATATCTCCTATAAATGTATATGCAAAACTTTCGAATGGATTTTATTTTCCCTCTCACCCGTGGCAAGGACTTATGCAAATGTCCTGCCCATCTTGGGTCCTGTTATAATCCAAGCCAGCTGTTGGAGAGGCGAAAGGAACCTTTAATGGGGCACACGCTTGACAAGTTATCTTAAGCATTTCTATAAAGTAGATTCTGATGGCTTAACTGGAAAGGTTCGGGACTATGGACGCAAATGTGGCATGGTTTAATGTCACTTACATCCTTTCTACATTATATGAGAATATATCGAATGTTTTTGCTTGGCACGTTTCGCTTTAGAACCATTTGTCTTGGCTCCGTCCAGGCACCGGCGATAATCGAAATTGGCAATCAATTTTGCGGTGTCCAACAAAGACAAGGGTGAAATGGCATGGTGACATTGCGTGCTCCTCGAAGCGGATCGAAAACGTTTAGAAAATATTGGAAAAACATGTTTTAAAGTTCACAAATTTCTACGCAAACTAGTCGTTTAATTTCAAGACAGAAAATATGGTTTTCTGTGCTAGATCCCCGATTGGAATGTTTATTTACAGATTATATAAAATATCTTTACTGATTAACAAATTCACAGGAACATATAATTAAATTAAAACTAAAGGAAAAATAAACGAATAAGATGAGTGTTGTATTCTCATTTTTCAGTCTGGAATGAGCGTTACGCATCTTTTTCTGTACACTTATGCTATGTCTTAGAGAAGAACCTTCTCTTAATTGTGCTTATAAGTACATTTAATTTTATGAAGTATTCAAATAATTATTATTATTATTTTTCCCAGCTGAAATCGACGAACTGATTGAGCAACTGAAGACCACCAGTGTCAGTCCTGGAAATACGACAAACCTGCTCTGTGAGATCTCGGCCACCAAGGACCCAAAACTATTTGATAAACATGAGCTAGCGGAATGTTTCCTGGGCCTTACCAAGTGCGAAGACACAAATGTGCGCAAGGAGGCCGCCAAGTGCATTGCGGAGATCACAAAATCTGAGATTCAGCGCAAAAAGTTCACAACGCGTGACATAATTTCAGCCTTTCTCGAGTGCTTGCGCCAGGTGCCAACGCCCGAAGGCAGTATGGAGCTGCCCATCCAAATCTGCCGGGCCCTAGGGAACATATGCTACCTGAATGACGAGGCCAGGGATCTAATACTCGAACTGGAGGGCGATGCTGTACTGCTCCGACTGCTCGACATATCCAGCATCGAGGACGTGGCCAATGCGGCGCAGTTCATCAAGGTGCGCGGTGGTCTGCTGTCCAACTATCTGCTCGGTGGCGAGGGCTTGGCCAAGCGGGCCATGGAGCTGGGCGTGATGAAGAAGCTGCAGGCCATTATCGATACTGGGGCTGCCAATGTGGAGCAGCACGAGGACCTGCTCCTCAACACTCTGCCCCTGCTCAGCATCCTAACTGAAAACGTGGCCGATCTTAACTTTGACTCGTCGCTAAATATCCAATTGTCGCGTATACTGGCTGCCTCTACCAACCCAGATCTGGCCGAGATGTGCCTGGAACTGCTGCACTACCAGGCGGAGAGCGACGAGGTCAAGCTGCTTTTGGCAAAGGACGGTCTCTGCGAGACCATCTACAACCTGCTGGAGAAGTACAAAACTCTGGCTAGCACCAGTGAGGCCAGGGCTCTGATGAAACTGGCCTGCGAATTGATCGTCTTAATTCTCACAGGCGGTAAGTCCTTTTAAATAGTCATAAATGTTTAATTACATAATTTAAATAAATCGGTAATCCATTTTAGATGAATCGATGCATTACCTATACACCACACCGCTTCTTAAGAACATGGTCGACTGGCTGGACTCGTCGGACATTGATCTACTGACCACCGGCGTGCTAGCATTGGGAAACTTTGCACGCACCGACAGCCACTGCATCTACTTTGTGGAGCAGCAGACCATGAACAAGCTGCTCGAGGTGTTGGCCAAGAACAACGGCGTCAAAGACGATGTGCGTCTGCAGCATGCGCTTCTCTCCGCCCTGCGCAACCTGGTCATACCCAAGCCGAACAAGAATGCAGTGATCCAGGCGGGCCTGGTACAGACCATCCTGCCAATGTTGGAAATCCACCAGCCCCCGGTAGTCTTCAAGCTGTTGGGCACGCTGCGCATGACGGTCGACGGCCAAGGTGAGTGGAGGGAGGAATCAAAAATAGCTTGCAATACGATCCACGCATCTACTAACAACATCTGTTTTGCATTTTGCAGAAAAACTTGCTCTGGAGCTGCTGAAAAACAAGACGCTGATTGTGCAGCTGGTGCACTGGAGCAAATCGTCCGACTATGCGGGCGTCACCGGGGAATCGCTGCGCCTCATGGCCTGGCTTATTAAGCACGCCTACCTGAGCAAAATAGCCTATGCCCTGCCGCGCAAGGGTGATGCCCCTGCCGAACAGATTGCCGACAGGATTCCCCTCACCCAGGACTACGATCGCAGCAGTTTGAGTGAGTTTCTGGCCAACGAGGGCACTGTGGAGGCCATGGTCAGTATGCTTACTGCCCAGCATCTGGTAATGCAGAACGAGGCGTTGATTGCCCTGTGCATCCTGGCTGTGGTCTACCTGTCGCAGGCAGCAAGTGAGGCAGCTCAAGCGCAGCGCCTGCAGGATGAGCTGATCAAATGCGAGGTGGGAAAGAAGCTGGCCGAGCTCATTAGCAAGTCCTCGGACAGCATGACAAAGGAAATAGTCGAGAATCTCCAGAATTGCGTCAATCTGTTGAAATCCTCCGAACAGCTGTTGGCGCATCTCGAACAACATAACATCAACGAGTTGCTGAAATCTATACCAATTCTCACCGAATATTGCACCTTGTAAGGCGAATGAGGGAGGGGCGTGGTATTGCATTTATAACCCAGCACCGCAGGATGCCTCACAGCAGGAGGGATGATGGGTGGATTTGAGAAAAACGCTGGGATCAATTTTTGGGGCAATGCTATGCTCTTTTCTCGGTCGTCTAGCTTTCTTCTCATTAAACATGGAGAAGTTACCATTTCTTCCAATAGTGTCTGGAGAGAATAGTGTATTAGCATTGCCCAAAGGCTGCTTTCCCGCAGCTACCCTTGGTCAAAGACCTTAGACTAACAAAATGAATAACGTTCATCCATTTAAATTTCTATATGCAGCTACCACAAAATTGAATGCTTTCTTGTGATCAAGAAATTGCGATGTTAACGTACAGATCTAGAATATTTGACAATGCGTGAGGACACGCTCTGTGTGCCCTTCCTCTCTGAATATTTTCAAGAATGCGTGGAGTCAGTTCTAGAGTCTGAACAAAAATTCGAGTAAAAAAAAATTGTATGACGTTATTCATCTTGTTATAACAAGGTCTGCTTTAGTTCTTTCGTGAAATCAACCCACACCCTGAAGCCCACGCACACTTAAAAATCGTAGAAATTTGTGCAAAAAACAAAAGAGATTGTATTAGTATTCACCTTAGAGCAACGATTCAGATGTAGACTTGGCTGTAGTTTCGGTACGATAAAACCCAGACACACGGGAACGAACACGAGTGGAAGAGCGGAATGTATTTTTTAGACGCAAGCGTATTTTGACTGCATTTATGAGTCCGAATCCGGTAGACAACGGAGTCGTATAAATATTTAAAATATACATAACATATACATACGTATAAATATAAAAAAATATTTGATAATTTAGCATATAAATCTTTTCTGTTACATGATTTTTAAGAGCACAATAACAACAAATCGAGGTGATATCGCTAAATATGTATATTTAATAAATGTATTTTATGTATTGTACTTATAATTTTTAATTGAATACACTTTTAACCCGTTGCCGACAAACACAAACACACCAAAAAGGATAACGAATCATTTAAGCGCACAATGTAATTTAGGTATTTTAATTGGTGCACAGAAACGTACACTCGTATATATATATATATAAATATATATATTTATTGTAAAACTTTGCAATGATCTTAAGAATGCATTTTAACGCAAAACTTTTAAAACTTAACAAAAAGGGCAACTCAGTAACAATCAGCAAACCAAGAAATAGTTAAAACTCGGAAGCAAGCAAAGGCGTAGGCGTAGAGTTTGTTTCAAATTTTACCAATTATAACCAAATGTTTGGTCACAAAAACTATAAAAAGCACAAAATACAAGAGAAAGGCCATGCAAATATGGTATTTACATATATTAAAACGTTGAAATACACGTGAAAGCATACTTATTTATAAATTCTAAACACAATAATGTACATTTAATAATTCAAATAAAATTTGAAATGCATGAGTAATAAGAGTAACTAAACACTATCGATGTTTTCAATTGTTTGAATAAATCTTGATGGCGCCAAAACGTACTGCGTCGATATCGATAGTTCGAAAGGTGCGCTAGAGATGTGCGTAATATATCGATATTTCGACAAGCGTGCTGGAGATGGAACTGCGTCTGTTTACAAACGATTTCCAGAGTGTTTTTTTCTCAGTGAAAGATAGCTGAAGTTTAGCAACATTTAACTAGTCAAAATTGTAGTAAAATTGAGTAATATCCAGTCCATGGTCGCCACAGGTTCATCGTTATTGGTGCATGACATGCACATTTACCATCTCTAGCCAGGGTCGAAAAACCACTTGCATTCCAATTTCTTTGCTGCGTTTTCACTTTCACAAATACAAATCATCGACAAAGGTAAATAAACAATAGATCAGGTGGCGGGAACAGGTGTAGCATTCGTAGGCATTGCGGTCTCTTCACGGATTATCAAATGGCCACCTGTGAGGCGGCATCAGTGCCCGTTAAAATTCAGCCAAAGAAGTATGCCTATTCGCTCCTGGAGGACCCGCAGCGCACCCTTCCTCCACCCACCGCGTCCGGAGAGACGCTGTGTATTCGTGACAGCTTCGACTATTTCCACTACGGCTGCGATGGTCACCAGGACGCGGGCTGGGGCTGCGGCTATCGTACACTGCAGTCCGCCATTTCGTGGATCATCCGTCGAAAGGGCACCTCGTTAAAGGAGGACCAGTACGTGCCCTCGATCCCGGAGATCCAGCAGATCCTAGTCCAAATTGGCGACAAAGGGGCAAGGTTTGAGGGCTCGCGAGATTGGATCGGTACCCTCGAGGAGTTCTACGTAATTGACGTACTCTATCAACTGCCCTGCCGGATTCTTCACGTCGAGGAGCTCGGCTCTTCCGAGGTGCTAGCACAGATTCGTAGCTACTTTGAGGATTACCAGGGATTCATCGCCGTGGGAGGGATTAGCGACACGGCCTCCAAGGCCATTATAGGCTACCATAGTAGTGCCGAGTCGGGACGGGTCTACCTGTTGATTGTGGTGAGTCAGTAGTGCGATTTATTTTATTTTGACGACTTAGTGAACTCATACCATGTCTCGATCCCTTTTAGGATCCACATTTTGCGAGCGTGCCCAGCAGCCGGCAGCAGTTAATTGACCAGGGCTATGTCCGCTGGGTGCCCGTCGACGAATTCCCGGCCGGCACGTACAACCTGTGCCTCATACTGCAGCCGTAGATGCCACTCGCCGTACTTAGTGTTTAGCAATAAAACTCTGCTATTGTTAGCTATTGGTTCTTACATTATTTCAGCCTTGTTTCTCTTCGTTCCAGCGGTCGCTGCTCAATGGACATTATCAATTTGTGACTCCTCCAATCGACTGATAACTACTGCCATACCGCGACGATGGCGCTGATAAGCCCACGGCACTGAGCCAAATTCTTCGACAAAACTGTTTCTAGCAGCTGTTAAGCATAGTTAACTTTGCAATAAATCATCGGGCGGGGGCACAAGACGACCGGATCGAGTTAATGGAGCTCTTGCATCGCACCCTCCTCAGCGCCCTCGGTGCGTTGTCTGTGTTCTACGCATTAGTCAAAGTCAGCCTTGGCTACTGGAAGCGACGGGGGATCCTCCACGAAAAGCCAAAGTTCTTCTGGGGCAACATCAAAGGCGTGGCGAATGGGAAGCGGCACGCCCAGGAAGCTCTTCAGGACATCTACACTGCCTACAAAGGCAGAGGAGCGCCTTTTGTGGGCTTCTACGCCTGGCTGAAGCCATTCGTTTTGGTGCTAGACCTAAAGCTTGTCCATCAAATTCTTTTCACCGATGCGGGACACTTTACCTCGCGCGGTCTCTACAACAATCCCAGCGGAGAGCCCCTTTCGGGCAATCTCCTGCAACTGGATGGTCACAAATGGAGGACTCTGCATGCCAAATCCGCCGAGGTCTTCACGCCCAGCAACATGCAGAAGCTGCTCCCTACGCTTGTACAGATCACAAGGAAAATTCAAGGCCAACTTGGCAATGAGAATCTGCAGACCCTTAATATAAGCGAATTGGTGAATGGTCACCACATTGATGTGATGGCTTCAATGGTCTTTGGCTTGGGACATGGCCAGGACAACCAGGAGTTCGCCAAGTGGACGCGCAGCTATTGGAACGACTTTAAGCTGTGGCGGGCCTATCTGGCCATGGAGTTTCCGATCATTGCTCGGCTGCTGCAGTACAGGAGCTACGCAAGGCCGGCCACAGCATACTTTCAAAAACTAGTATTGTCTCAGTTGGAGGAACAGCGTCATAGGGATCGTCAGCCGCTTCAAACGTTTCTCCAGCTGTACTCCAACGCGGACCAGCCAATCGACGACGTTCAGATTGCCGCCCAGGCATTTGGTAGCCTCTTGGCGGGTTTCGTTCCACTAAATGCGACTCTAAGCTTTTGCCTTTACGAGTTGGCACTTCAACCAGAGCTACAGGATCGTGTCAGAGCGGAGATTAGGAAAACTCTGGAGCAGCACGGTGGATATTTGACGCCGGACGCTCTAAGGGAGCTCAGTTATACGAAGCAGGTCCTAAATGGTAAGTAGATACCTACGTTTTAATGATGGACTACTTATTCTGAATGCAGTTTTAAAACGCTCAGCTTAAGTGATCTGATTGAGACGCCCAACTTAGTCCTTTATCTTGTACATTTTTTCATGCACAATTTTTAGAAACGCTTCGTCTGCACACACCACATCCCTTCCTCCTGCGTCGGGCCACCAAAGAGTTCGAGCTGCCCAGATCGGTGTTTGTCATAGCCAGAGGGAACAATGTACTGATTCCAACGGCGGCCATTCACCGGGATCCAGAGATATACGAGAATCCAGAACGTTTCGATCCGGATCGGTTTGCGGAGAGCGCCAGACAGTCTCGACCACCAGCTGCCTTCCTACCCTTCGGCGAGGGACTGCGTGGATGCATTGCTGCTCGGTTCGCGGAACAGCAGCTATTGGTAGGTCTGGTGGCTTTGCTGCAGCGCCACCGGTACGCTCCCTGTGCCGAGACCTTGATTCCCATGGAGTACGACAAAAAGAGGCTGTTACTGATGCCCAAAACGGACATTATGCTCAGTGTGGAGCTGGTGGATTAAGCTTTAGGGGGTCTCCCCTCCTCTCGGTGGAGGGGAGCACGATTCATTCGTATTGTTTGCTTCGGTATTGCTGTGGAGTATCGCTTTTCTGTACAAAGTTGTGTTTATATTTGTATATGCACCTAATTCGTTGATTTCCTAAAGCTGTGGACTTGTGTGATAATGCTGACGATGACCTTTATAATCTACTGCACATACATCAAGATTGTAGACAAATAAATACCTTTATTGTTACCAAATTGTAACTATTTGCTTAATGTTGTAGTTTTACGGGAGCTACGCAAAAAAAGCTGAAGATTAATGAAATTAATATTATAATATATTATAAAAACAATTTATTGAACAAAATAGTTTATTAAATCCTATCATTTATACTTAAAAAATTAAAAAAATTTCAAAAAATGGCAATATAATTATTTATATGTACATAAAAAGCCATAGTTATTTTCTTATATTTTACATTTTAGGACTGTTATTGTTTTTGTTGGTTTATTTATATAATGTAGGTAAATATTTTCTAATAAAACCAAGCATAATGTTTTAGCATATAGATCCAAGTACATATGTTGAGATAATAAATAAAATTATTAAAAATAAATTTAAATTAGATTCAATCGATTATAAATATCGTGAAAGATATATCGATGTATCGATATAATTAAGACGTCATATCGATGGAGCTTCTATCGATAGCACCATCGATGTTTTGACAGCTCTATTGTGGTTTCGGTTGTTTTTTGTTTGGCTATAAGAAAATCGTGTCGCGTCGCGTCGCAACGAAGGAAACGGGAAAGGCGCTCGGAAAATCTGCACAGACGGACTGAGCAAAACTAACGGTTGAAACGCCGATTTCTAACTGTTGTCTGATCATAAAATAAGAGTGCGAAAAGTGTGCGATTAAATCAAAATTGCCGAAATGCGAGCGGCGGCGAAAAGTGTCGAATTCGAAGCGAATAGCGAATAATTTTATGCAATTTTCCGGGGCAATCGGAAAATTAAGCGTCTGTCTGCCAGGCCAATGTGTGTGTGTGCTTGTGTGCCCGTGTCCGTGTCCGTGAGTGTAGAGCAAAAATAACAACAGCACGACGGCCAGGATCAACGGTGCCGCTCCAGGGTAGTTTGTGCTGGAACAAAGCCCAACATCAACACAGTCCGCGAAGGAGGAGGCGCAGGAACACGGAAAGGAGGAATAGCGCGAGAAGGGGCGAAAGGCAGAACGGGAGAACACACCCCACCACATACAAATACACACACTCTCGTACACCCGCTCCTTTGTGTGTGCGCTTTTGCCGCCTGGAATGCAATGCTACAACAACAACGAGAGGACGGGAAGCAGGGGAGGAAACGCTTAATTGTTTGCAGCATCATCGACGGCCGAAAAAATCAAACAAACGATTGCATTTAAGACGCCTCGCTCTGGGATATTTCATTCTTCCACGCTGAGCAGCAGATGCACGACTTTCAAGCGGCCGAAAGTGCATTGTAAGTATCCTTCGAGTGTGCTCGGGGCTTCTTAATATCTGCCCTTAGACAAAACAAAAGGAATCGAGTCTATGGGAGGGGGGGTGGTGACAGCTAATAATGAAAAATCACTCGGAAGTGAAATAATTGGGAAGGAGAGAGGGCAGCGGCAGGGCGCGAGCGAGAGAGGCAATGCAGTTCGCCAACAACAAGTTTGCACAGCTTCCAGACGGAGAGATTCACGTTCAAGGACTTCCAGTGTCAGTTCCAGTCGGTCGTGAGAACCAAAAACTCCTTTCACGGCCACTCCGAAAGGGATTTCTCGTGCACAGTAGAAAAATATTGAACAGTATAGAAAATATACAAAATCTGAAAAATCATTAAAATCAAAATCTCTAACTATTTAAAGTATATTAGCTTAGATATAATTATTATTATTTTTTGTTAAATAGTGCTTTTTTACTGTTCTTTTTTTAACATACTTCCGACAAATGAACAAAAAGAGTATTAATTTATTTTAAATTTAAATAATTTTTCTTAACATACAATTCTGTTATGTTTTTTATTTTGTACTTTAATATTGAGGCGGTTATTCTGAAAGTCCTGGTATTTTTCCCAGTGTCTACTCCCCTTTTGGAGTTGCGTGGTAATTGCGCAAGTGCAAGGACATCTCTGCTCTTCTGTATTGTTACCTGAATTGTTTTTATCTCAACAGAGGTAAACTTTTAATTTGGCACACCGGGGGTCATTATTTGCGTGGGGTGGCTCCGTGTCACCCGTTGAATTTTTTGTAATCTCTACAGGAACCGGGACGGCACGTTGTAGCCCATTGTACCGCTCGTCATAGGAATAACTGTTTAAATTTAACATTTTCCCAGCTGCCTCCCTTATCGCTCGCTTTCTGTGTTGCCTTTGCCTGCGCATACCTTTCAAACGACTTTTGTGCTCGCCGTCACATGTGGCGGAGATAAGCGTAATTAGGCCTGGATTTTGTTTACGTTTCGAGATTATTATTTCGCACATTTGTCTAAACAAATGATATATGGACGTATCAGAACTTTCCAGCAGCGGTTCTAGTGGTGTCGGGTTCCCGCCATAATGTGATATGCCTGGAATGTCCAGCAGTGCAGTCTCATTTGCCTAGACAATTGTATACATACATATTTATATACATAGGGCTGCTCGGATTCGAAAGTCCGCCTGGGATGCCTTGACCGGTGGCCAGCGGAGTAAAGGCCTTGGAGCCATCCGAGGCTCGTGGAGAAACCCGATCCCAAAACCATCCAACTGCCGCCGCACCTGTGCAATTGCCAAAAAGCGAAAGAACGCGAACTCTGCGAGAAGAACAATAAGAAGTGGGAGGAGAACGAAATAGGGGAATGAAAGGGGGCAATGAAAGAAAGATAAAAATAACGGCAAACAGCTGTTGGCCATTGGAAAGAAACTTGCTCCTGCACGGCAAAAAATGGGATATATTTGTAAAATGTTTTCTTTTTCTATTTAAATAATTTGTAAAATCATCAAATCAGCTTAAACTTTTTCTCAAATCTTTAGGAGTTATTTATTTGTATTTAAAAAATTAAGTCTATCCGATTATCGGCTTGTGTACGCCTAAAAAGATATCTAAAGTCTTTAAAAGGCTTACAAATATATACATTTTCTCGGTGTGGTTACCACTTTGCGCTGTATAAACAAAACCCTGCAGCTTTCGTCTTAATAAAAGGCAAACAAAACTGCACAAAAGGAAAAACTCAAATACTCACGAATAAATATAATTTTATCTTTATGGAGGAAGACCGCCCCACCTCTCCACATCCTTTGCGGCATAGAATAACCTGGTAGGCATAGGCCAAACACTGATCTCTGCCAAACACGGAACGTGGCCAAAGCAAAATTTCCATGGCAAAAAAGAAAAAGAAAACCGGGAAACAACGACACGAAAATAGCGAAAAAGAAACATTTACGTAAACTATTTAGTTTGCACATTTGCTTTAGCTCGGTTCCTCCCTATCTGCACCCCTCGTTAATAGTTTTCCCGGCCAACCGTGTAATTTTAATTAAAAAAGTACCATATGGCTTGCAATATTTAAAGATTAAAACGCTTACAATTAGTTGGTTTTTAATTTTCTTCGTTTAAAGATTCCTGTAATTTTTACCTAATTCAAGATTTACTTAATTATGAACAAGAAAAACTATTAAATATTAAGTAATTAAATTATAATTAAAAATTTAATGATCTTCTATTAAAGAAATTGTTAGGACTTCTCGAACAAAGTTCTTATGACTTCAATTGACTGAATTAGTTTGAAAATAATTTAAAAAATTGTTAAAACTAAGAATATTGATTAGGATTCTTTAGTCCTACTCTATATTGTTACAACAACCAGTGTTTTTAAAAACTGCTGGCAACTTTAAAGACTTTCCGGCGACAAACGACTAACGAAACCTAAAACTTGTAGGTGCTCTTTGTGTCTACTGCTGCTGCCCACTCACAAAAAAGTTTTTGTTTTCGTTTGATTTGTGAACTGCATGGGTGTAGCTAGCTTGTTGTATGAATGAATCTACGAAAAGGCGTGATTCCGTTTGCAGTCACTCGGAGGCCCCAAGTCCCACTCACCACGCCTGGTTTTTTGTTTTCTGGCATCTTTTGCAACCACTTTCGATTTTCTTGACTTGTCCTAATGAAAATCGTGTATAAATCCAACCCAAGTGTCGCCTCGGGGGCTTTTGATTTGGGCCGGGTTGCGTGCCGAATATCCAGCTGCGTGAACAGAATGGAAGGCTCATTAAAAACTGGAGAAAATGTCAGGAGTTCAGGCAACTCTAATGGATTTCCTTTTACTCTCGCTTCTTTTCTGCGGACTCTGGCATATGAGCATTCATTATGACTGGTCTGGCAAATTAGCAAAAACCAAGATGGCAGTGGAATTCCTGGGTCCGACTAAATAGCTACTACTTCTTTTTGTGCTTGCACAACAAAAGCTGGGCGAAGCTCTTTACGCTAACGAGAAGACACGGGAGAAGGCGAGAGAAAATGGACAAGAAACAACAAAAAAGAGCAGTGAAAATTCACATTTCCTGATGGCCACAAAGTAGACAAGTCGTCGAGAAGAGGCAGAACCAAACGTGCTTATGGAACCGGCAAACAAGAACATAACAAACATGACAAAGTACGGGAGTAACATGTGCCGGCTAACGGCACTTTTGTTTATCATTAATAACCATTTTGCCATGGCCGCAACCTCAAAACGTACATATAAGAGAAAAATACTAAAAAGCGGGCACGGGCACTCTTATGTTAATAAAAACAAATGTTAGAAGACACCTGGGATTCTTCTTAAAAATCAGTGAATGCAAATTTAGACACTTTAGCAGCGGCATGTAAAATATTTTCATACTCCAATGAGTAATTTCCAATCCCATGGTAATTGCATCTAATTGCCAGGGAACAGGAGGTATAATAAAATTTGAAATTAAATGTGGTTTTGGCGAACACAAGTTGGTAATAATAACATACATATTCGTTTGAACAAATAAATGTTGAAAAACACAACATACGTTTAGAGGTTTTTAACCTTCATTTGGTATACACTTACGTAAAATTGTCTTTGAATGCAGAAACTAAAGTAATCCAAGCCCAGTGGAAAATTAAATATTTGAATTACAAATTGTTAAGTAATATCAGAAACTACATTTTGAAAATGCTTACGTTGTAAAGCAAGACCATATATGAGCTCACATTAAAAGAGATTTAGACTTCCTGTCCAGTCGTCTTCTAGTCGACAAAGTAACATTTTAGATAAGATCTCAAAAACAGGATATTTTTTTATAAGATAATTAATAATATTAAGGATTTATCATTAATGTAAGCTTTGAAACCTTTAAAATAATCATTTTCATATTTAAATAAGAAATCTAAGCGATAAGTTACCGGCCAATGTGGAAAATGTTCTCTAAAATTCCATCTAGATGTACTCCCGCCTCTTTGGCCATGTTTTTGGACATTGTATCTCCACTTTATTTTAGTTTCGACTGCCTTGCCATGTGTAAAATGTATAATTTTATGCACAAATCGATTAAACACCACCAAAATGCCGTCAGTTTATTTCCAGCGGCAGTCCGAAAAGAACGCCTGAGTTGGTGTTTACAGATTTGTGGGCGTTCTCATTGCGAAATGCGCTCTGTGCTCCCCTTACACCTTATTTTTACGGTGGCTCCTGTTGCCCAAAAGCTTCCGATCGATAATTATCGATTGCCACAATTGCGGCCAAAATAAATGAGTGTTTACAGCGCCTTACTGGCACTTCTACTGCCGGTACTGCTGCTGATTAGATAACGCAACTTATCAATCAGTATGACCCAACATAGGATGCCTATCAGCTTCAATTATCGGTGATATGGCCTATTTTACAATGTGTCGAATGTGCCGCGAATTATTCAATTAAAGCATAATCAAAGCAGCCACAGAATTGGAATAAGGAGAGATTTCCCAACACTACTGGCTCGCCAGCGTAAACACTCAGTGTTTTCTGTTTTCGCTATATTTTATTCATAGAAAATTTGGGTTAATGACGTGCCATACGCGTCGGCGGGCGGCAGGGGGGAGAGAGCTAAAGCAGATGCCCCCACAAATCCCAGAAACATCAAATAGAAAATGCTCGGCAAGGCACAGATGACGCTAAAGATAGAAAACCATTGATAAACATAAATGTTGGGGCATATGTGTGTATGTATGCTGGTGACGTTGTCGATTCCGCTCATATAAAAACTTGATCTCTAGATTATCGTCGTTTTATGAGTTCTTTTCGCTTTTCTTTTCATCGAGCAACCACTCGACGCATTTGATGATCGACGCTTTCCCAACTCCGGATCAGAGAGACAAGACCCAAGACCCCAAGACCAAGATCAGACCAAGGGCCGGGGCATCTCGACACTTGGCTGACCACAGATGTTCATAGTGTTGGATACTTGTAGTAGTTGTCGGTGAAAGTGTAAAGTCATGGCGATGCACAATTCGCCAGCAATAACGTATCGTTTACCACATAAATCTGCTGAAAACCCAACCTGACATTGGAGCTCTTATCCCCTCTCTATTTTTACAATTGTTAAAATCCCTCGTCCAATGCAGCTGTAAAATTATTTGTTTAACCGAATCCCACCTAGAACTGATGGGACAAAACAAAGCCAAAGAAAAACAGAACATATATCGACGGCGGAGTGGATAAGAAAGTTTCCAGCAGTGCATTAAAGTGGTGGGCTGGAAAATGGAACTTTCCAAGTCTATTTTCAGTTCACAGTCTTTTCTCTTCGTAACCAATTCGATTGATTTAAATTTTTACAATACGGGTCCTTAATAGGTTTAAATCTGTGGTAAATATCTTTGCCCGCCCTTTGCCAACACAAGCAAAGAATTTAAGTGACGCGTAAAAAGGGTGGAAGTGTCATCAAGGAGCAAAGTATAGATTTTCTTTGAAAGAAAGTGCCTATTTATAGTCATAACTATTTAATATAAAATGATATAGACGCTCGTGGCTCTCGTTCAGATATACGCGAAGGTTTATTAAAAAATTTGCTGCCAAATAGGATCACTTCTCCGCGATTTTGAGTTTGCCACAACAAATCAATGCGTTATGTGAGGCACATGACGATCGCATACTCTTTGGTGGTTCACTATTTTTGCCTGGCTGCTCTTTCTGTTATAGGTTATGCCCATGCCTGGTTTAATTTCTTACTCAAACAAATGCAATTATTGTTTTTAAATTAAGAATTCCTTGTATCCAAGAATAATTTTAACTGAAACAAAAAGAACCTTATTATTGGAACTCGCTGATATTGATTAACCACATTGCTCACACATTATAGGGGGTAATTTTTAAAAAAATGGAAGGTCTTGCAAGAATTGTTCTCAGTATTTAGTCATAAAAATCCCCCAAGTTCCGCCTTAGTCCCCTAAGATATTGCTCCGGCACGTTGTGGGTCCACCCTAGCATCCTCATCTGCATTTACGCATAATTACACAATGAATAAGAGGGAGATGGGGCGAATGGGGATGCGGATGGCGGTGCGTGTGCTCACATCTTTTGGTAAGCAATTAACGGCAACAACTCTGTCTGTCGCCCTTGACAAAAGTGTCTGCAACATTTTATGCCCCGCTCCCCTTTTCTGTCAGTCAAGTCACTTCCTGTAATAGAAGTCCACGCAGCATGCAACACAACATGAGAGATGTCTACGCAGATACAGTTGGGGTTAGCAAAATAAAACAAGTTCTTTAAATTGTTCACATGGAAAGATTTGTAAACTGCTTGGTACACTAATCCTTTGTTGGTTTGAAAATGAATTAAAGATTTTACTACCTGTTCCTTAAAGTAAATTATTGATATTGGTACTCATGGCGACGTATATTTCCGGTTAGTCTTGATTAGCCCGTTTTAAATCGATGCTAAAAATATATTACAAATACAATATGATATTATTTCCACACGAACGTTCCTTATCAAATTTCTCTGCTAATTTGGATCATTCTTTCCGACTAGTAAACCTTTTAAGCATAGGTTTTTCTCTATTATTATGAATCCTTTTATAAGGCGGTCGGTGACTCCACCATCAAACGTCAAGCTTCCGTTTTGCAGCAACTGAAATCGGAGAGAAACCGCAGAGAGAACCCGCCGTAAATAGGGCGGAAAATTATGCGTAGTGGAAATTAAAACGCATTCAGCATAAACATCAGACCGAGCAAAACAGCAGCAGCCACATCATTATTGCCAACTTGACATTCGTTCGAATTTTTCATGCGGGTTGCCTTTTAGAAGTCGCAAATACCGGGTTCCCACTGTGTCCGATGGTGGTTCCCTTTCCCACCTTTTAATTTTTTGCGAGTGGTAAGGGGTTAATGCTCTTCTTTTTGGGCTACTTTGCGAAATTGTTGTTTTCCTGCTATTGTTTTTAATGCACGATTTGGTAATTTGGGCATTTGGCTACTGCCAAAGTTGCTCCCCCGATCGCAGCACGACCGCATCTCAGGCCTGACCCCAAGTCGGGTTTAGTGGCCCAAGCTTTGCATTTCCCAAGACAGCATCGCTGACTTATCGTTATGCTGAGAAAAACTCTTATTTCCGCTGCCGCAACTGGGAGATGATATGCAAGCTTAGAGCACACACACATACACACACACATTACAACTACTTGCCCAACCAGTTGTAGGCTTATGATTTAAATGCAGCCAGTTAACTGGGTCAATGTTTCGACGCCGCTCTGTGTGCGAGTGTGTTTGTGTTTTCACATATATGTAGCTAAAACCAGATTTAACGCAGTCAATTGCCAAAAACAACGAAAACTTATTTCCGCACTGCAAAGGAAATTGCAACTCTGCAGCATGGCCAACAACAAACATCAGCAACTAAATACATAAAGCGGGCCTGTCATCGTTCGCTTTGTGGCCACAATTTTATCTCGAGAGGTCATTTACACTATTCAGCCGCGAAGAGGAGAGCGAACGAAGAGCGAGCGAGGCAGCTGCAAGTCTACTCGAACTTCCATGCTGTGAGTGTGAATGCGCGAGTGTGTATGAGTGTGCGTCAGTCTTTTTTGCCGTGATTGTGCGCACTTCTTGATACCCTATATACCCCGATAAATGGTCTTGGGTAGGTTCTTGATTCAGCTCAGCTAGTTAAGTAACAGAGTTTTAGAACTTGTAAATGTGCATGAATAAATATATTCTCAAAATAGGGAATTAACAACAATTATGTTTTTTGTATATGGACAAGAAAAAAAGAAGGAAAATAAAGACAAAAACCGAAAATGTGAATAAAATGAGGAAAAAGAAGTGAATTACAAAGAATAAAAATGTTAAAAATAGAAATATAGAAAAAATAGAAAAAGTTATAGAAAAGAAAAATAAATAATAACAGAAAGAAAAAATATTGAAGAACTTTAACTTTATATATTCTTCTATTCAAAATGTTTTTAAAAACATGTCAAATTAAAAAAAAAAAAAAAAAAAACAAGTACTACCTTTATTTTAGTACGAATAAAAATGCAAATATCTGAAAACTTTAATAATACTATCTATGTTGTCCTAGAATCATATTTATTTTTGTGAAAACGCCCTGTGTGTATTAAAACGTAGATTAATTATACATTGATGCATAACTTTTAAATATTCTACCCGTCTAAAAGTTACATAGGTTCAGTTTTAACTTTAATTCTTTATTTTTCAAATAAAAATTCAAATTCAAATAACTAGTATTTTTAAATACAATACAATTTGGAAAATAATTTTCAATTTCAATTATTGGTTTAAAAGCTATTAATATTACAGTTGTTGCGATCCCTGTCAAGAACAATTACTCCCTGCTGGTAATGTCTTAGTTGGAAAACTTGAGAGCGTCGTCGTAACGTTTTTTATTTCATTTTCCTCCGACTTGTTCTCTGATGCCTTCTCTCCCGGCAGTCTTAGACAAAAGCTACGCAGTCTAGGCAATCAGTTCTCGTTGCTGCGGCTGTTTATCACTTGTGGGCTTCGTCTTCCTCCACGCTTGAGTGTCCATTGTGGACGCTTTCTGAATGCATCGGATCGGTGCTACACAGACGTACAGAAAGACGTACACTTGTAGCCGAGAACTTCACTCGGAGTTGCCGTCAATGCCACAATCAGCCCAAAAATGTATAGAGCCCAAGAGAGAGAGAAAGATGGTGGCTTCAAGTGCAGTCTTGAGACTGAAGTCTTAGGCTTAGGCCAGTTTCTGGTCGAAGGTTATTGTGCTCGGAGTCGTCATAATATGTACATAAACATGAATTTGACGCCTCGCGGGCCCTAATTGCTTCCAAGGCTTGCTTCTATATACATAGCAGGGGAATAGCGTTAGTTTTCTCGGTTTATCTGAACTTTCGAAACGAGGCACGGAAACCTGCCTAGAAGTACATAGTTGTCACGTATGTGGCGGACCTACAAATGGGTCAAAACTATTGCACTTCCCCAACGACAACGACAACGGCAACGTCGATGATGATGAAAGTCGTTTGCATGGGCCTCAGGTCCGGAGTTTCAATTGCAATACCCGTAAATTGTGCTTGCAACTTCCTGTACGCCACCGCAAGACATATCAATTATCAATTAATAATTAACAATTAGCCCCGCTACATGACCAATAAATCAGAAGACTGATATCAGCAGGAGCCCAACTCCGGCACTGAAAGCACTCTCAATTTGGGTCAACGATCCCCAAATAAAGTTTGATGTTGCGCCCCGAGTCTATGTCTTTGTTTTTCGTTTATTAATATGCCTAATTAAGCATAATTTCATGTTTGTGAAAGACGCGCTAGTTTACATGTTTGATTATTTATGAGAAGTCGCCTGGGCCCGCCCCATAAGCGAGAAATCTCAAAGATTTATGGGGGATGTGAGCAACAAACTCCCATCGGAAGTGCTTGTTTTATTTATTTGAACATGGTTATTTATAACAAATATTCCCCTCCTCTTTCCAGATCACTCAACGCAACTCAATGCAAAAACGATTTTTGAATTGACTTGGTTTTTCCAATTAAAATGAAACTGAAGTAGAAATCACATTGATAGTATCACACCGAGCAATTTCGCTATTAACGAAACCCAATCGATATCTAAACTGTAGCCGTAAACAATAAGGAAACATGGATCTAAGTCTGGAACGCGATAGCTCCGCGCTGGGTAGTCTGTTCCAACAGATTATCAATGACATGAAGGTGAGTTTTCCTTTAATTATTGTTCTGGAGTTTCTCCGGAAATTTAAAGTAATTTTAGACACGAACTCTTCCACTGAAAGTTCCGTTTTCGGTTCCTGGAACTTATCAGCATTTTGGGGGGAAAAGTCCACATGTGCATGTAGCCACCTTATACACTTGGAGCCCACTCAAGTAACATATAAAAAATTGAAGTGATACGATTTCGCTGTACCTTGCTTCAACAATAAGAAGCGACTCATTGTCTGAGTGTGTCAAGAACTCTCAGCATTTGGTCTGAAATTCTCTGGTGTGTAAATAAATACACCGAGCAAAAGGCAAATAAATATGTATAAACAAATAATCTGAACCAAGGTCGGGGCAAACACACACAAGCTCAAGCCCAGACATGGCAATTAAAATTCTGATATACAGCCATAAATTAATGCAAGAGAAATGTTTTGGATACAGCAAAAACCCAATGGGTTTGTTTCTGTTTTAATGCTCGAATTGTTTTGTTTTCATTTAACTTCTATTAGCTTTAATGGCAAAAAATAAAATTGCAAAATCATACCAGAGTCTAACAAAAAAATTCTCCACATTGTTGCTATCTTTGCACATTAAGCTTGGAGAGAAACACGATATATACCTCCTTGAACATTTTGTGAGTTTTTATTTTAACCATTAATTGATTTCATTACTATCTGTCCGTTGTGTGCTATCAATAATTTATGGTTCTCATGACGCCATTCAGAGCAGCTTACTTCGATACATAATGGTTTATTGCTGGCTTATATAACGCCAAGGCAGGCAATTTTATTTAACAAGCGTAAATTAACGCCGGGTGCGGCGGTTACTGGGAGTGGGAGCAATCTTTATCCCCCGGGCTAAGACTCTAAGGAATACGTGGGGATATTGGGCCCTTGGACGAACTACTGACAGCTGCCAATGAATTGTGACTTAGTGGCACTAATTTAAAGCAGGTAATACATTAGCTTACCTCTCAATTCCAATCCACTTCATTCTGCTCCCTTTCCGGGCTCTTTAGTCCCCCATTTCTTCTGCCTTACATTCTATTTTCATCATCTAGAGATGTAAAATCAACTTTAGCATTTGATGTTCTTATTTTGAAGGGTATATCGGCTTTATGTAGCAACACGATTCCTTGTATGACTTCTGTTTCATAGCAAAATTGTTTTATTATACTATTATAATAGGATGGGATAGGCATGGGAAAATTCAATTTAGGAATAAGTAGCAGCGCCTTTACATTTATATTTCCATATATGTATATGACGGTAAACTAGTTTTATTAATTGGATGTGAATGAGCAAAACGCAAAACACAGTAAGATGCGTAACGCTCATACATTTAAATTTCCATATGCAGGACAGGACTTGCTCCAGAAACAGCTCTGGTGTAAAAATGGAATTTGATTGATAATAGTAACTTTCTTTTATTTGTATTACAAAAAAAAATGTCATATCATTAGTCATTTATTGTGAAATTTGATGTCAAATGTGCTTTTAAACACAGTAGCATTTTTCCCAGTTTACTGGCAGTGTATCTGCAGTGCGGCTTTGCTTCTTCACCTTGGGCCTGCTTCATTTGCTATGCTGAGGCGCATTCGGGAAGAAAATTACATTTTCAGCACATTGTAGCCGCGCGTGGTTGTGATTGTGAGATGCCCTCAGCTGCTCGCATGGGCAGGTGTTGGAATTTGCTGCGTCTTGGGTCTGGGCACAATGCCGACATAAACTAGGAGGTGAAGATGAAAGAAGCCGCCGGCTTCCCGCCCGCTGATCGCCTATAATAGAAGAGAACACCGACTTCCCCCGGGGATTGGTGAACTCACCTTCGGAGCGAGTCGACTGCCGACTGTCAGATGCGGGCGAGTGCATTTTGTATTTATGAAATTTGGAAATTGCTCGGCACGCAATTGTGCAGAAGCTGTTGCTCTCTTTCCAACCTGAGTGTGAACTAGAGCAGAAATATGTGCACACTCACACAGCTGTATGGTCGGAGCATATGCAATATGAATGACTGTATGAGCTCGGATCACCTTACCCAGGTAATTCTCGCCGCCACGCTCTGCTCTGCTTCTGGCCTCATTCATGGCAAAAGATAGTTGCCGTTGCTTTTTGTGGGCAGAACTGCTGGCCAACTTCTGCAGAGCCGGCAAATGCCAATGCAAATGTCACCGAGTGGCAGCAGATGCAAATGAGCAGCCGGAGAGAAAGGTTAACCCTAGAGGCACTTACAGTCGGCACTAAAATTAGTTTCAATTTAATTACAAGTATTGCCTGGCTGGCTGACTGGCTGGCTCTCCGTCTGGCTACCATTCTTCTTTTTTTTTTGGCAGCAGACCAGAACAAATTTATGCCAGTGCCGAGGCAGAAGCAAAGACTTCTCAGAGACTGCCGCAACTTCAGTAAGGCGTAAAGTAGAAGCAGGACGAGGAGTTTACATTATTTTCTGAATACTTGTTGTATGCTTTTGCTAACGGATTTAATGTGCTCGCAATTAAATGCGGCTAATTCTCGATTGGCCCAAAGTTGATCCACGCAACTGAGACTGAGCTCAAGCGAGCCGAAAACGAAATGTAAAATTAAGCAAACTTAAAGGTTGTTAGCTTTACCCAACTGCTGCTTCGCTCCGCTGACTGCACTTTGTTTCGGCCAAGTGTGGCAAGTCTGGCAAGTGTGCGAGATGGAGATACGAGCGCCACAAATTGTCACATTTGACAATGGCACAATCTCGGGTAACAGAAAGCGGCCGGAAAACGCACTGCAGCTGGTTATGAGTTTTTCATCAAAAGTGAAATTTTTTCTGCTCCCTGAACCCAGCTGAACCGAACCAAGCTGAGCCATCACTTTTGCGGCTTCCCTGTAGCTTTTGCCGCGGCTTTAATTTGCTCAAAATGATGCCCGTCCATGCCATCAAACCACTTTTAAGTTGTTAGGTTGAAAACAATTTCATTTGCGCTGTACTTCGTTTTAATATGTGTCGTAAGATGTGTACTTTGAATTCTAAAGGTATTTCGTTTTAAGTGTCAGTGAAAATTTTAAACAATCTACTTTTAAACATGACCAATATTAAAAAATGTCTTAACGACTTAATATTAAAACTGAAAAATGCAATAGCAGGGACATTAAAATAGCTTAAAGGTACTGGTGGCCTTGTGTACACAGGAAATATAATAAGGCGACATTATTTGTGAATTAAGGTAAAGTTGTTGAATAATATTGAATAAAAAACAGCTCAGTACCAGAAAATACTGAAAACTTCAATTGACTCGGCTTTGAGTACAGCTGCTTTTAAAGCAAATACTTGCTTTGTCTCACTTTAGCTTTCAGCTTATTTAAAAGAAATGATTATAAATAATAAATAGATTTTCGCAAAGTGTCTTAGTAGATTTAACAATCGTTCTCTGCGTGTTGGGCTAATTATTATTTTTCAGAAGACTGAAGCATAATTTGCATTTGAAAGCCAAAACTGTGAGAAATAGATAGACCAGGCCGTAGATGGTCATGAAGCTAGCGCCAAGAAAGAGGCCAATGGCGCCGCCAAACGACATTATCAACTGATCCGTGCTGAACACGACCCGTCGCTTCATGCCCATCTTGGGCAGATCCATCTTGATGATTATGGTCCGCTCGAACTGCTCGCCCACGTAGTTTTGATCGCCCTGAAAGAATGCCGGCATGGGTTAATTGGGGGTTTCACAGACTGTGAAGAGCCCAGGACCCACCCCGCTTTGTTCGTACTCCTCGATGATGCTGTACGTGTTCTCCCGGCACAATGGAAAGCAAAGGCAGGGCTTTTCCAGCCACTTGGTTCGAGCCAAACAAAGCATCCCGGTTATGTTGCAGACCGGAGCATTGGGAGCTGCCACATAGAAATAGGGCTTACAGTGGCACAGTCTCAGAGCCCAGTTAATGCGGCACTCCAGGCGACAGAGGCTGGGATGATATGGCTAATAACGAGAATATTATATCGGAAACTATATTTATTCGGGAAATCACACACTCACGTGGTAGTAACTGAGATTGTTCTCGTCCTCGTAGCGACATTTTCGATAGGCCACAGGTAAATTCCGCACCTCAACATCCGCTGATATCGAGTTTACCAAGAGCTTCAGGACATAGGAGCTCTTGACCTTGGCGTCAAAGGTGACAGTCCGGTGATCATGGGGCAGCATCATCTCGTTGACATCGTGCAGGTACTAGTTGGTTAGAGGTAGTTCGATTTATTTACTAGTTTCATAGGGATTAGTTTCTTACCAGAATGACATGGGTTAGAATGCTATTGAAGGGCTTGTGCATCAGCTGGCAGTCGTTGAAGAATCCGCACTGCCGCACTGGCGTCACATTAAGGTCCTCCCTGGAATTAATATATATTCAAGTAAATTAGTTCTTAGAACGGACGCTTTAACCACTCACTGTTTCCCGTATGGGTTACCAAAACGTGTTAACTGGCTGCTGGTCTGGCATAGACCCATTTCCGTTATTATCGGCGCCAGGAGCACAGGATACGGAGGAGGCAGAACCTTCTCCTGCAACTTTAAGAGCATATCCACGTATGGCAAGTTGTCCAAAGTGGAATCATTTTCAAAGGGTGCCAGCGTTTCCAGATTGTCGTAGTTTAAGTGGTTGAGCACCCGGAGAAAATTTCCATAGTAAGTCGCCGCTGTTTCGTTTACAGTGGGATCCACTCCCCAAGTGCTGGGTATTAAAAGTTAAGAAATTATGTAAAGCAATCTGACTAGAATATAAGCAATATCGTTTGTAATTTCAAAGCTCATCCCCGAATTTGACTCACTACTTGATAAGCTTGTTCACCGACTCATCCGTTTCATAGTTGGTGCAGAGTGTCATCCCCAGGAAGGTGAAGTTGCGCAAAGCGAACAGATACTCGTACTCATAGACAATAGGATGTTCGCGGAACCGATCCCACTGTGCAATGCAGGTATTGATGGCGTAATACGCCGAAGACACGACCATGGCGAACCAGAAGAGGCGCTCGGTCCAGTGCAGATCCCTGCGTACCACATAGGAGTTGCCGTGAATGGACGACTCCTTGGCCAGCTCGGCGCACCAATTGTGCTGGTTTTCCGGCCTCAATACCTGCTCCTGCTTCGGCCTGCAGCTCCGGGAGTGCATGATGAACTGAGAGGGAAGCTCCTCGCATGCGACCCCCAATATGTTTAGTAATGTCCAAAGTATTAATGGCCGACTTGTTTTGTTTTTTTGTGCGATAATAAACTTTAATGGTGTTTCGCTGTATGTCAAGCATGCATATATAATTGCAGAGCTTAGGCCCTTACTATGTTGCCGCGGATCTCGGTGCAAATGGATACTGGGCGCTTGGTGTGGCTCTTATCGAATGCCTCAATCATGATGACCAACTTGTAGCGACCATCCATACTTGGGACATTCAGATTTGCCCGCAATTCTACCTGGTAGTTTTCCATCTTAATGACTGCCTGAAAACGTAACGATTAAAGTTAGTGTTGGGTATAGGTTTAAAGATCTCTCGCACTCACTCCTGGGGTGTTAAGGCACTTGCTCTTGATTTCATCGGAGTTGATGATGTACTTCGTCCAGAACTGATGCCAGTACTGCCCCTTTTCGAACATGTTCCTGCAAAAGTTCCTACTGCTAGCCGAGAACATCGCCTTCTGCCAAGTGTTTCGCTCCATGCGATAAATTTGTCCTAATAACTGGAGGAATATAAGTTTATTGAAGGGAATAATTAAATTCATTGTCGGGACTTTGACTTACTGTTATGGTATCCCCAGGTTGGACACCTTTCCAAATGACAGGGACTTCACCTCCTACTTCAAGAAAGCCGTTAGAGTTGGATACGTGCAGCTTGGACATGTCTAAAGCTTCGTCAATATTGGTAGGATTGCCAGGCTGACCCTCGCAAGGAACAAAAATTCCGTCCTCGTCCATATTAAACTTGTAGTCAATGGCCCCAGATAGAGAGATGAGAGTCAGTTGAAGTATCAAGATCCGAAGTTTGGCCCACATCTTGATCAGGTTGCAATATGGGGGGACATTCACGACGATCCGTTATTTATATAGCTCCATATCGCATTACATCGATTGTAATTACCAATTCGATCATATCTGCATTTTTCAAAATCACAAAAGGGCGAATATATTTACGATATTGTGTCGATAAGAATTAATATATATCGTAACACGGTCGGTATCCGTACACGCAACACCTGCGGCTGCTTTTTCCGATCGAGCAGGTCACGCCCACCTGCCCGGCTAGCTCAGTCGGTAGAGCATGAGACTCTTAATCTCAGGGTCGTGGGTTCGAGCCCCACGTTGGGCGGATTTATTTTTACATTTTCTCTTTTATTTAAGATCTGTATTAATCGAATATTAATTAATTATTTATTTTCAAATCATTTGGTCATTTTAATATGACACTCATTCCATACAACAAAAAATACATTAACCAGTTTATGTGGTTTGGGTCGATTGTCTTACATTGATTATGCTCCGTCGCATTAATATATGTTAATACATCTAAATGACAGAAAAATTAGCTCAATTTGTCTATTGTTGTATCGTATTTATCATGAATGCGTCTAGGCGGTTCGAATTTTATTATATTTAAGTCTAAGGTCAATCTATTTTTAAAGAGATTATCTTTCATTTAGAATGTTTGCTGGGATGTCAGAACTTTGGCTCGCAAAATATCGTATGCCCGGCTAGCTCAGTCGGTAGAGCATGAGACTCTTAATCTCAGGGTCGTGGGTTCGAGCCCCACGTTGGGCGAAATTTTTTCTTGTTTTTTTTTTTTTTATCCCCTTTTCCCATTGTATTATGATTTCTCCTAAGATTTTTTTCCCTAAACTATGAGACTTTCCAAAATAAGTTTGAAACGGAACTCTAGTTTGTAAATGTGTTAAAGAAAACGTTAAGCAAAGAATCACATATTGTGTAAAATATTATTCTGTGTTTATTATTATTCTGTATCTATTATTATTATTTAATTATTAATATTATAAACTTATTAGTATTCTTGATTTATTATTATTCTAAAGTTATTACCATTTTGTACTTATTATTATTCTGTATTTATTATTATTCTGTATTTATTATTATTTTGTAATTATTATTTTCTGCATTTATTACTATTCTTGGTTGGTTATTATTCTGAAGCTATTACCATTTTGTAATTATTATTATTCTGTACTTGTTGGTATTATAGTCTTGTATCGTATTTAATTTGTGTTCGAATTGAAATAACTGTAGATTTACCGGGTTGCTTTTTGGCGCCCCCTTTACCAAGTGCCCGGCTAGCTCAGTCGGTAGAGCATGAGACTCTTAATCTCAGGGTCGTGGGTTCGAGCCCCACGTTGGGCGAATTGATTTTTTAATTTTATATTTTTATCTCTCTTTTTATGTATTTTTTGTTTTCTTTTAAATATTCCCCAATTGTTTTGTGTGAACTTTGGCTTTACTGCCAAGCCGCTAGTATTTGATTTTGTCTCGTGCCTCGATGGCGTGGGTGACAAGACGCTAGTCTCTACTCAGATTGTATGTATTTATAGGCGAGTCCGATACTACACACGAGACCTAATGAGTTTTTATTTATGGCAGCCTTCGCAGCTGACGCAACGCTTTGCCATTTCTATGACAATATACATATGTATGTATGTATATCGCGTCGGGTTGTTCGCCTCCTCCTACACCTCCTCTCGCCTGTATTGTTTTCTTGTTCGGAATCCGCTAAAAGGCACATTCAAGGCTAGATTTGTACTGTAAAATGAAATGGCAGCTACCAGTGCATTCTGGTTGAGAGCGAACAGGATGGGGTCAGGATGTCATCGGGCTGTGAAATATGGAGCAAGGCCCTTCTGCTTTGTAGACAAATGGAACTGTGAACGTATGTGGTCTTAGCGATTTAGAACTTTTTATTCAATATCATTTATGTGTTCTTAAATATTTCAGTGAATGTGCTTTAAACAAAACAATAATATAGCATTTGCTGGAGCTAAATTCACAATGACTGTCGTCACAATTCCGTTCCGTCTGTAGATCTGTCTTCTCCCACGCACAGACTATGGAAATCCGAGCCGAGACAGGAATGCGCTATGCACTTTCCCCTTGAAGAGTCACAGACAATTATATGGCGCAAAGAATCGTCGTCTTAGCTGTATTAATTACTTTGCGTTATTCAGTAAATGACTCTGCGGGAATGATTCCTGATGCTGTTCACTCCACTGTAGTGGACTGACTGATAGATCACGGTTTATGTGCTCATAGCCAGTTTAATCACATATGACATGTTGAGATTTTAACTGCATGTTAACTCTTGCTCTTTCTGCAACGAACAGCAATCAAGGGGTGATTAATTTAAATTAAATTAAAATTGCCTTGCGATACACAAGATGGAATCGAGGCTTGTGTTAAAATTTTGCTTGTTATTGCGTGTGGGTGTGGTGGGTGTTGTCGCGCAAAATTATGCAAAAGAGTGAAGTACTCGTTTCGTGTTACTTTACTGCATTTCAATGTTAGATAAATGTGTCACAGAGTCTGGTGGAATATTGGTAGGAAGCAAAGTTTTGTATACCCTTGCATACCCTGGCAGTTTAGATTTGATTATTAGGAATAAATTTCATAATATGAAACTGAAAAGTAACAGGAGTAATATAAAAGATTTATATATATCATTTAAATTACATTTATAGTCTTACATTTACTGTTTCTATGGCAGCTATATGATATAATAGTCAGACTTGCATACATTTAATGTCGAAATTATCAAACTGTCTGTAAGGGTATAAAAAGTTCTGGTGATCTCAATATGAATAGTACCATTGCTTTGTAATAGATCATGAAGTTTTTATAATGTGCCTGATGATCTTTTTTTTAATGTTAACGAGCTGATTTAGTGGCGTGTAATCCTAATCTTAATCCGTAACTGTTGTGTAACAGGCTCAACACCTCGTATTAGCTATATATAGCCTGATTCGCCATATTTCAAAATCAATCATGTTGGGACCTCTGTTTCTACTGATTGCTGGTGTAAGTGGGTCCTGGGCCGCGGACTACGAGCTACTGCTCGAGGATCCTGATATCGTCTCACCCTGTACCGAGCCTGCTCCCGGGTCGTTACATTTTGCTGACCTCTTCAATATGGACGACTTTGTGTTCCAGCAGGATGCTGATATCATTCGCTTGAACGGGAACTTAACTTCCATCTGGGATGTGCAGCCCACGGACCGTATTTCCGTAAAGTCACTCTTCGTAAAGCGAGCGCGACAGGAACCAATTCCCCATAATCATTTCAGGCCAGGTTCTCTACAATGCACTTTGAGCGCGGCAACTGGGAGCCCACCGTATTCAGCGTGTTTACACCAGACTTTTGCTCCATGATGTTTGACGAGGAAAGATATTGGTTCAAATACTGGACTTCCTTCATTTCGAACCGCGAGGAAATAGAGGAAAAGTGCATCAGAACTCGTGGTGTGAGTCCAGTGTCTTAGGTGGATCGGCATTACGCTCTTACGATATCGGTTTTCATTTCAGACTGTCCTGGTGCATATACCATTTGACTTTCGACTTTTTATACGGAATATTTCTGCCCCAAACATTAAAGGCCGCTATAAGTTGGTGTCCGTATTTGAGGCTTTCGACGAAAACGACATCCGTCGACAAAATTCTATTTGCTTTGAAATCCGAGGCGAAGTCGACAAAGTAAAGAAATAAATTCCAAGGCTCTGCTGGGTTTCTTGAATACGCAACGATTTGATATATTAATAATAAAAGTGTTAATAATATAAGTGTTAATTTCATTGCGACATTTTAACCATTCAACTACTGCAATCGTTCTTAAATATATCGTATTCAAACAATTGTATTTATATATACTTCGGAGGAGATCATGTGTGGCAATCACGGCGAAGCATATGTCAGATATATTAACAAAGACATTTATATACATCGGTAAATGGATTTTACGAACCACGATATTATGAATGAATTTCTCATAATTTTAAAAGCTGCATCTTTAAGTAATAACACATATAATAATAAAAAAAAAAAACAAAAAAATAGCTTACCTCTGCACGCCGAAGTTTTTATACCCTTGCTGGTTTCAGTTTGATCTCTAGTTACAGTTTTAAATTCACAGTTTTGCATTTTCCTCTATATCTAACGACCGTTTCTATGACAGCTTTAAGATATAGTAGTCCGATTTTCATAAAATTAAAACCAAAATTGTTGAAAATTGGAAAAGTAAGCATTTTTTTCTAAAAACTTTCCAATCGTTTGTATGACAGTCGTCCGATCCGTTCCGTTCCAACATATATACGAGTAAAAGTATATAGAAGACTAACTACAAAGTTTCATTTAGATAGCTTCGAAATTTAAAACTAGTTTGCGTAGAAACGGACAGACGAACATGGCTAGATCGACTCGGCTGTGGATCCTGATCTAGAATATATATACTTTATATGGTCGGAGATGTCTTCTTCACCGCGATGCAAACTTTTGACTGAAATTATAATACCCTGCAAGGGTATAAAAAGCATATTATCTTATATGTCCAAATGATCTGCTGTAATTATTAATATGTTCAATCTGTTGAAGCCGCTTGGTTTTCAAAGTGACCTTTCATACATCTTTGTGCCCATCTCCTTCTTTCTCTGACAGTAGCGAAGAAGAGAGTTTTCTTAGTTGCACTCTGAGAGAGCTTTGCATTTTGCCTATCCAAATATTATTGAGTGGAAACACAATACAATTGAAAGGAACCAATAATAGGTTTGCCGTCCTGTGGTCTCAAAGTCTAAAGATGTAAAGGGTAATTTAGAATTTTCTTACTTTTACAAAACGTGAAAGCAGCAAATGGGGAATTATGTGTGGTTATTCCACTGTTCCAATTTATTCTTAAAGTACAATTTAAAGATCCGTAGGCCTCAGTTTGCACTATTTATGATCGAAATGCTTTTGGTTAAATGAAATGAAATTAACTATAGTTGTTAATCTGTTACATGATGATACTTGATAGCCGATTACATCCCGTGATGGAATTAGGAACAGGGGTGTTTGTCAGTAATTATTGGATAAGAAACATCGGGATGTCAAGCAGTAATTGATTCTGATAATTTCTGATACGATGGGGCACCATTTATAAATGGTCTGATCCCACATTTGCTGATGTGCAATCATGTTGGGATCTCTGCCACTACTGCTTGTCTTAAGCGTGACTTGGTCCTGGGCCATGGACTACGAACTGCTACTCGAGGAACCGGACTTATTCTCGCCCTGTACCGATGGACCGCCAGGCTCCATCAGCATCCAGGAGGCGTTCAACTCGGAAAATTTTACAATCTCCATGGAGAGTGATATCTTGCACCTTTCCGGCAATGTAACTTCCAGATGGGAAGTAGAGCCCACCGATCGGGTTTCGGTAATGTTGCAACTGAAGCAGCCACAGATTAGGACCTAACGCTTGCATATTTGCAGGCAAGAATAAGTCTATTCTATTTCAATCGCGGCACCTGGGAACCCACAGTCTACTCTATAAGCGTAAACAACTTCTGCCCCCTGATGTACGATAGAAATCAGTATTGGTTTAAGTACTGGACCAAGTATGTATCCAATCGCCACGAAGTTGAACACCTGTGCCTTTCAGCTGGAGTGAGTTCCACCTCTGCCAGAATCTCTTTAGCCAACTTATTCAAGGGTCTGGCTTTTTTCCAGGCCGTCTTTGTACACAACCCATATGACATGAAGATGAGACTGGACGATTTTCGTGGTCCTGTTCTTCGAGGGCGCCATAAGATATTGATTATCTGCACAGCATTCAGCAATACAAACGTACAACGCCCGGTTTCTTTTTGCTTTGAGATCAGAGGGGAAGTTTTGAGGATAAAGTAAAAGAATTTGTATGTAGGATTGGAAATATTAATATCACAACTTGATATTTGAAAATAAATAAACTTCAAGCTATATTCCTGCAAATTTTTTCTTTTATTTTACTACCCTAAGGCACCCCTTTGTGCATTAATTTGTTCTTAATAACTTTTTTTAATTTTGTCGGAACAAGTTGAATGCATATGAACTGCCATTTGTATCATCTGATTTGAGACAAATGTTAAGTGTACCTCCCACAAATATATGCATTATACATACTTTTTATATATTTGAAGGGTATTATTATTTTAATTAGAAGCTTGCAATGCAAAGAAGTCATTTCCGACCCTATAAGGTACATATATATATTCTTGATTAGCATCAACAGTCGAGTGGATCTAGTCATAACCAACTATCCGTTTCTACGCAAACAAGTCCCTCGGTTTGAATGAAATTTTGCACTCAATCGTTTTTCTTTTCCTATTCATATATAACTACGAATGAGCCAGATCGGACTCCTATATTATATAGCTGCTATAGGAACGATCGAAAAATGTTTACAAAAAGAATTGAAAATATCAGCATCTACTTTGAGACCTGTAATTTTGGTATTCATTTTGCGTAAATCGGACGACAATAAATATCATATAGCTATCATAGGAAAAACCGGAAAATTAATAGAAAAGATGTAATGAGTAGTAATGTATATTGTATAAGATAAATGTATATAGATTAATAATGATCCCACTGTAAAATAAAAGAGTATAAAAAAATATTGGCGTGCCGCATTTAGCATCCTTATTTGTTGTCATCAGATTTTCCTTTAATGTTTAGAATACTTTCACACTAATATATTATGTACACATCTTTTTTCAATGTGTATCAAAATCAAGACTATATGTATTCCAGTTTTTTATGCCTTTTGTGGAAGAGGCGTGCCCCAAAGTTAATCTGATCTCATACTTTTATATTCCATGAGATCTTTCCTTCGGTTTGTTGTTACAAAAATAAATGAATTACAATACAAGGGTACAACAATTTGAAATGTTTAAATGTAATTTATACTGAACAGAGGGCATCGTATGCATTCAAATTTAAACATAAAGTGTATTGTCCGGAAAACTAATATGGAACCTGTGAAGTTCGTGAGAAGAAGCTGTGTATTTGCGATGACAACCCAAGATTAAACTGAACTACAAAGTTGTGTTAAGTCAGTAACGATTGGATTAGAAAGAATGTTGTTTTTAGTAATTAAGTGTTTCGAACAATTTCATTACGGGCAGCTATAAAGGGTCTGATCCCACATTAACTGTGCCTCAATAATGTTCGGAACTCTACTACTGCTCTTCATCTTCGGCGTGACTCGGTCCTGGGCCGTGGATTACGAAATGCTGATCGAGGATCCGGACATATTCTCGCCCTGTACCGAAGGACCGCCCGACTCCATCACCGTCCAGGAGGCGTTCAACTTTGACGATCTCACAATCTCCATGGAGAGTGATACCTTGCACGTCTCCGGGAATGCAACAGTCAAATGGGAAGCTCAGCCCACCGATAAGATCGTGGTAATGTCGCACTGAAGGACTAGGACAAAGACTAGGACTAAACGCTTGCATCCTTGCAGGTACAGATAGACATATTGCACTTTAATCGCGGCTTCTGGGAGCCCACTGTCTTCTCTATGAGCACGCAGGACTTTTGTGCCTCGATGTACGATAAGAATCAGTATTGGTTTAAGTACTGGACCACCTTTATAACGAACCGCGACGAAGTCGAAAGCCAGTGTCTCGCAACTGGAGTGAGTGCGAGCTGAGCATTAATCTCTCTTTTCCCCAATATAAAAAGGGTCTTGATATTTCAGACCTTCTTGGTACATGAACCGTTCGATGTGCGGTTTAAAATGATGAACTACCGGGGTCCAGAGCTTCGGGGACGCTATAAGATGGTGATAACAATCAAGGCATTGCACAAAAAATTGCCGCGACCGTCTTCAATATGCATGGAGATCAGAGGGGAAGTGTTTAAAGCTTAGTAGAGGAAACAGGAATCTTTCGATACAAAGTTCGATAGGTTTGTTCCCTTTAACAGACTTTTTTCAGTTTCAAAATATTACAATTACAATATTTGTGACAATAATATATATTTACATATATCAAGCAAAAAAAAAAACCCTGAAATTAGATCATTTGTGCTTGGCTTACCGACAGGAAGTGATTATTGTTATCAAGATTGAAACAATTGTTTTCACATTAAAAACATATATGCTTTTACGATCGTATCATCTTCATAAACGCAAAGAGGGGTTTATTTTTTATTTAACAAACCAAAAAAGTTGTGCTAGAAGGACTAAATATATGTATATACATATATGTATGTATCTTTGGTGTCGGAAATGTCTCTATTTGAGGCTTGGGATTTAAAACAAACATGTATTTTTCGTGGTATCAGAACTAGAGGGCTTTATCGCCATTTCCTGGTTATATTACACTGTGCATTTATTTTATATTCGTTTTGCTTTGCGGCTTGTGGTTTGTGGCACGCGTTGTCGGCAACTCGAGTTCATGCTGCGGTTGCCACATCGGTTGACCGCATGTTGCAAGCAACTCCTTGGGTTACGGCGGCCAGCAGCAGAACGAGAATGGGAAAGAGCCTCGGCGCTGTTCATATTTGGGGTCACGACTGCCATTGTTGGATGAGAAATATGCAAATGCAGCCGACTGTCGGCTATTGAATTACCCGATGATGATTGGCATAAGCCCGATCGATTCAAATCGAACCAATCGATTTGCCAATTTGCCAAGCTCCGCGGCAAATGCGGTTGGGTGAGAGATAGTCGAAAACTTCGAGGCGGGAGGGATGCCTTGCCGCCGAAACACTTTCATTTCATATTCCTGGTGAATAATTTTCTACTTTCTAAAACCGAAGAGCCCCGAACAGAAACAGTTTTTAGGTGCAAATTAGCAGCGCACGATTCGGCGGCAAAGTCAACATCTGGCCAATACCGAAATGATGGCCTTAAGGCATTCATACTCGTCTATACATACGTATATCTACGATAGTTTGTCTGATCGCATAGAAAATCAATCAGTGTGCACTTCTGGCCAGGCTCTGGGACTTTGCATAAGGCTTTCCAGGCTTCTGCCAGCTTCTTTGTTCTCTAACCCGAAATGTGCAAAGTAGGACGACTCGATGTGATGGCTCTGAACCCGTTTTGGCCAACTCCGCCCCTTTCTAGCTGCTTTCTGCTGCCGTTCGGGAATCTTTGGGCCACTATCGAGCAGCGACTGCAGCAAAATTGATGCATGAATGGGTCTGTGAACCAGCCGAGGAGTCGGTTCGTGTGGGCCGCCTTTGTAGGCTATTGGAAAGATCAAGAGTTTATAATGCCAGTCGGGGCCACAAGTACAGCGGTGTGTGTGTCTGGTTGTGGGTCTCTGTGTCTCCTCAGTGGTTGTTGTGTGAACTTTTCCAGTTTTGCCGAGAGTTAGTTGCCAGTGTTGCCGCTGCTGTGAGTGGCATAAACTGTGGGTTTTAGGTGTCTGGCTCGGCAGAGAGTCGGGCTGCCAAGATAAATGGATACACATCGAGGTGCTTGCCTGGATGCACCATGTACATGGCACTCGCTGGCTTCCTCGGCCCACAGACTCCAGCCATGTCGATGTCTGCCAGAAACTGGAAGTGTTTCAAATACACAATCACTATCTAGCGGGAATGATTCCAGCTTTGGCTGATGATTTGGAAGATATATGCAAAGGCTTTAATTTGTTTTGTTTTCCTTATTGAAAAATATGCAATATTCGTAAGAATTAACCTTGTTTTGTTTAGCAATTCTTAAGAAAAAGAATCAAATTACAAGTTATAAAAGAATGCTCTAGAAATTCCCAAGTCGGAATAAATATGTCTGAAAATCATAACGATCTCTGTTAGATCTGTGTAATTCCGTACTTGCTATTAAATTACAGATTTCTCTTATAGACTTTGTGGTCATTTTGGTGTATCCTGTACCTAAATAATCCTACTAGCAAAAGGATCCATCCATCCATTCATAAGGAAATCTAGGGGCTTTAAGTCGCACCAGCTGAGAGCTCTTGCCCAAAACGCCAGCACAAAATACAACTTGGACGCCAACGCAAACGACTTGGGCCTGGTCAATGTAATGACAGCTTCGCGTGTTTTGGCCCGCTCGTAGATGGCTGGATTGGTATCGGCCTGGCTTCGGTGGTCTCTGTATGACAACAAAATGTTCATTCACAAAATGCCGCCAAGCCAGTGCCTGCCCACGCAATCGAGCCAAAAGACGCTTATCAAGTTGTCGTTGGCTGTTGGTTGGCAAACAAAAAATTGTTTTGCAACGTTATAAATAAAGTAAGAAAAAAAAACCAAAATAATAATAATTTGCATGTGGGCTGCGATTTAGAGTTAAACGTGGTTCAATCATCGGGAAAATCGGCTTAAAACTGTATGAAAATTTCAATATTTATGGCCTTTGGGGGAAAGCAAGCATTCATTCATATTTATTATTTTCATTGATTTTGTTTGAATTCTGTGAACTTTTTGACGATGTTTTTCCTAGTTTCCATTTTTATTTTATCTTATTTTGCATTTCGTATATGGTGGCTTATAGTTATTATTATCGTTCGACTGTCTCATTGTTAAGGGTTTCCATTGTACAGACAAAAAATGAAAAATAAAAGCTTGCAGAAAATGCTGAAAATCGATTTCCGTTCAATTATTATTTTTTGCGCTCTGCTTATTTTATTTTATTTTTTTCAGTTTGTTTAGTGTTTTCCTTCGGCATTGTCTGACTGTTTATGCAACTACCCTGGCCCAGACCCGGCTTCTTTTGGGCATTTTGCATTCGAATCGATTTTGCGATTGACATTTGGCTGCCTTTTGTTTAAAGCTCTGTTTGAATTGCGCAAAATGGAAAGTGAAATGGAAATGAAAATGGAATTGCAGTTGGCATTTGCTCCACGGGCTGGGCTGGGCTTGAGCTTGAGCTGGAGCTGGAGCTGGTTTAATCCCTCCCTTGGTCAGTAAATTAAAACACTTGATGTCTTTATTATAGAGCTTCCCCCTTTCAATGTCATTTGTTGTGCAATTGAAATATTATTATGGGCAATCGCCAAGCAAAACAAAACGAAAACTCGTTTTCGCTTTTATTGACCATTTGCGCTTCTTTACTTGCTATTATTTCTCTTTGAAAAAAGAAGCAAACATAAAATCTTTAGCTGCCTTTTACGGCTGCCGGACACTTGGCCAGAAGCCAGATACTTGACCAAATAAGTATTCGGACGGGATTATGTGAGAAAACTATGTGTGAGAGAGACATATGGTTACTCTTTGAAAATAAGTTCCATTTTCCATAGGAATAATTACTATATTTAATTAAAAACGTAATGAAAGTTTCCCTGTGGGGGAACAGGGAAACTTTCATTAAAATGCACCCCAAGGTGTGTCCATATGGATCTTCTGATTCTCAATTCGGCTTTGTTTTGGGTCATTTACTCATTGAATTTACTCCATAACATATTTTCCTGCTTCAATGTTCACATTTTGTTTTAATGAAAAGCGCAGACAACAAAAGTCAAACTCAATTAGATTAAATCCAGTTGAAATAACAGCGATGACAATGTGAACTTTGAACTTTTGTGCAAAGTAATGGGATTTAAAGTATATTCCCCCAAAAGGCAACCCGAAATTGAGCTCAGTCAGAATCTTCTGCTTGAGATTTATCAGTGGAGTGTTCAAAGGGAAACCTTTTTATTTTTTTTTGTGTGACACGTACGCCCAATTTGTGTTTTTTTATGTCAACCGAATGTAATTTTCCCACAGACGAGAGGTTTATTGCATTCCTTGACTTTGGCCGGTCTCTTATTGATTTTCCTTGGGCTTTTCCCTTTTTGCTGGGGCTTGGGAAAACGTTTGGCTTACGTAAGATTTTATTGGCGCAAGGAGCAGTTTGGGTAAATACTTCATTGGCTTGGGGATTGATTCTCTGATTGTTTGTTGGCCAACTTATCTAACTAATTTATTCCCTTCCTGTCTTGCAGAATACTTCGCCGTTGTGGGAGGATTTCGTAGCAAAGGCCGGAAAACTGCACACATGCTTGAGGTAAGTTTATAGACAACATTGATTTCCCTATCGGAAAATTCTCTTTCTAAATATCAACGAGATCTCGACAGGGGCCAGACACCGATTGCAATTGCAAAACTTTAGAATGAGAACATGCAAATGAATAAACAAACTTTTCGTTTACCTCGACTTGCTTTTTATGCGATCTCCCGCCCCACACTCGGGCATTATGTGTCTATGATTATTTTTGTACTTTTTCTGTGCTGTGGAGACCACCGACGCGGCCTCTCGTGTTGTGTTGTTTTGTTTTGTTTATTTTATTTTCTCCCTCTGCTGTTTTTATGCTCCGACTTGGCCCAAATTTGCCCTCGGACGAGGATCCCCGAAGCAATGTCTGGGCATCGGCATATAGCCGCCATATAACGGATGCATTAATCATACCCCGAATCACGTTGTCCGAGCTGAAATCACCGGGCTTGCCAAAACTCGCTCCGAGTGTTTGCCCGCTGCGCTTGACACACATCCACGCCGGGGTCCATGCGGGGTGCGGACTTTCGGCGACCACTTGAGTGGATCAACAAGACCCACCGTTGGTTCCCCACATCTCTATATACTCTTGCAAAGGGTATTTACACTTTACACTTGCTAAACGAGAAGTAAATTCAAACGCATATTCACCACGACTTGTACTTTCTCTAGAGTAGTGATGCCTAAAGCCTAGACTCCGTGATTTCAATTTCTTTCCATGACCTCTGCCGCCACATACAACGCACTAGTGGTTTACATTTGGAGCATTCCGTGCTATTAAATTATTATTTAGTGAATTAATTTTAAGAAGTTCAATATCTATAAATGTATTTTGTTTGCCATATTTGTATATATTAAAATCTAGGTAAGTTTTCCGTGCATCCTTTGACAAGTTAGAAACTTAGGGTGACAGAAAATAGTGAGAAAGAAGGGAGAAAATTCCAGATTCAAGGTCAAGTAGAAAATATACACATATATAAATTAATAGTTTATATACTGAAAGAAAATCAAGAGCCGATACCGATATTTTAACGAACTATTTTAAAATAATGTATATTAAAGTTAACTTAATGATGACAGGAAATATCGATAATGAAGCGTTTTTAGAGGTTTGATTGAGTTCTGATTTTGATAATTTAACATTAAGATACAAACAAGAAATATGTATTCTAAAAACGGTCTATAATAACCGGAAAAATATAAATAATACAAAAATATAGTTATCGATAATGTCGCTATATATTAAAACGATGTGATATTTTTCAAGGTTTAAATATTCGATATGACAAAGTTGACGATATTTTCGATATGATATTTAGCGCAATCTTTTTTACATTCAATATATCGATCCCTATTAATGGACATTCTTACGGTTGAATCTAACGTGTGAATTTTTGTAAACCTTAACTACTTCTATTAACCCTAGCAAATTATGCATTTATTATATTTTAACAAGTTACACCCCCAAACACGTGGAAGGGTATTTCTGAAGTCGGCACCCGACTAACGTCGTCATTTGTCCCTCTTCCCACTGCACTGGGTGCGGTGTCCCTCTTCATTTTCTTTCTCTAGCTGTCTGCTAATTGAAATGTCGCCCACGGCCAATTGAAGAAGAGATTATTATAACTTTCCCCGCAAATATAAAGCTGTAATACTACTTTGGTTCTCTTCGTTCACAGGGCCGCCATCCAAGCAATCGCCGCCTATTTGGATGCCTTCCAGAAGATAGCCGATGCGGCGACCAACTCCAGAGGTAAGTCGAAGCCGCGAACTCGTCGTCTGGGTTGGCTGGATGCCCCGCCAATAAATCCGGGGATCCCCCGTGTCCCGGCCTGGCACTATATCTCTTTCCGCCGCTCATTATTCATGCGTCCGCTCGCAGTCGGCGGCGGTCATCGATCTGATTTTTTAACACACTCACGCTTTCGATGTTTATGTTGAAGTGGCTGGCCGTTGCTGTTCTGTCTGAGCTCACGCAATTCGCTGCTTTTGCTATTTATATTTGTTTATTGGCTGCCTCGCGTCGCACTCATCGAGTGTCCGATTATGCAATGTCGGCGGATGGCTCACCTCAAACCAGATGCCTGCGGCGGTAGGAGCAGGAGAACGCTGCCCAGCATCTCCACCAGGGAAATCCGAAAGGAAAGGAGAGGAGGGGAGAGTTGCAGAGCTAGAACAGACAGCTTGTATTAAGCACTAGTTGTCATGCTTTAGTTAGTTACAGTTGCATTCGTTTGAGTGGAAAATCTAGGTTTCATTCAAACCGAATGAGGTTTACTGTGTGTGTATTCCCAGAGACTATTGAAAACTTTCAGATTCAGATTGTTGAGGCAACAAAGATAGTAAATAGCACTACTAGTAAATAGCATTACTACTAAAAGTTGATTTTATAATCAAGCTATAAGCCTAATGAGTGCATATTGCTATAAAAATCATTCATAACAATTGATTTTTATTCCGGTTGTTGTTAATTTATATTCAGACTTCATGCTGTATGAAAATACCATCAAGACATGCGATCTCAAAAAGCAAATAAATGCAATTAAAGCATTTCCTAGATTCAATTGAACGTTTGATGATTAGTAAAAAACCTATTGAAAGTAAAATGTCTAAAGTAACTCTGCAAATTGACTCAAACACATATTCTTTGCAGAATAAACATTAAATTTCCAGCTTTCGATGTATTTTTTCTGTGCTTTATTCAGTTAAGCCAGAAAATGCCGACTGCTATCTAATAATCTGCACTCTGCCGGCAGGGCGGAGTTTTGCATTAGCATATATTGATCCACTCCTGCCATGTGGTGCGACCCCCTTGCTGCTGGCTTTTGGCTGGTGCCAAGTGCATAGCCTCGTAATTCCGGCCATTTGGCCATTAGCCACCCTTTTTGAGCTCAGGAACTACCTAAATGGTTTCATTAGTCTTAGTGGTTACTTGGCTTAGTTCGGTCAAGCATTGGCACAAGTGTCAATTGTCCTTTTTGAGGGTGGAACCCGAGCTTCGCCTCGCCTCGGATCGCCTTGTGCACTTGCCATCCTTTTTTAAAGGTGGTGCTTAGTCTGAGCCCACAGCAAATATTTCCCATTCAATTATGTGGGATTTGGAGCAAGTGGCTCCGAGAGCGGCCCAGTCAAAGCAGAATCAATAAGCTGTCGCCTGTTTGGCAGATAATTACACATTAAACGGGGATGGCAACAGTCACGGTCTGAGTCGGAGGCAGTCCGAGATAATCGGGCCGGCTGTCACTCTTTGGTGATAGACAGAAGGCAGGAGGAGCCTTAGCAGTAGCGGTTACCCTGACCAGTTTGCCCGGATCCGACATGGCGTAATGGGCACACACGGGATTCGGGATTGGATTGGAAGCCAGGGACAAGCCATGTGGAGTAGAGTCCCGGATCGTGCCGCATGCAATGTCTGATGCGCCTGCAAATCGAAGCGACAGCGCGTGGCGTGCCGTCATTATTATTGCATGCTCTAAACATTTCCGCCGCCAGCTTAACTTCCATTCAAAGCGCAATGTTCCCCTTTGCCAATTTAATTTGGCATTTATTTAATATTTGTTCTGATATTCCAGCATAGCATATGAATAATACTGATTCTATGCCTTAAAAAATGATAGTATCTAGTTAGTAAAAGATGTGTCTCAGACAGCTTTCACTACTTACTGCTTTAAACCATTTCCATAACTAAGTTAGCTCTTTGTAACGTGAAGTGTAGAGCACTTAAATATCAGTATCAACAGCCACATCGATCTAGCTATATCAGTTTTTTTCCGTTCTTTAGTTTTCACCCAAAGTAATTCCTTCGGTTAAACTGTACGTTCCTTAACATCAAGTCCGAACTGGCCAGATTCATATTTTAAAAACAATTAAAATAATATGATTTCTTTCATCTGCAGGCGCCTCCAAAGAGATTGGCACCGCTCTAACCCGCGTCTGCCTGCGCCACAAGGCGGTCGAGACGCGTCTGAAGACCTTTACCAGCGCCATCATGGATTGCCTAGTGCAGCCACTGCAGGACAGGATCGAGGACTGGAAGCGATCGGTGGCCACCATCGACAAAGACCATGCCAAAGAATACAAGCGCTGCCGCACTGAGCTAAAGAAGCGCTCCAGTGACACTCTGCGCCTGCAAAAGAAGGCGCGCAAGGGCCAGACGGACGGACTACAGTCGCTGATGGACTCCCACATGCAGGATGTCACCCAGCGGCGGGCCGAGCTGGAGGAGGTAGAGAAGAAGTCACTGCGCGCGGCCATGGTGGAGGAGCGACTGCGTTACTGCAGCTTCGTGCACATGCTGCAGCCGGTGGTGCACGAGGAGTGTGAGGTCATGTACGAATTGGGTCATCTTCAGGTGAGTGGGTCATATTCCTTGCTTGAATGTAAATTCTAAAGCATCTTCATTTACAGGAGGCCATGCAGTCGATCGCTCTGGTAACCAAGGAGCCCAGTGTTCTGCCCCAGGCCTCCGAAGAGCTAATCCACGATGCCAAGGCCAGTATCAATCTGTACCCGGAGTCTCCGGGAGGCGGTTCCGGCTCTCAGGGCGGCGGATGCTCCAACTCGCTGGGCTCCCGAAAAAGTTCCGTGTGCTCCATCAGCAGCATGAACAGCAGCGGCTCCAGCAATTCTCCTGGCCATCACCACTATCCACGCTCTCTGTCGCAGGTGCGTTCCCTCGAAAGGGATCCTTCACCATCCACCAACCAGTATCTGGCATTGTGCCGTCCGTTCATTTCTTTGTTTTCATCAACGATCTCTTGTGTTTCGTTTTATTTACGTTTTATTTTAGTTTGTAACGCCTGCAATTCGCTTGAAACCTGGTGAATCCAGTGATAGTGGCTTTAGCTCATCGCCAGCTCTAACAACAACACAGGTTTTCATTTATTTTTCTTCTGTTTAATTTTTATCGATTTAAAATTGCTTTTTCTATGTGTGCCTTGGTAGAGTATTTTCCCATACTAATAGTCTTCGGTTTCGATCATCCTTTTAGACTTCAAATGCAACGAACCAGACTGCTAATGTCTCCACTTGGCCGCCACATTCCCAGGACGTGGTTGACACCCTCCCACCGACTGCCGACCGTCCGCACACCATTTCGACGGCTTATGAGAAGGGTCACCAGCGTCCTCCGCTGACCGTCTACACGTTCCAGAACCCGGAGACCATTCCCGAGTCTGGCACCGGCCTTAACAACGGATCACCTGCCAATGGACAGCCGTCGCCGGGACAGACTACTCCGGCTACTCAGAAGTCACCGGCTGCCTCTCTCAGTCGTCCGCCGTTGCCAGTTGTAAGTATTAGATTTAGAGAGCAGATTCTTAAATAAGTTATTGAAAGAGCTCGTAAATAACACTTGACTATTATTGAGGAATACCAACTCCTTTCGGAACAGAAAAACATACTTCTAGATTGAATGTTCTTAGTTGAACTTGATACCCATTTTTAATAACAATATAGAATGTACATGTAATGTAATGTTAATCTGCGAGCTCTGTTTCTGCAATATTAATATAAAGAATAAGATGTGCAACGCCTTGCAGGGGCAATCGATAACTGCTTTCTGAATGTCTATGTTCACTTAGTTTAAATTGGTGTCTTTGCTTACTAAGATCTAAGACTAACCGGATCAGGCTTCCGGGCTTTCATATAGTCGGTAGATCGACTATTATTATTGTGTTCATGCTATTAAGTTGTCTCTCTCGTTCTGGTGGTGGCCATCGCCTTAGAAGCCAGCCCATGTGGTGAGTATGCATGAGTCTGAGCAACCCACCGATCGTAGATCCAAAAGCGCGCTCATCTGCATGCGCCCAACCCCCGCTAGCCCAGTGACATAGGTTTCCAAACCGCATCATCATTATGAGACCTAAAGAAAGAGTATTTTTGTAACTGGGACTAACTTCTCTTGACACCTCCTGTTCCTCCTTGCAGCGCTGTTCGTCGCTGGAGCGACCGCTGTCGGCGCAAAGCAATCATCGCCAGGGAAGCGGAAGCAATCTGCTGCAGCGTCAGTGCCCCTCACCGATTCCAGCTCATATCACGAAAGGTAAGCGCAACCCTGACTCTGTGGCTAGAGCTAGTCTTCGTGTGTTTGTCTGCACGCTTGCCCTTGGCTAATCCCATCAGTCTTACTAATGACCGTGTTGTGACACTCTCTCCCACGCCCCCACACGCATGTCCCTGCTAACATCATCCACGCACAGAGCTGTCCGCAGCGCATCACGCACAGCAGCAGCAGCAGCAGCAGCAGCCACAGCATCAGCCGCCACAGACACCGCCCACCTATGTCAACATGTCCGAACTGGCCAACATGGCGGCTTTGAAGTTGACTAACCACCAGCAACAGCAGCAGCAGCAGCAACAGCAAAAGTCCGCACCACCGCCACTGCGGCAGCAGAGCTCCATCGACTCGATCAGTTCGCAGCATTCCAACGACTCCTCGGGCTCGCATCAGCTGCTTCAGCAGCAGCCGCCGCACTTGCAGCAACAGCAGTCATCGCAGTCGAATCACCACTCCGCCACAGCCACACGCTCCCATTCCATATCCTCGACGGCCTCCTCGCTGCACTCGCACCCGTCGATCGACTCGACGGTCGCTTGCAGCTCGCTGGTGGGCCAGCACCACCACAGCACCAGCACCAACACGAACACCACCTCGCCGTCCAGTGGCAGCTCCACGCCACAGAACCATTACTCGCCCCTGCTAACCAACTCCCCCACGTCCACTGCCGCAGGTACTCCCAGCGGCAGCAGCATTGGCACAGGCACCGGCCTGGGATTCGTCTACCAGGTCAGCTCGCCCACTCCGCCGTCAAGTGAGGTTCTAAAGATCACCGAGCAGACGGCAGCTGGCAATGGTTCATCTGGCCAGGGGTCAGCGGACAAAGGAGCCGAGGAAACGGACGAGCGTTCGCGGGCCTCGGTTCTGCAAAAGGCATCCATGTTCGAGAAGGCGGCAGCAGCAGCTATTTCGCCACCAGCTCCGATTCCGGTGGCGGCTCCGGCACCTGTAATGGCTGCACCAGCTGTCCCAGTAGGCGGAGCAAGCGGAGGACGACGCTCCGAGGCGGAGCAGCAGGAAATGGGTGAGTTGAACAACTGTCTGCTAGCAGGATCGTTGCTGCTGAGGAGTGACAACGATTGCAGCACCAAGACCACCTAGCACTTCAGAGAATCCCTGTCAGAGAATCCTACTCCCCGCTATTTTTTATTTTTTTTCCCCTAAATCTCAGATTATTTGACACGTCGTGATTTATTTTGCCACTGTTAATGGTGAGATTCTACGTTTTCCAGAAGTATGCTAACTAGTGTTGGGTTGCTCCTTTCAAATTGGGTAATCAAGGTCCAGGGAGTGATCTTCTTAAAGTCTTTACTAAATTACAAATTAATTGCTCACTAAGGATTGCAATTACTTAGCAACCCTAATTATGTAACATACTTTTAGAAGGTGTTTTTTCTTAATAAGAATTTGAAAGTGACAAATCAGTACACGGCTACAATTATAGTTTAAACAAAGATAATAATAAGATGCGTAACGCGCTTAATTACTAATCAAAAAGCAGAAGAGGTAGCTCTCTCGAAAGAGCGGCTGGCTCCAGAGCCTTTGCTCTCCGTTTCTCTGGTTTCTTTTAAAGAAATTTAAAAGGGCCTAGAATATGGTGTTACGGTGCAAGTTAAAGAGTGAGGTGTCTTACGCATCTTATTAACTTATATTGTCTTTGGCTTAACATTCTCATCGTGAATATTTTGTAACCCCAAATTATTTTTGTTTTTGTTTCCCTCCCTTCTCTTCTCTTCCTATATTTTTGGTTTGTTGTTTGATTTGCCCGAAACAATAAATGAAACAACAACAAATAATGCACAAAAAACAACCTGAACAATTATATTTTTTGTGTTTACCTCACGTTTGTTCACCCTACCCCGATATCTTTGTCATCTGTAAACTATCCACAATCAACCAAATGCACAACAACAACAACAACCAACAACACACCATCTCCAAAATCGAATACCAACAACCAACCAACTACAATGCAACCATGACAAACCAATATATGATCTAACAGACAAGTCTTTCGAAGATTCAATACAAGCACTAAATAATTTAATTGGCGAACTAGACTCGTTCCAACGCGAGATCGATGAGGGCAAGGGCAAGCAGCAGCAGATGAGCAACATAAGCAACAACAATATGACAACGAGCAGCCAGAGCAGCAGCGACAACAACAACCTGCCCGCCGCCACCATCATTAGCACCACCACCACCACCACCAGTGGCCTCATCGAGCCGTGCGCCATCAGCAATCAGACAAACTCCAGCGGATGCGGCACGGACATATCGGACACCACCTCCGACGAACTGGCAGCGGACGGCGACGATGGTGATGCCAGGCGGCGGGATCTCGACCGGGACCGGGACCGGGACCTTCTGGGAGCCAGTGATTCGGAGTTGAGTCGCTGCTATGTGAGCGAGACGAGTTCGCTGACCGGCGGCCTGACGGCCGGGGGCTACGAGAACCCCACATTCGCGCACTTCGTGGCCAATGCGAACCGAGGCGAGGATGCCGTTTCGCTGTCCTCGGACAGCGTCTGCCTGGGGCAGCCTCGGCACGCCTACGTGGACACCTGCAGTGACAGCGGCAGTGCCGTTGTGGTGATCTACGACCACCAGATTCCCATTACGCCGGACATCGAGTTCGTGAAGCAGAACTCGGAGATTGTCATGCTGCGCACCAAGGATCCGCAGCCACATTCGCTGCAGCTGCACGAGATGCGTGAGCTGCAGCAGTTGCCGGCCAATTTGGCCGGATCGCCGGACTCATCGCCGGACTCGGCCGGCGGCCAGGCCCCGCCGCCGCCGGCGACAGCAACTGTGGCGCCCGCCAAGCAGCGACTCTCTTCGTTTCGCGCCACCAGCGAGCAGCAATTGCAGCTCCTCGGACGCGGCAGTCCGCAAAGAGGTAAAGTCGCACCCACTGAGCAGGCACCACAGAGAGGGTCACAGAAACAGCCCTCCGCAGGGTCCCCGCTGACGCAGCACCAGTCCAGTGATACCGATGGCCACGGCCAGCAGCCTGTAGATCCTGCGAGACGGCAGTTGCCGCCCAAGCCGACCAGCTTAAGCCTTTTCAATGGCCCCCTCGCTCCCAGTGCGGGCGATAGGCCCCTGGTGCCCCGCAAATCGGACTTCAAGTCCGACTTAGATGCGAAAATTCGCAGGCAAAAGCAGAAGGTTCAACAGCAATTGCAGCAGCAACAGCAACAGCAACAGCAGCAGCAGCAGCAACAGGCGGCACAACAACAAAAGCTACACTCACCACAGTCGCCCCAAACCAGAAACTGTAATGTCACTAATAAACCAGCCAAAGCCAATGTTACAGCATCCGCACCTGCATCACCGGCATCCGCATCTGCATCAGTATCAGACCCGTATCCAAACCAGACTCATAGAATGCCAAACCAAAACCAGACGACGCCCACCATAATGGCAGAAGCCAACCCGTCATTGTTATCACCATCACCACCTCGCGGCCACTTGCCATTATCATCATCATCGTCGTCGTCATCGCAATCATTTCCATTGCCAGCAGCCACACTGTCATCACCATCATCAAACGCTCTGCCATCGATGTTGCCCGCCAGTGACCGACCACCACCGCCTCCCGCCCATCCATACACGTGCTCCAATGCCCCAGCCAATCCAATCCATCTCGCCAATAGCAATACCAATGCCAATGCCAATGCCAATGCCCATCTCAAGCCGTGCATTACGCCCCGGCCGGCCTCGTTGTCGGGTTCGTTTCTTTGATTTTTGATTTGATTTTTGATTTCGTCCATCCTTGGTTGTGTTTCTACTTCCCCTCGGCTTGTTTCCTTTTAAGACTTGATTTTGGCTTTGGTTTCTACTTGTTCTAAGCTCTCTTCGCCACTTTCTTACCTTTGCTTTACGTTTCGTCACATGAGTAACCCTTTTGCGATTGGAGTTGGTACTAAGCTCATATCAGAGACTACATAAATGAATAAGATGCATAACGCACATAAATCTGAATAACGCATCTTATACATTTGTATTCTCCTTACTCACACGATCATATGCACCAAATCATCATCCAAACAGACAAATCTAAAAGGATAAACTGCACGATATACTACCACTAACTGCCAATTGCTTATGCACTAAATAGAATCGAAAATGTTATATAATACTGTTGAATTCGCTTATACATATATTGGGAAATCATTTGCTGCAAATAGGTATTATTGTCCAAATGTGAGAAAGAGCACTGCTTGCCTAGCCTTTCTCCACTCATCAGTTTCAGAACAAAGTCTGTCGGTCTAGACAGCTCCTAACTCTTCTTCGTCGCTTCACTAACTCAACTCAACTACTGGTATTACATGGTGTCCTGTGTTTTTTGTGTGTGCCAAGTGTATAAATCGATTAATTGTACATAACTGTGAATAACAGCAGAAGCATAGTTAATGCCAGCTAGCTAATTTGACTATTTCACCGTCCACAGGAGGAGCAGCCGGCGGTGGAGGTACGCGAATTGCACGGCGTTCGTCCATCAACCAGGCCAAGCCACCGCCGCCAGTAAGACGCAGCTCATCGGTGACACCCAGTCCCGCCTCAGTGGGGGTAAGTTTGTCCTACCACTATTTACTTACTATACTATCTATGCCTAAGTTATTCGCGTTAACTAAGCTAGTCGTTAAGGCGTCTCTGTCTCTACATTGGCCACAAACACAGTCTTTGGTTTCCTCTAAGCTTTTATTCTTTAACTTATGATTTAACTTAATGTAACGCAGCAACAGCACTTGAATCTGCAGCAGCAACACCAACAGCAGCAGCAGCATAACTACCACCTAAGCAGCTCCAGCGAGCACTTGCCACCACCACCGGCGTTTATGCTGGACGCCATGGCCGCCCACTCTATGCCCAACTCGCCGCCGCCAGCTGCGATGCCTAGCTCGGCGCTGAAGGTGTCCGAGACGGTGAGAGCCCTGGCAGCCATGCGCCACCAACCGGCCTCGCCAGTGTCACTTAGACGCATGCAGCAACAGCAGCAGCAGCAGCAGCAGCAACAACATCTGCACCAGCAGCAATATCTGCAGCAGCAACAGCAACCTATATTGCAGGTGTGTGTCTAGGCCTGGACCCACCGCCTCTGTCGCCAATCTTAGAATTTCTTCTCTATAATTTTATAATTTCTTTTCATTTCAATTTGCATTTGCTTTGCCTTTGCTGCACACACACTCTGTATACACAACCACACAACCTCTTAACGCGCACCACAAAGTCCGTGCACAACTCCCCCCTGACCGATGATCTAAGCTATGACGCCTACTATGACTCCTACTTGGATCTGCACGCCTATGCTCAGCAGCAGCAGCAACAGCAGCTTCACCATAGCCAACTGCAACCACACCATCAGAATCTGCAGCAGCCACTGCAGCCGCCTCTCTACCAAGCTCCGCCACCAGCCGATGCCGTAAGTGACCAGCCAGCAGTGGGCCAGCGTAACTAACTAACCAAGACTAACAGCAGGAGAAGCCGTTTGCAGGAGGGCCCAGCCGCTCGCCTCTCGCCACTTAACACCACTGTCCCCTGTCCCCATCATCCAGCTTAGTTGTAATGCCATATAGTCTTAGATTAGAGTAGCTTTTGTCGTGCTTCGGGAAATCCTTTAATTTGTGCCTTCTTTATTCTCTTCTCTCATTTTTTCTCATGCCGCACTCCACTGAAACACACACATCACCACTGCCACCACACACCAGACGTTCCGCACTTCGTCACCAGCCGCTGGCGGAGGGGGCGGAGGCATATACGCCCAGCCCAAGCTGGTCAATAGCATGTCCAGCTTCCGCACCAGCAGCCCCAGTCCGAACGGACACGCTCACGCTCACCCACTGCCGCCGACGCAGCCCAAGGCGAACCCGAATCTAATTGCACAGCTCAATGCACGACTCAACAGCAAGCAGCAGCACCAGCCTGGGGTCGAGGGGATCTACGGCAATCAGCAGCAGCACCAGCAGCAGCAGCCGCCTGGTGGAGCAGGAGGAGAGTCGATCTATATGCGGAGTGGCTTGTCCATGTCGCAGCCGCAACAGCAGCAACACAATGACGGTAAATCAGAGCAAATGCAAATGCAGCAGCAGCCACAGCATAGAATTTACGCTAGTTTCGGCACATCATCATCTTCATCACCTTCATCGGCCAACAGCACCACTCAGTCGTCCTCCATTCTAACACCGGCCCCCTCATCTTTCAATGCATTGCCTCACTTTCCCCTATCTTCATCCACATCTTCGTTGCTCTCCAAAGTCAGCTCATTCTCGAACTCTTCTCCATCCGCATCCTCGTCACCGATGATGGCAGCGGCCTCAGCTGCGGCCAACTCCCATTATCAGCCACCTCAGCCGCCGACTGCGTCTTCCTCGGCAGCAGCAGCAGCATCAGTCGCTAACAACAAAGATTTTGGCATCTACTCAAGTTCATTTAACAAAAATTCAGCAGCTGCGCCCTCGCCGAACATGCGACAGGCCCATCCACATCCGCATCAGCATCAACAGCAGCAGCACTATACTTGCCCGCCTCCATTGGAGGATCCTCCGCCGCCGCCCATCTACTCCGCCGGCTCTTCGGCCACAATGCCCAAGAAAATGGCCCGGCCCCATGTTGGTCAAAATGTGCCCCACTTGAGCGCATATGCAGCAGCCTCGGCGACGGCCACGCTGCCCAAGAATATGCTGCAGCAGCAACAGCGGCTACATCATCAGCAATATCAACAGCCGACAGGTATGGGCAACGGCACTGGTGGTCATGTTAGCAGTCAGCGTCCGCAGTTGCCGCTTCCCCAGCAAAAGCTGCGGGCTGCTCAGCAACAACATTTGGCGGAACAGCAGCAGTTGCAGCAGCAGCATCAGCAGCAGTTGCAGCAGCAACATCAGCAGCAGCAGCAGCAACATCAACGACAGCCACCCATACCGTCGCGCCACTCGAGTGTGCAGCAAAAGATATTCGTCTCGACGAATCCATTCATACAGACGACGGCCGTCAAGTTTCACTCGCCCTCGGCCTCGCCCACTTGCGGCTCGCCAGTGACTGGATCTGGATCTGGGTCCTTGGCCAGCATTTACGCCACAACGGCGCGTGGCAGTCATGCCCAGCAGCAACACTATTATCGTGATGCCGCTGGTGGGGGCAATGGCAATGGCAGCAGCAACAGCAACGGCGGCGCTGCCTACTACAACCACAATGCCCATCATGCCCATGCCCATGTCCCGACACATCATCCAAGTAAGAGCGCGAGCTGGATATGATTGGTTTCGTTATGTTTCGGTTTGATTTGATTTCCTTTGGTTTCGTATTTGGTTTGATTGCAAGGAATGAGCGCGCTGTTCTGTATATATTTTTATGTTTGCCGATTATCGATTTCTTCTCAATTGGAACCAGTATCCAGCATTTTGTTTTGCCAAATTCCTGTTAGCATGCATGCTGCTTATGTTTGTTTAGTTTTGGTTTAATTAACCCAACTGCGAGAGTGTCAAGTGCGTGGATCCGATCGGCTCGATCCGATCGAAGCCAACTTTCTCATTTCAACTTTTCCCATCATCCATCATCATTAAGCGCCAACGAAGCACTTTGGGCAGCAGAACTTTGACCAACAACTTTATGACTTTTATTTTTTGCATTTTCCATTTAACCATCTTTATAAGTAGCACCGTCAAAGCAATCACTTGAAGAACAAGATGCAAAGCGCACATACATTTAAATTGTTAATTCCCTCTTGCTTGGACAAAATTAAGAGCGTAAAAATAGTTAAAACAGAAAGCGCTTTCATGTGTGCAAGCAAGCAAAAAGCAACACAATAATTTGAAAGGGAAATAATCGTTTGCGCTACCCATCTTGTTTTTATAAGGTTTTTGCCCCAACACAGTGGGGACACTCATTGATCAATCACATTTGCTTTCCACTTTCTTTTATGATGCACCCAACGCATATCCACAGACTATGCCACAAGCACAAATATCGAAAAGACTGGCAGCATTCGGGCCAAGACCAAGGCCGAATTCCTCGAGAATCTCAACGCGAAACTGGCCAAGCAGGGAATGTCTGGACGAGCATTTGCCGTGCGAAATCTCATCAACAGCAAGGCCCTGGTAAGTACTAGCTAGCTCACTCGACTCGATTAGCCAACGTCTTCTCAATGCTCCGTCATGGCAACTAGATGTATCAGAATCCGCAAAATCTCTCGCGACCCAGTGCACAATACCGTAGACCACCCACCTATCCCAGCACCACCACAACCACAGCCACCAATGCCACTTGCTGCGATGAGCAGTGCTAGGTGCAAAGGTATTTAGAGTTTCCTAGTTTCCTAGTCGTTCGTCTCGTTCGTTCTTGAAGCCTACTAAGCCAGAGCTGGCAGCTAATATACTCAGTGCCTCGTTTTACCAATTAACCCTGCTGATGATCTCTAACGATACACTCCTTCCACGAAAGCCTCTCTCTAATCCTATGTCTGATGTATGTTTTCAGCCGGACCCTCGCATCTGTCACGAGTCGCTAATGGATCAAATCAAGCGCGGCGCCACCTTGAAGCGTAACCAGAAGATCAACGATCGTAGCGCTCCAAAAATACATTAGGAACTAACCCTTAGCATATTTATTATCATCATTATTAACCTATGAAAGGTCATGAGGGCCGAGTTTGGTTTGAAACTGAAAACTCGTATACATAACATACGACCTAAATACATATGATAACAGCATATACAATATACGATATTTAACGAGCGAATTAAGCTTAACTCGAACTAATCAGTAATATACCTTTCTTAATATCCTGTATCCCAAAAATTAATGCGAAAGGCTCTCTTTGTTAAGTGAATCCAAAAGAAGAAGACAGTTGGTTAGCCCCCTTATGTTTATTTATACAACTCGAAACTCGTAACTCGAATTTATCTTTAGTGAACACGTCTGTTTAAAGATATATATATATATATATTATGTTTATGTATTTACCATATTTATAATTTCCCTTGTTTATGTACATACATATGGATATGATTTGAACAACCAATCGAAACTAATCTGACGCCTAATAAATGGAATTTATCTTACAACTTTTGAGTGCTTTTATTTGATTATCAATCTTTAGTTTTTCCCTATCGTCAACTGCAAGTCAATTGGAAAAGGTCTGAGCAGATATATGTATACACTATCTATTATATCAAGGAACGGAGTTAACGCATTTAAGGACACTTGAAATCTAACAGTATATCTTTACTATTAATCGGATCAGCTTTCGATAAAGAAAACCAATTACTGCCAAGCGGAAGGGGGAATTTTATAGAGATCAGCTGGCTTCCCCAGAACTTTTCGCATCCACGTAGAGTGCTATATGAACATGTTCATATCATAACATTTTCATTGGACTGAATCTTTTATTGTCATTTTAAATGCAACACCGAATAGACTAGATCCAGTTTTTCAATGTAAAATACATGCAACCAATATCATTTGCGTTCATATCAGATCACCGAAGATTTTATAACTAACTTTGTGGCATTTTCCTTTTAACTCTGACGTTAACATACCATAGTATTTTTTATCCTTAAGATCTCCACTTTTAATATCCGCAGGCGTACAACATATGCTAGAACCTAGGTAATAGTATTTCTAAATATTTACAAAATATTTTGTATATACGCTTTTTAAGGCTTCACCAATGATCGATCGATGAATATTGGCAAACACTCGTAACCAAAAATATGGCAATAACTAAGCTATGAAATTCGATTAGCGTTTAGAATAGACTCCAGAGAATATACAAATTTGAGTCTAAACAAATACATATATTTTTTTGGGCGATCAAATCTCTTTATACACCACATAGCAGAGCGTAATCACAAAAGTTAATTACCGTAGCCGTACGTAACAATTATTTACACGTCTAAATGTTAATCTTAAAATGTTTCAGTGTATCCAACAAAAACCTATACTGAAGTAACCTAAAACCAATCAAAGTTGTAATGCGTATTTTTAAATTCATTTGCATTTAGACATGAAAAACAATACAAAATAAATGTAAACGCATTGAATGTAAAATAACGTCTTTTCATTATTTTTCAAATAGCTAAGAAGCCTCTCGTTGTCTTTTGTCACGCTGGTTCTAATCGGCATCGGCATGCACACATTTTCTTCATCATTGAATTGTTGCTCGTCGTTTAGCTTTGTACTCTTCTTTATGGGAATCTGGCCGTCTATAAAAAAAACCACGATTATCAAGGAATATATAGGAGCTTTTAAATATACATAAATAAGACCTAACTAGCTAGTTATGTTCTTATTGAAAATGTTCTTTCTACAGGACTATACAAGCTTTGAAGGAAACCAATGCAAAAGAGCTCGATGTACAAAAATGCAATTTTGTTTATTCTATTTTCTTTGATTTGCTAAAAAACAAGTCCAAAGTATTTTGGTAGTAAAGCTCGGCCAGCTTCTCTTTCGGCTCCTCTTTAATGCCGGCAATGGCCTCGAGAACTTGGCTGAAACGGAAAACAAACATTAAGAAATGTCACTATACTTGCTAGCTAAGCTTACCTGATCTGGCAGGGCTCGCAGCGTCCGTCTATCAAAGTGTCTGCGGTCCATTTTTCTTTTTTCTTAACGGTTGGAAACCGAGTGGCGACGTGCTTGTGTCCGGCATGGGAGGGACGGATTCCACACCACGGGCAGTCTGTTTCCAGCATAATGCGATCATTGGGCAGGTGCCGAACCACTTCGGCGTTTTCCGCCGTCTTTAGGGAGCAACCATTGAGGCCAATGTAAAGACCCCCGAATCCGAGGATGCTCTGGGCCTCCTCGAGAGTTCCCGTGAAACTGTGCACCACCCCGCCGCCGCATTGCCTTAGCTTATCCCGATTTCTCTCTAAAATGGACATGAAGTCTGCCGCAGCATTGCGCATGTGCAGGAAGAGAGGTAGTCCGAACTCGCCCGCCAGGCTCAGCTGCTTTTCGAAGTACAGGCGTTGTGTTTCCGCGTCGCAGAAGTGCAGCCGGTCGTAGTCCAGGCCACACTCACCGATGGCCAGCACCTTGCCGGGATTCTCCTCTATCTTCGAGCGCAACTGGTTGTAGTAGCCCTCTGGGTCAGGCAGAAACTCGCCGCAGCGCGTGGGATGTGTGCCCACAGTAGTAAACAGCCGCTCTGAAGACGAAAGCAGACGGTAAGATTAAAGTTTTATGCGATAAATGGTTTGCCTACCGTCTTTGCCGGCCAATTCCAAGGCCTCGTCCACATCCTTGAGGCAGCCGGCGGTTATGATGATTTTCTGCAGGCCCTGCTGCCAGGCGCGTGCCAGAACCACGTCCAGATCGGCCGTGTGCTTCTGGGAGTCGCCGTAGCGGCCCTGGAACATGGGATCCGTGAGGTTGGCCCCAATGTCTGTGAAACATATTGTCAATGGTTATTTGATTTCCTCCTTTCAGTTACTTTCTTGATCAAACCAATGTATTTTAAGGCCATTCCAAAGTATCGCCGCATCAGCTGTGTAGTAGGGTTGTTGAAAATATATAATAGTAGTAATATATCGATATTTAATGTGATATTTCATATTATTATTATTGTTAATTATGATACAAAAAGTAGCACCGATACGATAAGTTTTCTTCTATTTTATCCTCTGAAATGGCACTGTTTAATTAATAATTAATTACCTAATACTAATAATTATAATTAAAACCCCAAATACTTACTTTTTACTTCAACGGTAAAAAACGATTTGTCGCTGTTCTTTCCAGATTTATAATCATTTTTGGATTGTTTGTCCACATGTATGTGTATGTACACAATATATATATAATCGATATCATATATTCTAACTAAAAATTAATTTGTTGCCTATTTCTAGCTTAGCATGTTTATGATCCAAGTAGTTGCCAACACTGGCTACAACATTTCGGAAATACCCTAAAAATGCCTCCAGGAAACAGCTGCGCGTAACTTCTTTAGGGTATGCCAGATGTCGCCAGACAACTGGTCATGGCGCCGCTAGAGGGCGTTGAGTTGCTTGGTTCCGTTAAAACTTCAAAAATTTGTATTTTAAAAGTAAGCTCCTTTTAAGTCCTTAAAATGCAACGTGCCATACTTGCACTGTCCCTGAAATTAAATCGTTTCGCTTAAGCTCATTTAAGGCAGAATCAATGCCACAGTATATTGCATTCGGATTCGCGCATAATGCAGGCTAATTAGGCCGAGCGAGCAAAGCTGTTTATTGTTTGCAGCTGCCGCTAAATCGGCTCCCTCTGCCCCTGCATGCAAATTTCAAATCGTCGCTATCTCACGGCAGCTTTAAGCCGGCAATCGGCGTTCACGCAACTGTAGAATTCATAGGCGAACGCCATTTATACATATTTTCGAATGAAATTCCATTAGTTACTGTTAATGGATGCTGCGGTCGGTTTACTGGGCGCGGGCACTAGTTTTAATTGATTTAGTGGAAACTGCTGGCTCCTGGCTGCTGGTTCCCAGCTGCAGCTTGCCGCATCCGATGCCCCCATGGAAACGGAATAGGAAATGGGAAATGGAAAGTGGAAATTAGAATGAAATTCATTATGCAACGGAATTAAACATTATACACTGATGCCTGGGACGCATTGTGGTTTATTTTAACTGGCTAATACAATTGTCAATAATTCAATTTGAATTGGAATTCAATTAGTTTACAAGTACATGACACACATACGCACACCTAGAGAGAGTTCATTTAGGTTTCTTTAGTTTTAGATTTAGTTATAGCTTCGGTAGCCGATTTCCACTTGTGTTTGCATTATTCGGTAGAACATTCGAATTGCGTAAATTACGTACACAAATATGTATTTCAAAATTGGGTAAATTGGATTAGTCAGCTGATATATGCTCGACTGCCACATCCTGCCTCGTCGCGCTGTCCTAGTCCTGTGTTCCCATCGGTTGCTGATATATTTATTTATATATGTATGTATGTGTATAAGTGGCGGTTAGTTGATAAGAGATCGAATACTTGTCGGGGAATTCAGATTTGTTGTCGATTAACTACACCTAGTAACAATGTATAAACGAATTATTTATAAAACAAACACCCAAACTTTTAAGTACGCTCTAGGGACTAAGTACATTAATGCGTAATTGTGTGTACATTATTATATAACATATTCTGCCTGGACGAAAGCAACAGGGCTGCCCCTCTCCCACTACTTTGTGGCAGGCAATTTCCATTTCTGTGTGGGTGTGTGTGTGTGTGAGTGTTTTTTGCATTCATTTCTTAGTTTGTTTCGTACGCCTAGGTGTACATATGCTATATTATTTAATCACAATTCACTTTGCATATGCCGTATTTCATTCATTTACAAATCCATTAGATATCTGCCGCCGCACTCGCCTCTAAATGTAGTCTTTTTCGAATAAATCTTACTTGCTAAGCACACTCAGAGTAAACAAACACAAAGGAATTCTTATCACACTCTGGCAAGGACTCGCACACGCTCGCCATTGCACCTCGTGTCGGGGCGGAGGAGAGCGGGTAACTCGCATGCAAAAGTTGCGTATTAAAACCAGATTTATCGATTATATTCTATCATACATACATAAATCTCCTAGCCCCGCTGAGTGTCCTGTGCACTGCGGCACTTTGATTTGGCAATTTAGCATAAGAAGTTCACCCTGTATTATCCTTGATAAGCATTCCGAGATTTGCTCCCGTGCCCGAACTCATCAAATTTATTTTACAATTACGCTTTTTGCATAGTAAATTGTTTTGTGCTCTCTGCTCTCCGCTAAAGTTTCCGTTATTTCACGTGGCTGCGCAGACAAAAAGGAGGTCGGGAGGGAATCGCGAAATTGCGTTACATCCCGACTCTTTTCTGAAGTGGAGCCAGTTTGGCTAAAAGCAAATACAAACGTGTTTTAGCCATCCATCAGGAGTATATATATATGTATATATTTGTATGGAAACGCTTTAATAATAACTACAGTGCCAGCTAACTGTGCAGATATATATTTATCTTATATAAATTGGCATTTCAGAGTTTACCTTAAAGCTACGCCAACCTATCATAATATTATGATAATCAATCAATGCAAAACGAATTAAACTTAGTCTGCTCTCAGATAACTCCTCAACATACAACAACAAACAACAACAACTGAGCCATTAATTTCTCATCAAAAAGGAACTCTATGAAGGGCATTACGATGCCCAGAAATCTCGTCAGAAGAGTCCTCCATCCATCCCCTCACTTGTCTCTCTCATTTAAATTCAAATTCCGTTCGTATCCGTACACAAAGCCTAGACTAAAATGTATGAAATTTGTGGACAAAAATCGAAATGCTTAGTCGTACAAAGAGTAATTTTCAATTTAAATAAAACTGGTCCCCTTTAACCGCAGTGACCAAACCTGAAATCGATTTCCGCATATCCTTGGCAAGTCGGCTCAGTGTCGAATTAATCTCATAACCTGCCTGCCTCGATGACACTAGATATAATTTAAGCCGAATTATTCTTCAATCCTCTAATCTGGGATTTAATTTTGCAAAAATAAAGACTGTGACATTGAATCAAATAGAGAGGAGAATCATTTACAATTTGAGACAGATGATTCCCCAGTTATACATACATAAATATGCTATACGACTTTCGAACTTAAGGGCAGTGTCATCACGGCACTAGCTCCATTCCAGTTACTGGGAAAGCCTGCGAGTGGCTTAGTTTCGATATGGACACAGAGTAAATTATTAAACTTATTATCGAGTCGCACATTCATCGTCAACAACTACGCTAAACTGGGCTCGTTTGCCCTTGAGCCAACCGGTTTCTGTGTGAGTTTTGTATTATCGGAATAATCAGCCCATTGCACCAAACATAAATAAGGGCCCCGCCACTTGTTTATGCACACTAATTTGCTGCCGCCTCTATTATTAATACATTTTGTGGCGAAATATAATAACACAATTAGGCGCTGCCGGCCAGAATAATGCGAGTGCATTACTGCACGTTGCAGTCGTCGGATGCGTTGTTGATTTGCTGCTTGGTCTTGCGGGAGGCGCGGCGTATGAGCGATCTGCAATGGAAGTGAAACGTTGGTGAGCGAGTGAGCAGAACAGGAAACGGAAAGGGAACAGGAACAGGAACAGGAAAAGGAGGCGGATGTTAGCGGGGGTTCCAGACGACTGGGTCGGCTTGCGGATGTGCGTGTTGTAAGCGTGTACACAGCCAAAAAGTGCAACAACCATGTGTATTTCAGAACATCGCCAGGTTTACGAATGCTGTTAAATTTTCTTAATCTTATAATAATATATAAAACTTATAGGAACTGTGCTCAAAATTATAAAAACTTCAATTTAACTGGGCGCAATGCAGAAGAAAATGTTGTCAATTTCAATTGCAATTGTTGAGCAACACCTTTTTTTACTATCAATAAAAAATGTTGATTTTTGAGAAGTTGAACATGCACTTAAACTTGACTTTATAAGTCACCCCTCTTGTTATCCAATATTACTAAAATTTTAGTTACTTTAAAGGAAAATTCATAAGAATATATGGGTTTTATAATTTTAGTCTGCATGCAATAGATATGAATATTGTCACCATAATTTGATTGCTCTTGAATTCTTTGAGATCCGCAGATTCACAAGGATGATGGCTAAATCGGCTCGGCTGTTGATAATTATGAAGACTATATACTCTACTGTATCAACCTATTTTTTTTTACAAATAAATGATGGAGTAAAATAATTAAAGTCTTATCTTCTTTAGTTTTTAATTGGAACTTACTCACTGGATTGTTTTCAAAAATTAAAAATAAATTATAAATATAAACCAAAGGCGATGTACTGAAATTCATAGGGTTTTTCCCGGGTGTAGGTGTGATCAGGCGCGTGTTGCACTCACCTGGAACGCGGCTTCAGCTTGGCCTCCGCACTGGTGCTGGCCACATCGACGGCGTCCACCAGGCTGGAACACTTCTTGTCACCGCTACCGCCGGCTCCACCGAGAGCCGGGCTGTTCATGCGATTTTTATCTGCAACAAATAGATAATAATGCGTCACTAATTAGTATCCACGAGTGCATTTAACGGCCGTCGAGCACCGGCACAAAGGGAATGCGCGATTTCGGGAAGCTGTGCTAGCAGCGAACTGCCAATGCAGGGGAAAATCCAATTTCCCAAACGACGGTGGAGGCGTCCTTGTCCGTTGCCGCAGCAACTGGCATACCCGGACTGCCAGTGCAGCCGCCGTGCGCTTTCGTAATTAACTTATGAGCGAAACACACACAAAGAGCCGGGGAGGGAGTTGCATCACATTCGCAAAGTTACCGCTCGAAATGGGTTTTTTTACAGCCGACTGCACAGTCAAAGTTCATCTCAAGATAAGAGGTCTCAACAGCAGAACCCAATTTCCCCTTCCCCCCGTCCAGCTTGAGTATCTGCCACGCATCTGCCACCAATGGGGCAAATGGGGTAGATGGGGCTTCTCAAAGGAATAACCCCTGATGGGTGAGATGGCTAAGGTACTATTTTTATGAAGGAACTTTATTACCCGGAAAATCAGTTATCAAGTGCAGATTTAATTAAATTGCAAGGCTTGGGCCAAATATTTACAGTCAATGCAATCTTTTTCCCACAAAAACAATGCACACACAATTTCTTATCCTATCATTGTAAAATTTAATGTATGAAAATAAGATTTCCAATCAATCTCTTTTGAAAGGAGGCCAAGACTGACAATGTAGCTCTCACCAATTAAGTAAGCCATGTCAATGAAGTCGTTAACTTTCTGGCAATCCTCAATCAGCCAGCTTAGCCTGCCAACGAGAGTGTTAAAAGCACACAAAAGGTGTTCGCAGCAAGATGTTTGCCAGTTTGCCAGTTGCCAGTAAACAAACAAGGCCTTTTTGTTCTCCCGGAGCGGGCCATAAAGCCGCAAACAAAGGAGGGGCTTACAATGGGCGGGAAAACAATCGTTGGCCAGACGGACGGACGGACGGTACCGGCATTAGGAGCCACAAAGACAAAGGGAAAGCCAAAGCGTAAGCCAAGTCAATTCAGTTATTAAAGTTTACAGCTTAGCGGCGAAAATGTGTCTGTGTCGCTGTGTGGCCAAATGATCCGAGCAAACAGAATTATTGAGCACGCCAGCACTTTGTGGCCAGTCAGCCTGCCATCCAGCCTGCCGACGGAGTGTTGCATACTTCTGGGTGTCGGCGGTGTCAAGTGCAAACAAAATGGCCGCCAAGCGCCATTGTTGTCAAAAAAAGGCGCCGAGCAGCGGGGGAAATCGCACTGCGACTGCCGCTGACAGAGAGCGCGCGAAAAATACCTCCTGCTCCCGCGCTCACTCCCGCTCAGGAGGCAAGGATCCACCTAACTCCGGCATCCCCGCAGCTCAGTGGCCGCATGGATGAAAGCCGTAACGAGGGCAACTGCCAACAGAGCACGGGAATTGTGCCGGAGAAGCACAAAAACAAACAAGTGGGTGCCGGGCGACAGGATGTGCCGGTGGCTGGGGTCGGACTGGGTATAAATTGTGCATATGTGGCGGGAATTGATGCGTGCGTGCGTCGTGTAACAGAAATTTAAATTAAATTTGTTTTACTCTGCCGGCTCTCTGTGTGTCGGGTTTCATCGGGAAGACACACGGCGGGACTGTGCTGATTCAAATGAAGAAAAACACAACATATTCGGGTGTCTCAATGGGTTTCATTACCGCACAGTAAATGGTTTACATATCCTGAAGTTGAAATGTTCACGTAAAGGGACAGCACTTTTTGTAACTTGTTGTGTTGAGGGATATATATACTATATGTATAAGAGTAGTAAACGGGGTTATTTGTACTGTAAAAATGCCAGCTTTTTATGCCTTAAATGTGCAAAAAACAAACGTAATAATGTGTCCCTCAAATTAAAGGGGACAACTATTTCACACTCACATCGTTTTTTATTTAACAAAACGAGTTTTTCCCACACTGAAAATAATCGGTATTTTTTAAATACCACCATAATTCCAGAGTTGATTGTTTTACTGCCAGAGTGGATCACACGCATGTACGTGGCACACAATATATTTCGCATTTAATGTGTATTACGAGACTTCCACAATTGAGTTAGGGCCTGGGTTGCCGGGCTGCAAATAAAACGGCTTGCGGTGTGAACCGCCCCAAAACCACCCGAGGCACGGAAAGTACACGGGAGCCGCAGCAGCAGGGCGAGGAGCCGTGTCGGAGGAGGACCCGGCAAAAGCCGCTTTCCTGGCCACAGCACATGTATGTGGCCTGCAGCTTTGGCTTTGTCTCAACTTACGCGCTCGTCCGTTCCTGTGCCGCCCCATCACCCATCACACCCGTCACACAAATACATTTCAGAGCCGTAAACATACATGTAACATTTGTAGCAGCCACAGAGAAAAATGGAGTGTGTTTGATGGAAATATGTAAATTAATATAATAAAAAATAATGAAAGAAAATTACTAAAAATAACTCAACGGAGGTAAGTCTATCTGATAACAATTCGGAAGTAAATCATGGGGCTACACAAACCACATGAGCTTTTAACTGAATATAGAGTCCATAATACTTCATTTGAGTTTTAAATTGTGTTGCATTTAAGACACATTCTTAAAATGAAATATTGATTGGATTTTTAAATAAAGGTCTCAATGGCTTGCCTCAAATCCACACATCCTTGTTCTGGTCAAAAAATGTATTTAAAAGCATAATAATGTAGTGCATATTACATTAATAAAACAAAAAATAAGCCTTCAGAAGGTCAAGTTTGTCTAACCAGAGACCGCAATAGAAAAGACTAAACGATTTTCCGCTTAAAAAATAAATGGGAAATAGGTTAATATGAAGTTTAAAATAATAACAAAATTATATAAAATATTCATAGCATACATGTACTCCCTTCTCATCTACTTTGCTTAATGTCAATTCCTAAGTGCATTTGTTTTGCTAAAAAATACTTTAATGTCGTAATGTCGTTACACCACTTATAACTCGAGAACGGCAGAACAGATTTGGGTGAAAATTGGTTGGGAGGAAGCTTAGAGCCAGGAGACGGACATAGGATACTTTTTATCCCGTTCGACAGAAGAGCGGGATATCCATCGCTGATATATAGCATTTACTACAAACCAATATATCAAGTAGTGGTTTCTTAACATTTCAATTGGAAACAATAAAATAAATAAAGTGTAGGCATTTGTCTTTAAGGTGGTAAGTTGAACTGTGTTAATTATGTGGATCGTGCATTTGAGGTTATAGTCCAAAAGGACGACATGTATTCACAGAAGAAAGACAAAATAAAATAAGAGAACGTGTCCTATTCAGAAAACGCGTGAGGACACGAAGATCATTGGCATTAACGGAGAACTACAGTGATGGTGAAAATGTAGATATTGGACCAATGACGACTATATGCCGATATTGCAATGCGTTAAAGTTCAAAAGGGAAACGGCGGGCAAGTGAAAAAGTTAAAGTGGCTCCCTTACTTTTCAAGTATAAAACATAAATAAAAAATATTTCTTCATTATTTTTTACCACGAAATGTTACATAAAACGAAGTTCGCCAGGTTTCCTAGTATATTAATAAATATAAGCTACATATGTATTAAAACTTATTATAGTATTGTATATACTTTTAACTTGTATTCGAATAACCTTATTTATAAGTTTACGCGAAAACCACATAATTGAAGACAATTAAATTCGGGTTTAAAGAATAAGTTATGGAGAATACAACATAAACATTGTTTAATTTGAATCCATATTTTTTTACAGTGCTCTCCGGCACGACAAGAAACAATCTCGGCAACAAAATGGCAGCATTGTAAATGAAATATCTGCGATTTGTTTTTGCATACGCCGCGGTGTACATTTTAAGGCAATTACTTGACTTGGAGCGGCCCCCGTGCCAGTGCCAGTGCCAGTCCCAGCCCCCCTGAGCCGGCTGTGATTAAGTGCTTAGACCTATTTTTGGTGGCACACTCAGGGCGCTGTTGTCACCGCTGTCACCTCTGCGGCAAGTCGTCCGTTGAACCGTCCAAATGTGTGTGGGCCGTATGAAGTCTATAGTCTGCCACTCGACGTCGACCTTCGCCATTCAGACAAACGTCGACGACTATCGTCGCTTGTCTCTTGTCCGCCTGTCATCGGCAGCAGGACGAACCTTCCACCTTCCACCTGCCACCCTCGCCCCTCGACCCCTGACCAAGTATTTGAGGACATTTTTGGCCAGCATTTAATATGTTTTTTTGCGCACTCCAGTGCTCTCGGCCATTCGGATTCAAGCTTGCTGGAAATTATTTACTTGCATACAGCAGTAACTTCCAGTTTGGCGTTTTCGCCGGCGGGCAACTTTGCACTTAATTTGAATGACTTTTGCGGCGGCAAACGAGGGCTGGGGGCCACTAAAAATTTATCAAAAGACTTTCCGGCAAACAATTAAATTATTGGCAACAGTGCGAAGGAGCAGTGGCTACAGGGGATCTCTGATGACTCAACAACTTTTTCTCCAACGGAAATTAAATTAATTATTTGGCTGCCATTTAATGGGATGAGTTTTTTGGGCAACATTAATTAACTAGATATTTATACTCCAAGGAGGAGCCGGGCAAAATTTAAAACTTCTTGAGCCGTTCTTGGCCGTTGGCAGTCGTTCTTGGATGTTGCTTGTTGGCCATCCTCCTGGTTGTTGCCTCGTTCTATTTTCATGTGCCGCGAACTAAGTTTTTAATGAGATAATAAAGCATTCCATTACGGGGTAATTAGAAGGTCAAGCTATTTAATTAATACACGTGCTCGCTCGAGAGCGTTTTGATCAGACGCCAGACGCGTTTGAACATCGAAGGGAGTTGGGGGACCGAGTTGTATCCCATTGTAACATATTTTCCCCAGCAGCCTTCTGCTCTTCGTTTCTGTGCTTCTTTTATCAGGCTCCGTTTTTGTCGTCTGATGAATAATGAAAAAGAGTTTGTCTTTGTCAATTGGGATGGAAGAAAGGGTCTTTTCGCCGGTTCTCCTGCCGAATTCCCACAATTAATTAGGCCAAAGACAGCGGACAGCGGACAACGAACGGTGGTCGGGGGCTGCTATTGAAGCTGTAATGCTAATTGCATTCAATTAGCCAAATTGCCAAATTCATCCTAGACCTAGGCGCGCCCCAAGAATGCCCCTTAATTGGGCCCCACGTCCGTGCGGCTTTCCCCCCTTTTGATTTAAAATTAATTTATTTATAAATGTGCATCAATTATTGATTAAACCCCGCCAGATGCGCTCTAGTCGGAGCTTAAGCCCACGGCTTAATTACACGCGACCTGCAAGCGGCTTAATTATTGCATTTATGGCCGGTATATGGCGATATATGTTAATTTCGCACTAATTAAGCTGCTTATATCGAAACTTAAAGCGCCGAATGGGGCTGAAACCAAACCCGGTCTGATGCCTCCGTTCAAAGGCTCCGGCTTTCAATCGGAGCCGGCGAATGGGAATGTTTAATTGATATTTGAAACTGCAGCGGGTAAAAAACAATCAACAAAGGGCTACACCCCTTCCCCCCGAGCTGTCTCCAATTCGGGTTTCATTTCACGTGGCCATGGAAACAAATTGTCATGGATCCATCATGTACGACAGCAGACAAAGCAATTGTCCCAGAGTTATTTTGATTTATATTTTCGGTGTGAAAAATAAAATAAGATAGCGAGAGGAAAAGTACTAATTAATATTTATCAAAAAATAGAAAATTATTATACAAAGAAATTGTTGAGCTTAATAAATAACACAATGGCAACGAAACAAACATATTTAAGATTGAAATGTATAGATATTAGATGATTAATACACAAATATAAATAATTTTAATTTCCGGTTCGAAGTACCGTATCATACATATTTATAAAGTAACCTTAAAATACCGATTGATAATTTGTTATTTGTTTCAAATAGTGATGCCGTATCTCTGAATTATTTCCTTCGGTAAGTAAGTAAAATTCAATGAAGAAATATTTGAAGAACATATTATACATTGCAATTGAGAAAACAACGGTATTTAATCTATAAATAATATTCCTTATCTTTTGAAAAATAAAATCTAAAAAAGTAAAAAGATACGTTAATAATTTATACTATTAAATTAAGCATCATTTTAATACCATTTTTTCAGCCGGAAAATATACAGTTTTTTCTTATATTTTCAGTTTCGAAAAGCTTTTTAGGACTTTCATAAAAATGTGCATTAAAAATGTTAGTTAAAAATGTAGCACACAATTTTAATTCCCAGCAATTGCTGTGGCCACTCAGTCCTCTTAATTTAAATTTAACATAGTTTTTAAGGCGAGTTCTGTACTTACTTCGACTGGACGATGCGCTGACATAAGCTGATGAGCGCCGCTTGAAGCCGCTGGGAGCCGCCTCTCCGCTGGCCCCGCTGCCCCCGCTCCCGCTACTGCTGGCGGGGAGGAAGCGGGACAGGGAGAGCAGGGACTTGAACAGATCGGTCACATTGCTGTCTTCCTTCGCCGAACACTCCAGTACCTTGGCCCTAAAACGAACAAACAAAAACACACCGAACGGACTTGGTTAAAAAACGTGGCATACTTTTCAGGGGTGGCTGCGTAACTAGCGTATACGTCAGCGAATTTCGAAAACAGCGCAAACAAAGCTGAAACTAAACCGAAAAAGCCAAAAGTCGAAACAACACCAGCACAAAAATGTGCGTCTGGTATTCGCATGTTCAATGCAAAGCGTAGTTTTTGCGAGTGGCCTTCGCATAGCAGTTGTCCATCGCAGATCAACAGCCGGAGGCAAACGTGGCTAATGGCTAAATTAGGCATGTCATGTTGTATTTTGCACAGGTTGTGGTCACAAAGCCGATTCGCCATGGCCCCCAATCCATACTGCGACAAGAAACAGGGCGAGGATGATGTGAGAACAGGCGATGTTTAGCTTTAGGTAATGCTTAAACTATCTAGTATCTAACCTACCATGTTTGCCAGTTTAATTGTAAATTTTAATTATAAAACCATCTTTAGCTGATTAATAATTGATTTCCGTGTTAAATTATATGATTGTTTTTTAAAATACTTCTTACCCATTATTACGCATTAGCAATTATTATAATAGCAATTAATGCTTTAATTAAAATAATGGTATTTTGATTGGGAAAAATTACATTACAGACAGTACAAACACATGGATGTGCCGTAGTAAACAGAATATCAATTTATCGAACTTAAGTCAGAAAGTTAAGAAACAGCTTTAAATATTTCCGTAACACAGAAACAGTATCGATATGTCCATATTTTTAGTCATCCCCAATCTATATATTAGCTTGTACTTTGATACTTAATTTAGGCTCCTAAAAAAGTAAATATATAGCGTAAAATAATTTTTTTTGGTTGCCATTGAAACTATCTGAACAATCTATACCATTAAATTCAAAGAGAGCACAAAATTATAGTTCATACTAAAACCAACTGAGATTATATCTTCCATACCAACCGTCTGGTTAAATGGAAAAAGTATATAAACGATTGTTTACGGAAAGAATCTGTATATCTTTTTTTTATCTTCACTTGAACTTCATTTTAAATCATCCATCATCAAACACAGGCCAAACATTAATAATATCGTTCCAGGGCCTCTCGAGAGAAAATCGTTGTGAGGCTGCTAATGGAGAGTGGCTCAGAATAATTGCATATTTCACCAAAGCTTCATTTAATTAAAATTGTAACAGCTGACTTGGCAAAATAAATAAATAGATGTCTGAATTGTTAAGGCCATAAGCTGCAATAACAGTAAATCAGAGCAAAATTGATATGGGCTGCGAGTTATTTTCATTTTTTTTTCGCATTAACCCAGGCAGAATGCGAGGTAAAATACGCATGAGTTTGCAATTAAACGTTGAATAAATACATTGTTCCAGCTTCGGGGAGTAAGCCACTTACACATGTAGCAGGCTGCCACCTATCCACCTATCCATATATACACGTATCCACATATCCTCATATTATGTATACGCAGGGTGTACTCATTCAGGCTGATAAATGCACTTGAGTGGCGTGCTCTTAAAGCGTTTAACCGCAGACAGGCAGACAGACCGGGAGATAGAAGGACTGAAAGGCAGGCGGCGGTGGAGCAACAAATTGCATTGCATCTCGGTGCCGGGGATACGCTCCTCGAAGCACTCCTGCCACGTGCGGAGGTGCACGATTGTGGCGAAAGGTTCAAGGTGCCACACACTCTGCCGTGGCCCAAACCGCACCATCAATCTGCGTGAATGTTTAATCCAACAGAGATTTGTACGTAATGCTCGCGCCAACTGTCCTGCGTCCTGTGCTCTCTGCTCTGTGTCCTTCGTCCCTCGTCCCTTGTCCTGCGGCCTCTGTCATCTCCATTCTGCGGTTGAGTGCGCCTCCTGTGTGGTGTTGTTTGGTCTGTGTGTCGGTCGCTTTTAAATAAGTTTACGCACGCTTGCTTAAACAGCAACACGAGCGTGCCACGCCTCGCTTTTTCCCCTATCCACTGCCCGGGTCTTCCCAGGATATGAAATTATGGCAGCACTCCTCCTCGGGCTCCACTCGTCCAGTGGCAAGGCACGTATGTGATTGTAAGTGATTTTTACGAGGCCGGCCCCACAGTTTATTACGGAAGCAATTACAGCGCCAAAGGTACGGTACGTAAAGCTGGAAAGGAAGTTCCAGCAGCGAGTCCTTGTCCGAGCGAATCGAAAGGATGCGGCCACGATTTCAGGGCTAGTTGTCACGCGAGAAGTGAATTAAAATTGTTAATGGGGTAGAAAAAAAGGAACTTAATGAGGCCTGTGTACTCATTTACCACTCGTTCAAACTGATATACTGACTGGCAAAGGATTGCTTTTTTAGAGTAACTTGAGCGTTACAGAAATTGCAATCTCTGGAATTCTCTGGAATTTGTTTTGAATTATTTGGACTCTATTGGAGTTTACTGAACATATTCATTCCCTCTATTTAGTATTTATCAAACAAACATTTCCTCTGTAACAGCTTTCGAGCACTTCGAGAGCATTCGAGTTGAAGGACCTCATGCATACGATGTGCATATGTGCATACAGGATGCCACAACTAGGCTGTTTACCATTCAGAGAGCCCTTGCCGGGAATACTCGAACATATCGCTCATATGACCAGGTGGTCGCAGGTGGCAGTTGATGTGCCGCACGACACCGACACCGTTTGCGGCACAAGATAGCCAATTAGGAGCTATTAGGGGGAAATGTTCTCTGTGACATGACTGCTGACTAGTGACTGCCGGCGAATTGCAATTTTCCCCCTGGCTGGAGCTCGTTTTTCATGCCAACAAATGGCATTTAATGAGCGCCGCAACCCCATCCTCGGACAATGCAACTGATTTCGGGGGCCAAACGGCCCCCATCACGAACTCTGGCGCTTAATTTCATTTGTAGCAATTTAATTGCGACGCTTGCCATTGCCATTTGCCGTTTGCTTCAGCTTTTCCAGGGTTGGCTGGCCCCCATGCAGTTGGGCGGCCAGAATTTATGGGGCATTTTTAATTCCACTTTGTTGCGTTACTTATGAAAATTGCAGCTGTTTGGCGGTTTTGCGGCTTTGTGCTCGCCGGCTTTGTTGCACAACTTTTGGCAGTTTGTCCCCTAATTGCTGTCGCATGCAGCAGCAGCAGCCACAGCAGCTGTTGCGCGCTTTTTATGCCCGCCATGTTTTGCTAAATAAATGCAGGGACTTACCGTAATCGAGGCAGCTCGCAGAATACCCAATCGGTCACCTCCTCCAGCTTGACCTCTCTGTGGGTGCTGGCCAAGTCGGCCTTGTTCCCGGCAATCACAATGGGAATGTCCTGCGAATGAAACGAACGAAGGGCGAATTAGCAGTGGCATTCGCAGGAGCATAAACAGAATGCCAGCATCCGTGTGCAGGGCTCTCCAATTGTCCCACCGAAATCGGGGAGAACACAAAGAAGCACGGGTCGTTGTGTGCCATTGTGCCATAATTGACACTCGCCGGCACAATGGCGGCGGGAAGCGGAAACCGTGAAAGCGCCAGCGGAAACAATAGTACTAACTGGCGCACAGTGGGTCGAGTAAAAGCAGTAATTTTTTTTAGTCAGTAAAGAAAAGAAAATAAACAACAAATTTACCAACAATATTTAAATGCTTCATTTTCCATTTATAGAATTTCCAACAAGATCTTTCGGTTCATTCAGTCTTAAGAATTCGTTCTAAAACATAAGTCACATTTCAAGTTTAGTTTTCTTTAGTTATTATGTTACTTCAATTTCAAGTTCACGTTGCTTAAACTTGTACTATCTTTTCAAAATCAACTTAAAGGATTTAATTTTTTTTTGTGCTTTCATTTGACTCGACCCACTGTGCCGCATCAGAACAAGGGCTCTGGAACAAGCCTAAACCATTGCCGCTTGGCTTGACTCCGCCGGCTCAAAGGGGAGCATTTTTAATTGCTTTTCGCATTGTGGCAAACGGTGCGAGCTCGCGTTGTGCCCTCTGATCTTCCAGCTCGCACTGATTACATGCAAAATGCAGGTGCTGGTGCTGGTGCTGGTGCTGTTTGCTGGCTCACCTGAAAATCACCGCGTTGCTCCCGGATCTCCTCAAAGCACTGCTTCACACACTGGAAGCTGGGCGCCGATGTGGCCGCGTACACGAGCATGAACGCGTGCGCCGTGGCAATGGACAGGCGTCGCATGGCGGGGAATTGCATGTCACCGGACGTGTCCAGGATGTCCACCTGCAACGAGAGAAGGTGAGTCTGTCTGGCTATGGTAATGCTGAAAAATTGCATCTGATTAAATTTGAATGGCCCTATTCCGGCGCTTAAACGCCGCCTATTCGAGACCGCATTTCGTTGTTGCAACATGTGTCAAGCGGTTGTGGCTTTTAATTGCCGCCCAAAATTACGCAGATTATGGAAATTTAATTTTATCGTTACATTGGCCTTTTGTTAAGGGGTTATCTTACACCTATCACTGATAATTATATAGATTGAAGAAAACTAAGTAAAAGTCATTGTGCACAGAATCTACAAGAAATAGAAAACTGAAAAGAAAGACAGGATTTCTGAAGAAATTATTTTGAAAAGGTAAAGAATAATGACAATTTTTAGAACATGCATTCATATAATTAAAAAAAAATTCAGAAATATAGAATAAAAATTTTAGGAATGGTAAAGAAAATAATGAAAATTTAATGAAAATGTTTTAATCTAATTAATAAAAGATACTGACATTTAAAATACGAATTTCTTAAAAGCCAAGTTCCGTTAGTTACATTTACATAATGGTTACTGAAGGGCTTGTTATAATAATATATATATATATATATATATATATATATATATGGCTTTTATCTATTTAGTTTGGTGAAATGTATGTATCAATTATTGACCTGTAAGAAAGCTTCAGTCGAGTGAACAAGATGCTAAGATATCGTGTGCTTAAAACCTTGTACATTTAATATAAATACTATCTATTCTGCGATGTTCTAGTACAAATTGTCGAATTATTTTATCTTTAAACATAAAAATTTCAAAAATGCTGACAAAAATTATATGTTCGTCTTACTGGTGCCTTACCGGTGTTCTACCAAGATTTAAAACGCGGCTAAGCATATAAGGCAAGTGCAAGCAAGATAGATAAAACATTGAACTTTATAAGGACTTCAACTCGCTTGTTTATAATCCATTTGTACACTAACTTTCCAAATCAATCGCCTCTAATAATAACCATATAATTACATTTTAAATAAACTGTTCAGTAAGAATTAAGGTTGCTGTGATTTGTGTAGTATAGTAAACGTTAATCTTATATTTTACTGACTTGTGCAAGTGCGTGAGATTTAAAATTCAAATGCTCCTCAAGCGATTTGTCAATGATGAGTTCAAGGACATGTCGGTAGTCTGAGCAATTGAGGGGTGGCGGCTCCTGGCGCGGAGCTCCTGGCAATGAGAGCTCGTGGCTCGTGGCAATGCTCACTTGATGCCACCTAATCCCCGTGTCAGCATCTGTTATGTCGTCTGTATCGCCGCGTGGCGTACGCGATACGCATCGAACGCGATCCGCAGTGTCAATGGCATGTTGAGGCCAGAAGCCAGAAGCCACAAGCCAGAAGCCAGAAACCATAGAGCCAGAGGAAAAGCCAATCGTTTAGCCGTGTCAGCAGTATCCCGCATCCCGCCTGACAGCCTTGGCCATTGTGACGCAAATTTGTAACGCATTGTTCGGCCGCGATGGGTAAACTTTATTAAAAACACTTTATGGAATGACACAATTTATATTTCTGACACCGCCATTGTTCCCTGGCTGGGCTTTGTTTGGGCCCAAACCCAAACGCCTCCATGTTGGCGGCATCAAATTCGCCCTGCTGTGCCGCCACATTCACGTACGTACACCAAATTGCTTTTAAAGAGCAAAAATCGTTTAGTGCAATGTAATGTTCCCGTTTGATGGCCACACGCTGCTCCGACAATCAGTCACAGCGGGCTGCAGTGGCTCCTCGATTGACCAGGAGCCATTAGGCGAAACCTCAGCTCCGGCTACAGCTCCAGACTGAGCCAGGAGCAGGGACCTCGGCAAATTGTCCAGGTGAAATTGATTTGAATGCATCGGGCTGCCAGGAGACTGCATCGAAGGTGGCCGGGCATAAATCACCTTAAGCTCCCAAGTGGAATTCAATCTGGGTCGGCCCCTTCAAGCAAGATAAAGTATTAGAGGCGGACCCCCGATGGGCGACAAAATGAAATTAATTAAAGCGAAACATCCATGTCCTGGCGGGAGCAAGGATTGAGGCCTGGTACCGGCGCCACCACCAAGGGCGTCAGTGTCGCCTCTCGAAGAGGATGCCCCAGGACCGGTGATAATGACTATGGCAGTGCTTGCTGGGCTCGGCTCCTCCTTCCAGCACACCTATTAATCAATTTTCAGCTCAACTTTTGTTCGCCGAGCATGTGGCTGTGGTGTAAGACAAGTTTGAACAGCAAATAATCAGCTCGAACACCGAAGAACGGCGAGTGAATGATGTTCCTTCGGAAGTTTCCTCGGGCATGACACGGTCGTCGGATGCGTAGACAAGTGCTGAGCACTAGGATGGATAAAACGAGCTCCGGATTCGCCGGAGTGCTTATCCCAGTGCCGATTAGGACCCGATTATAATAATGTACGCCAGTTATCAGTTTCCGGGCTATTTCCGCCCGCCAGACAAGTTATTAACCATTAATTGCCCCTCTTTAAGGAGGGCCCTCACCCAATCTGGCACTCGTTCGCCCTTCGTCTGGGAATGGCTCCACATTTTCCATGTTGTTTCCGCCATTTTGAGCGTGTGCAAATTTGATTAATGGGCCTCCGCCCACTGACAGCCAGTCAGTCTGCCAGTCAGTCACTCGCGTGGGATTTGCTCAGCCCAGAAACTACTCAGGCAGGTTGCTTTAAGTGCATTTAATCTAGTTGAGATTAGTCCCCTCAATTTGGGTTACCATCTTCAAAATGTGAAGCTGCAGCCTCGGGCAGGGCTCGGTTGAAACCACCACCTAAAGCCCCCGCTACCAAAATAGGCTTCGCTTCGAATAGACTTCGGGGAGCTACTCAATTGCCAGGAGACCAGGAGCACACGTGTCTTGGCTAATACTTTGCATATGAAGTACTGAGCCTTTGCCGCCGGCAGAGCCAGATACTGAGGCAATTCTCCAGACATCCAATTAGTAGATTTCCTTCTAATTAATGGGCTTAGAATTTCGGAAAGTTGATGACCTCAACAGTGATTGGGTTAATGAAGCCGCCACTAATTGCAGGCAGTTTACATTAACCTGTCCAAGTGCACTTACAAAATGCAAATACTATGCTATGTACTTCAACTTGGAATTTAGTCTCATTTAAGGAAAAGTGTTTAATTATGTAAACTGGGCCAAATATATGTATGTATTCATGTATGTTTTTCCCTTTAAAGTTTCTACTATTTGTATTCTGTCAACTATTGCAAATTTATAATTGGTCGTAAGAGTTCTTTCTAGCGCTTTAGGAATTAAATCAAATATAAAAATTGAACTTAATGAAAGCTCATGCAGCATGGGCTCCACGTAAAATGTTTTTATTAAATGTTGTGGGAGAAAGTGACTTTCGTTTTGAAATCCCACTTAAAATGCGCTGACACCAGGACACTCACCTTTAGCGTGACCCCGCCCAGGTCGTACTCGCGATTGTAGAGATCCTCGACGGTGGCGCGATACTTGTCTGTGTAGGATTTGAACAGGAAGCGCTTCACAATGGAGCTCTTGCCCACGCCGGCGCCGCCCAGGAGGACGAGGCGTATGCGCTCCAGGTCCGCCATTTTGCTGGCCGCCTTGTCGCCGTTTCCTGCTTAGAAATTGCGTGTCCTTGGGCGGAAGGCTCCCGTCCCACAATGGACGTGATTGGTGCTCCTTGCAGTGTAGAGAGTGTCCCGGATTTATTTGTTTCTGGAGCTTTAGCGCTGCATTATGCCGGATTTGTGTGCTTAAGCCGGAGTCGAGGCGGAGAGTGGGGAAGAAGTGAGCAGGTTCGGGCACTTCCTCGATTTCCGCTTTCCACTCTGCTCAGTGCTCAGTGCTCAGTGCCTTGGCAACACTTTCACCTTCAGCGTCAGCATCACAGAGGCCAGCTGCATAAAGAGCGACTGTAACTACCAGACGGACTTCCGGCTTGCCAACTTCCGCTTCCGGTCGCGGAGCAGTTCTCGGCTGTGAATGGAAAGAAAGAGTAAATATTTAGAGAATTCAATATATTCAAATATGCTTCTTAATTGGATTAAAACTAAACAAGAGGATGATTAAAGTTCGCTAAGGGTGCTTTTTCAAAATTCGTGTTTAAGTGGATCTCTTTAGAGACACAAAACGTTTTTCAAAGTGTGCCTTCTGTAAATAAATACATTAACTATGGCCGATTAAGGGGGAAAATTAATGTTGAATCTAGCTTTACAAACTTTAAAGAGGACATTCCCTACCCCGATTAAAGACTGTATTCGTAAAGAGATTATTTTTTAAATATATAATATAATATATTATATAAACATAATAATTGTTTATATATATATATCAATTACCTAGTTTTAAATTACCTTAATAGAAACAGATGCATCATAATTTCCAAATTAAATTCTATAGCAATTGCTACAATTGCAGTCAATGAAAGGAAGGCCTTCCCAATTTACCTCATGGATGCCCTTCGCATTTCAAAATTGAGTTTCAAGTTCTCGCCGGCAGCTTTTCGAACCCATCTATTTTTGTTTGCTGCCTCTGATTGGCTTTGCCAAACGATGCGCAGCCCGGGCTCAAAGCAGGTGTATCCGAGGCAGCAGTGGCACTGCATGTAATCATAATCTGCTCACGTGCTCACCCCACAAGTCGGATAAATGTATGGGCGCACAGGCCAAAAACACGGCAACGATACACACAGGATGCCCGATGCAATCCAAATAAGAAATACCGGAACGTAGGCCACATAAAGCATAAAATGGGTAATGCAGCCTGCCCCATCTGCATCTGCTGCATCTCTCCTCTGCGCAACTGTGCATCTGTGCAACGTACAGTAATGCACAGCTAAGTGCAACCAATTCAATTTGGCAGCATTTTTTCAGTGCTTAAAGCCAAGCGAGTGGAGCAGAGCAGAGCCAGCCATTTGCCATTTGCACCTGTGCCAAGTTCTGGCGCCCTCTTTACCCGTAATTGCAACTTAATATAATTAGGTTTCCCAGCAAAATGCAATTTATTGCAATCAACTGCACAGATTGCTGCTGCTGGCTCTCTGTGCTGCACATGAGTGGGTAAATTTCGTTAGACGCCTAACTGAGTAACCGAGTATCTGAGTATCTGAGTATCTGTGTATCTCAGTATCTGAGTCTCCAAGTATCTGTGTGGGTTCTCTTTTCCCTTCGCCTACACATAATAACGAACAATTCAGGTGAACGGCAGGCTGTGTCAGGTGTTAATTACTCAGAGGGTAATGAAAGCACAGTGAAAAGTTGAGAGCTAACAAATCATTCCTCTAAAATGCTGGAAAGAGCTTAATACTTTGCCTTTTTTGTTCAAATGCCACATCCGCCCTGTGGACACCTGGCTCATACCGCAATAGCCAGCTAGGATCAAGTTCACTTCGAATTCTGCTTGAGCTGTGAAAGGACTTTCAGAATATCAGAATAGAATTGTTATTATTTAAACAAGGCGTTTAGGATTCTTTCACAGTTATCCATCTTCTTTGGTTACTTGTACCTTGTCTGACAACTTAGAGAATATTAAATATATGGCAGGTTCGCCTCAGGCATGGCATCGTATTTTTAATTCCCCTACTCGACTGGGTTGAATTTCGATGTACAAAATGCACACAAACTGGCGCTGCACTTCTGGCAGCAGGCATCCATGCAAATTCCCAACTTTTATACATTGTGCTCCTGATAATTTTTAATGAAAAAGCCACCGACATAGAATGATTTATTTTCTCTTTATTAGTACACAGCACAAAGAGAGTATATATGGGTAAATTATATGTAAAGCTAACCAAATAAATGAATTAAAACAAGAAAAAGTAAAACTATATTCATAACAGAATATTTCTAAATTAATTACTACAAATTTGGTTAACGAAATACTAATTTTGTAAGATATTAGATCTTTAAAGGTCATGGATTCTTTGCACTTAAAGTAGTTAAAGGGTTTTGTAATTCACAAATAACCTAAAATTTTAAGAAAATAGTTGTTAATAGCCTATCATATTTTAAAGAAACAATAAAATGTTCTAAATATATACCAAAATATACAAGAACCAAGTAATTGGATCACACTTTGCTTAGGAAATTTCTAATATTATGTTCAGATTAAGAGTCAGTTTCTCCTATCCCTGTTAAAGTTACTGATAGCTATCTGAATTGAAAAAGTAATTATATAAAAACTTATTGTAAAAACCAAACCGGCTTTCTATGTTCATGGAATTTATTTGAACGAGATATAACCACACACAAGACACCTTACAGCTTTTTTTGTTGTGATACAGAAGCTTCTTCAGTTGACTATCTAAAAGCAGCTGTAATATTGTCGAACCAAAAAATAATTGACAGGGAGTCGGGTCAGTGCTAATGTTAGCTATCGCATTGTCAACCCAAATTTCTTAGCAAAGACTTTGTCTCTTCACAAAATTTAAGCAATGATAGACGAAACAAAAATACGTTTAAATTAGATTTCCCTCCCTATTTCGTTTTGGCAAAATGGCATAGTTAAAATTAGAACGTTTAGTTATTATAAGAAAGTTTGTTAAAACTTTTTCTCTTGACCCCCAGTATAATAGTAGTACTTTTATAGTTGCTGTTGAAACGTAACCTACAGCATTCAAAAAGTAGGCAATGATTTCGACAAACAGAGTGCTGGATATTTTACGGTTGGGCAAGGTCCTTGTTTTGTTTTGTTTTTTTATTATCCTTGCCCAGAACATCCGAATGCATATTCATTTTCATCTAGCCTGGGCCTAGGTGGTCCTTTAAAGTGCCAGGCAAAAAAAAGCAGGGCGCAGAGGTCATATGGGATGCTGTGCTTTGCTGTGGATAATGCGATGCAAAGGAGCAGGTGACGGGAATCTAGTTACGCCGAAAGCGTGCGGATAATCCATGTAATTGGAACGCAAAGGAGGTCTAGGTGGGATGAATTAAAAAAATTAAAATATCTAAATTAAAAACTCAGTGCTCTCACTCATTTCGCCACTGGGGACTCTATGTATATCCCGGACATGTCCTACAACTCCCGATGATGCCCTAAAGCAAAACTTTCGCACACGAAGCACCCTTGACAATGTTTTGCTATATAGAAAAATTTAATTAAATCTACTAGGCCCACGCCTGAGTTGGGGACGAAGACAACTGCCAACAGCTGTGGAAAACATAAAAGAATTGCAAACGCAGGCCAAAAGTTTGTCGCTTTACATTTTAAAGCAAGCTGAAGGAGCCGAACTTGAATTAATTTTTCTGTTTTCTGCTTTTCCGCAAATAAAAGCGTTCCTGTTGTTGACATTTTTTGTTTTTATCTGCCCGGGTGCGGCGGCGGACCACGCCGAAGCGCCGGAACATGTCATCAACAACTCAAAGGGCAGAGGACCTTTGAAAACTTTTCTTTCTCCCGAAACGTGTCTGCTCGAGCAGCTAAAAACTGCAAGTGTGCCGGAAAACATACGCCACAAAACCGGGGTGGAAAACCAGGCAGAAATATATACATACATATGTATATAGGGAAAACAAATCGAGAGCAGCAAATTGGTGCTCCCCTTTTTTCGCTTTGTTGAAAATCAATTTATGTTTTTCCCTTTTTTCGATTACCACGCCTCGGTTCAGCTGGCCTCTGCGGTGGATCCAAAATGGAATCATAACCCGGAAAGCACGAGGATTGGGATGCGTGTGTGTGCGTATTGATTAGTTTCTTGGTGGGGGGAATCGTCAGAGCCCGAGGAGCTCCCCTTCTCAGACGCATTCCTGGGCCCGATGGCATTTAAAATGTCATCAAAAGCACATTTGCCTCTCGCCTGTTGCCACAACAATCAGGCAGCAGGCCTTGCTGCACTCAAGGACGACTTGGCAGCACGGCAGGATAAGAGCCGAGTGCCATGGCTTAAGGACTCAACTGGTCCAGAGGGATTACATGGCAGCAGGCGATGCGTTGTCAGAGAATTCTAAACTTTCATATCTATGGCGACAGGGCCACCACTAATAAATATTTATTAGCCGCATTCCAGTGCGTCCGGCAGTGCTCTCCGGAGTTGATTAAAATGCCTCGGATGCCGCCGGGGATCAAAAGTTGCTTCAACTCGCGAAAAGTTGCCAACTCTCGGGGGGCTGTGTGAATGTGTATGAGCCACTTCCGCTTGATCGCAGCAGGCAGCCATGTTAACCGCCTTTGTTGCATATGACGTACATGTGCGTGAACCTTCGGCCCTCAGCTGTCACCCAGGACGAAATCCGATGCATAAACTTCTGGATCATACACACAAATCTGTCTGGGAGGAAGGCCATATCGAATGGCAACCACAAACTGTTTTCTACTTACTGAATATGTTGCTAAGCATTAAATACATCAACTATACGACTCTCTCTGATTCGCTTTATTACTTGGCTAACCTAATACATAAACAATGACCTAAGCGTTGGCAAACTTTCTTCACAAATAACCCGGCGATAAACTTAGCCACAAACCCTTTCCAGCTGCGTTCGCTGCCAGAAGTTCTCGAGCGACTTGAAATCCTCTGGTTAGCCGTTGTTTGGCCGCAACTAATTGCTTTGGTTTTGGGGCAACTTGATTTGTTTGCAATTTGTTAATGTAAAATCCGCAGAATGCAATTTATTTTGTGTTACGAGTATTTGCCCCGAAATTGGGCAACTTTATTGGGGTTGAGCAGGGACCAAGGACTCGTGGTGACCGTAAAGTATTACGTTTTATGTGTGATTAACTTTCGGCATGTGGCTCCGGCTCGGGCTTGTGCTCATGCCATGCTCACGCTGTGAGTTGTGGCTTTGTGGCGCTTAAATCATAAAATACGCTTTTATGTTGCATGCAAATCGCCGCGTCATCTGCCATCTGGCGCCAAAAACACCCATGTGTAGTATAACATATATATGCATGCAGGGGAATTAGCCCTGTTTTCAGCAACTGGGGGAT